TGATATAATAGATGTGCTCAAGAGGAGGTTTAGGGCTACTAGGCCATATGTCGTATTCTCAAGATGCGAGTGTAACATCGACATGCCATTCATCCACCACGTGTATGAGTCCATGCTATAGTCGCAATTGTACTAAGTAACCGAATTGTCCTGGATGACGCCCCAAAGATCTGCATAGTACGGCATCGGCGTAGGATTGATGTGTAACACTGCTTGCGAAATAATTGCTCGGCCCTAATACGTAGCGTAGCCAAGAGCAGAAGCGCGCGGCGTCTGCCTTTATGACACTTCGCACTTGATCATTCGAATCTGTTGATATTCATTGTCTCGCTAGGTTGTTTATGTGCTAAACAACCGCTTTTTTCGGCAGCTGTGAATCATCCTAAAATCCTTGATACCCACTCAGACGTTGCTTCAGATTTGGAGGAGAGATCAATTGTTGTATTCTTACGCGCCGTCTTTCAGGATTATTCTTAAAATAGAGCAGTCGAATCTAAGGAATATTCCATCGCTTGATCCACCAACGAGGAAGTTGGAAGATATTCCCATACACTTGCCTAATTGGAACCATCGTAGTCCTTGCCACGTGGGCTACGTGGTTTATTGATTCGGTACTTTCCTTGCAAGATGCAACTTGATATCCGACTTGTTGGTATATATGCGCGTTTCATGACTTCTCATATATCTTCCTCTTAGAGTTCTGGCAGTTTTGCCTCGCGGGCTGAGAATTGCAATTGGACAAAGCTCAGCGGCAGGATTACATGGCGTCATCCCGGGGATGGAACACACAGTAGTGTTTTTGTAGAACTACTCCATCACGGGGGAGCCGATGATTGGATCATGGTGGTATGTAATGAATGTCGTCTAAGCGGGAGTCTAACACATCTGATAGGGTGGAGATAGGTACCTGAAAGGCTGAAGAGTTAAACTGCCTGTACTGCCTGTACTGCCTGGATAGGTGTACCTAGTGTATAATACGTAGTACATGACAATCTACCTTGGGTAGGCTTGGCTGCTACATATCTAACCTAAAACGCAGACATTTAGCGAGGTGCTGCATAGGAGGTATGTACAAGAAGTGGAAGAGAGAAAGTGACAAAATTTACGAAAGTTGTATTCCGTAATATTCTGTACTACGTAATGTTTTATTAGTCACGCTGGTAGGTTCTAGGTGGTCACGTTAAAAAGCCCTTGGGTATTAGGTAAGACGCTTTGATTTTATCCAAGGTACAATACCTACCGTAGCAGAATGCCGTCAAAATAAGTGCCTAACACCAATATTCCTTCCACCAACCTTTTTCAGCGAATATAAAGACAAATTAAATTTCAAAAATTGTTTCCATATAGAGCAAAATTTTATAGTTTTTCTAGTAGTCATTTTGATAGTCTATGAGACGATTCGGTAAAGCTATGCGGATAGCAAAATGACCTGCTTGGTAGTGGAATAGGCACTTTTTTTGACGCCATTCTGCGTAGGTACCTCCCTACCTAGAAGTATACATCATTTGAAACAACGGAGGTACATAGATTAGGCACGCTAGGGTAACCTTAGGTAAAGTACAGCATTAGGTACGAGGTATGTTTTGGAAGTTATCTGTTATATAGTATAGATAAATATCGTTTTTAATAGAATTTGGCATTTAAGTAAGCCTCAGTTTCTTAAGTTTTAGCACAGACTTACTTTAGGTACCTATTTAAGTACTTTTACGTGTAATTATATCAATAATTATCTCAGCTGTTCCAATCGCTTGGGAATTGACAATTGAATCGTCATCGGCCTTAACAGTTGTTATCATCGCCAATAGAATATCATAATAACGGGAAAAAGGAGCATTGATTTGTGGAGGCGGCGAGGTCACAGCTCTCTTCCAAACTTACAATACGAAATTGCAGTCAATAACAGTGGAGAGAAACTAACAAGTCGAATGTTTACCTTCTGATATCGCTTTGACATTTTCTCCGGAGCAAACTTCTCAAAGCTAAGACCGCATACCTGATATCATCATAACGCCGACGTCGTCTAACGGTACACGTATATACATACCAGGTAGGTAGGTAGTAATGCTCCTAGCGCTAGCTCAGGTGCAAGTTGAAACTAGTATTCTCAAGCTTTTGCGGGTAAACTCCATGAATCGCTTCAAGATCCTAGCTTGAAGGCGGCTTCTAGATGGCTGTTACTGGAATGAGGTAGGGAAATAATGTGATGCTAATATACGAATACTTCTGCTATATACTCACATATTGGTGGTTATTATTTCTCTAACTGGCACCTCTCGTACTATGCAAAGCTTCTTCGGCGATACGGGAATCGAGCATCGAGAATCGTATACCTACACTACTTAGCTTCGCCTGTCTGATCGAACGAAATCTTCAAGCCCACCTCACTTAGGTAGGTAGCTTAAGCTTTAAACAGGTACACTGCGCTACGGTGCCTGGCTTTTCGTACCCATGGACGTGGACTGCAATATGGTTGGAGACAAGGGGTCTCGCCCCTGTCAACAGGGATGAGGAAAATTCCTATTCCATGTCACAAGTGGTACGCACAGACTGCACAGGACCCCTCGATAATGGTTCGCCGCCCAATTGGACTCTCCTCAGACCTTCATAATCATAATTCCAGCGCATCTCTTACATACATACAGACATGACCGGTCCACATAGCGGGTTCGACACGCAGAGAGTGAAATGATCTCGGCCTTGAACGCTTTATTTGTTACGTCCTCCTAGAGACCTAGCACGCGAGACGGTAGTGTATATGTATGATTCGATAGCCGGAAAGGTGGCTTGATACATACCGGTTCCAACGGCTAGCGCTAAAGATATGGGATTTCAAACAGATGGATCATTACCTACCACTGTCCACTCGATCCTTCATATACAACATATACAAGAATACCTTTGGGTGTTCAACCTCATACCCTTTAGGTACTTCGTACTGCACCTTACCCTCATACACTACGTGTGGTACCTAGATTAGGTTTGTAGGATGTTGGGTGTACATGTCGACTACGTGCGGAGTACACCTTTTCTAGTCCACTTTCCCCGTCTCGATAGGACCTGGCTGGGTACTCAATCTGCAAATGGCCAAATGTGCAAGGGCTCTGGCAAGGTACCCTTCCCTGACAGGACCTGACGGGGATCTCGAGGAGCGCGGTACGTCTGGGTAGCGTTGTACGTAGTACCTACCTATTACCGTACCGCAGCTAAGTACTGTAGTATTGCAATAATTGGAAACGAGATAATAACCTATGGTCATAATCCTACCTACCTAACACTTTCACCTATAATACATACCTAATGTACTTGGGCCTGGACCGGTATCATACCATATGCGTGCTTTGGTCCCTTGTGGCCCCCATCTTCTTTTCCCTTCGCAATTTTCCTGACCTTTCTTTCTAACCCGGCGAAAACCTTCTTCAGTTATGGCCTCGTCGTTCTTCATCTTAAGAGTCGTCAGCACTCATTTTTGAACGTGAGTTGTGCTGTCAACGATAGCTTTGTGGCAGCCCAACCGGCTAGAAATTTACCCATTTAGTAGACTACCTGTTCTGCGTTGCGAATCAAGGGTCTACCTTGTTTCAACTTAACCCTGGGGTTAAGAGGGGGGAGGAAAAACAATTTGATGGGAACAATAGAGGATTCCCCTTTTCTCTTCTGACGACGGTCCCTTTTTTAAGAGAGAAAGAGAAAACAGAAAAAAAAAAGGAAAAAAAGAAGAAGAGGAAGAGGAATATTCGCAGCTATTAAGCAACATCTCTCTTTCGCCAGTTTAACAGGGGAGGGTTGGCAACATATTGATTGGTATTATTACCGGCCATCGAAAAACTGGACCATTAACTCACATCTTATTGCTATCTCTCTTATTGGCATCTCATATCCCGGCAAGATTTGGAGAGGCCAATATCTTTTCGTCCACTAGGGGAACATCTTAAAACAATTCTTTACCGTTTCTCTCTCTCCCTCTCTCTATATTAGATACCCTTATTATTATTATTATCCAAACAACTAATTCTCGATCATCATCCTACGAAAACCACGGCCACAACCACGACCACGATCACGATCACGATCTGCTAGAGATAGAATTCGATTTTACGGACCTTGGATTGACCAACAGCTACATATTATCTACCTACCTAACCTAACCTAACAAGTAAATTCGATTCCGGAAGCTCGTTCTTCTTTTTTCTTCTTCTGCCACACACATGCGCCGTCGCTATCGCCCAACAGCTTTTGATTTTTCCTGTCGCGGGCATAAGCTTACTACCCCCAACTTGAAACAGTCCATCACCAGACGCCTGTCACAGCCACCGAGACATTGGTCGGTCGAAACTCAATACTGTCAGCATCCGGACGTAGCCACTCCGATCGAAGCCCTGCTTTTCTAGTCATTAAACTGCTACAACTTGTCCTTGTCTACAATCAACCTTACCCGCCTAATAAGAGTTTAAACACGCAACCTTACGTCGCTCATGTTTGGTCGATCATCGTCAAAAACATACGGACATTCTAACGGTATCGGCTCTAAGGACCATAGGTTCCGCGACGGCGGTCAGAAATCGAGTAGATTCGATATAGGCATTTTGCGGCCAGGAGCTGAGTCGCGTTCTCTGCGTTCTCTTCGGAGAAAGGAAAAGGAAGAAGAAGATTGGGAGAGTCTTCAAAGCGTCCCGTCCTATCCTGAGAAGAGTAAGTTCTTTTTTACCTCTCTTTCTGGCTGAAGCTGTACACTGCATCACTGCATGGTACTGCACTTGAAAAATATTTCCCCCACCTTGTCCACCTTGTCCACCTTGTGTGGCTCGTTCGAGCCCGAGACATAAGACATAGGTCTCACCATTGCGCAATCGCGGCTGACCCTTGTGAACAATTATCCAGATCATTCTATTTCCGCGGCTTCGCATCGCCTCCCGCCGCCATCACAGCGAGCGCCATCGCATCGCTCTGCAGCTTCTGTAAGCTCTTCAACGTCTAGAGATACCATACGTCAAATCGCCACCATGTCGGGCGCGCTAGGTTCGGAAAGGAGCCGCACGCGGAGGGAGAGGACTTTTGTCGGAAGCGAATGTGCCGTATGCGAAGAGCCGTTGGAGCACACGCTGCGCGGGGAGAGGATTTTACAGTTCTCGTGTTCGCACGTCTCGCACGAGGCTTGCTTCTACGAATTCATACGCGAATTCGAATCGCAGTATTGCCCCTCATGCAATGCGCCTTTACATTTGGACACGAGCCGAGGAGGCAACGTCCTTGATATCGGTCAGTTCTTTTATACCGCAGTTTAAGATATGGGTCTATTTATACTGACCTTTGTCTTTTTAATACAGAGAAAATAACTAGCATGGTACGGTCCGTGACGGCCGATAACAGGTCATTGCCAGGACAACCCCAGAGAGACCCTTGGGAAAGCCAAGGTGGCCGTCCGCCCAGTGGCGAATCTAATGTTAGAAGTATGGCCCCGAGCAACAGCGGCCAAAGCATCACTCGAGGGAGCGTTCGAGATAGTCGGGAGCCGCCACCTTCGGAGCGTTACGCGAACAACCATAAGCATGACCGCAGCAACAGCGAGGCGACCGGCATCACTACGTCAACCGGCTATCCCGAGACGGCACAGAGCGGTCCGCCGCGTCGCCACGATTACGACCTTCAAGCCATGGAGACGACACCGGGTAGCCCGAGAGCTATGTCGCGTAACCCGATACCACCTCCCTCTGTTGTCGTTCGATCTGAATTCCCCACCATAACTCGTTCGAGACAGCAACAGACCTTAACATGTCTCGTCACGGTAGAAGTAGCCGACAACAAGTGGAAGCCTGATCCGGAAGACCTTGGCATCGTGGACCCAGCGCCACCTGCACGCACAGAGGATACGTTTACCCAAAGACCGCCGTCTCCGGCGAGGAGTTCGCAGCCGCGCTTCTACCCATACGAAGCGCCCGAGGTACTCGAGGAGATGACCGAGAACTTACGAAACCGGGTCGACAACTGGCACGGCCTTGATTTCAATAGGTATTGCGACCCCCCTATTTTCCATGTTTTTTTTTCCTTTTCCCCTTTTCCTGCGAATTTACTAAACGCGATGTAGGTTTGGAAAGCTTCGGCTTTACGGCACGTTGCGTGTTGGAAAGGACAAAGTTTCGTGGCAGGAGTTGGAATGCTACCTCTTTGCGGAGATGCTCATCTGCGTCAAAGAAAAGAAAAACCTTCCGCCCGCGCAGCAACAACAATGGGACGAGAACGGCATGCCCCGAAAGGCAACACGATGCACCTTGAAGGGCTCGATCCTTATCAAGAAGCATCTGAACGAGGTCACAGAAACCGGTATGAGTGAGTGACCTATTTAATATGGTCTAGAAGATCTAGCTAATTAATTTTTTTCTTTTCTTTTTCTTCGCTTCGCAGTCGACGAGAACGTACTCACACTCAGCCTCTCCGTTGCGGAACTCCCACAGTTCCACCTGCGCTTCGAGAACCGAAACCAGTTGAAGCTGTGGCAGCAGGCTCTTCTCGACCTTAATGCCGTCGAGGGATCTCCGGTCAGAAGCCCGGTTTACGAGCGCGCCGAAGCATCGGAAAACGAGGAAGACGAATGGGGCAGGGCAGGAGGTCGACCTCAACGGGTCTCGTCGGTGGCCTCTTCTTATGGCGGACCGAAGTCTATCACGACGGCTGCTACCGAGTATACTAGCGTGGCGCGGAGCCCGCTGATTTCGTCGTTCCACGTACCTATTGACGTCGTTGTCGTGGTTCCCATCTCCTCTTCGATGCAGGGTGTGAAGATAAACCTGGTCAGGGATGCTCTAAAGTTCATGGTCCACAACCTTGGGGAACGCGATCGCATGGGCCTAGTTACGTTTGGTTCAGGAGGCGGTGGTGTGCCACTCGTGGGGATGACCACCAAGGCGTGGCACGGATGGAACAACATCCTGGGTTCGATCAAGCCGGTCGGACAGAAGAGCCACCGTGCAGACGTCGTAGAGGGCGCAAATGTCGCTATGGACCTGCTCATGCAGCGCAAGTACAACAACCCGATCGCGACCATCATGCTTATCAGCGACGCTTCGACGTCCGATGCTGACAGCGTCGACTTTGTCGTTTCGCGAGCGGAAGCTGCCAAGTAAGACAAGACCTATTATTATTACCGAAACTACCTAAGTTGAGCAATGCTAACGACAAGTCAGGATTACAATTCATTCGTTTGGTCTAGGTATGACCCACAAGCCGGATACTATGATCGAGCTGTCTACGCGGACGAAGGCTTCGTATACTTACGTCAAGGACTGGATGATGCTACGCGAGTGTTTAGCCGGCTGCCTGGGATCGCTACAGTCGTTGTCTCATCAGAACGTAAAGCTGAAGCTGAAGTTGCCTGAAGGATCTCCCGCTAGATTCCACAAGATCAGCGGAGCGTTGCAGATCACCAAGCGGGCTACGGGGCGCGACGCCGAGGCTTCCCTGGGTGACCTTAGATTCGGAGACAAGAGAGATATTCTAGTCCAGCTGATCATTCTTCCCGACAACACATCTCAGGAACAATTACCTCAGGACCCGTGGGAGACAATCGTGTCCGGGTTAGAAGCTCTGGGCGGACCGGTCGAGCACGACGATCAGAGAACGATCTCGGTAGAAGAATTACCGCTTATCCAGGCGGATCTGGTCTGGGGTGATATCCTGAGAGACGGCACGATGATGCATCTCCCCAGACCGTCGTTGCTCGCCATCACGATGCTTCCCGCGCCGGGTCATTCCAAAAAGGCATCGTGGCAAAACAACCCCCCGATCCCGCCCCATCCGCACATCGTGCAGCGACGAATGGAACTCCTCACCTCCGACATGCTCACCCGAGCGCTAACCCTCGTCTCGCGAGGCCAGCACGACCGCGCGCAGACGCTCCTCAACGAAACCCGCTCGATCCTCAAGGGCCTGGGCAAAGGCGGGCTCCCGCCGGTCCCCGTCCCCTCGATGGCCGGCAGCAAATCGAACCCGTCGACGCCGCAGCCGGGCTCGGAGGGGTCCCCGATCTCGGCGACGCCGGACCGCAAGCGGACGCCGTCGCCGGCGGCCTCGGCGCACTCGGGGGCGAACGGGCTGGCGACGGCGACGATCGCGCGCAGCCGGTCGACGGACGGGCTGGCGCTGGGGAACGCGAGCGGGATCGACGCGGGCACGGTGGCGGCGCTGGACGCGGAGCTGGAGGCGAGCCTGGAGTGGATCAGCCACCCGGCGGTGTTCGGGCGGGACAGCCGCAAGGCCGTGCTGCAGGCCATCGGGGTCGTCAGCAGTCAGCGCGCCTTCACCTTCCGCACCCCGATCGAGAGCCTCTGGGCCGCCCGCGTCGGCGGCGTCAAGAAGCTCACCGACAAGAGCCGCGAGTGGCGGGAGGAGGCCGGCGGAGAGGGCATCATCGAGGAGCCTTGAAGTTGAAATAAAGAACGAACAAACGAACGAACGAACGAAAGACAAAGACCAGAAAAAAGAAAGCAAGAAAGAAGAAAAAAAGAAGAAAGAAACGAAAACAACTCGGCATTTCTAACCTTGTCCCATCTATCCCATCTTCATACGATATATACCCTCGGGGAAGAAGCTTCTCTTTTTTTTTGACGGCCCATATAGACGAACGACCTCTACGGGATCATGTTTTAACGAATCCTTTTATTATCCGGATTATTTATTCAATTTTTTTTTCTTGGTTGTGGAGAGCATTCTGTAGGCTCTGCTTCGCTCCTCGCTTCCTCTTTTTATTTTTTATTTTTTCCCCCTTGTTTGCTGCTTGTGTGTCCTACTGTTTGAAAACAAAACCCAGGCTTCTTTCTGATGATCTAAGATACCATTTTGGAATTTTCCACATTCACGCAAAAAACACCACTCCCCCCTCACCCACGCGAGCGCCCTTGTCCATCTATCTATCTATATCTATCTGTCTGTCTGTCTGTCTGTCTGTCTGTCTGTCTGTCTGCACTATGCTATGCCATGTATACGCCTTACACACCCCACACCGCAGCTTCTGGATTCATTACATATCGGGCAAGGAAAAGTCCCCCCCACCTATATAGGGGAGGAGGGGGGATGGGCAGGGGAGAGAGAAATATATTTGTTGTTTTTACGGGTGGCTATCGATATTGAAAATGCGTCGGTGTCAAAAGGAAAGGGGTGGAAAGGGGAAGGGATGGGGAGACCAAGAGAAGGGGGGGCGGTTCAAGGGTTTGGTTGGCTGGCTGGCTGGCTTGCTGGGTTGGTCGATCGATACCTAACTCATTGATTGTTATTTTTTGATGAGAGCCACTAAAGCAGCGACGTCGTATAAGTTTTAGGGATTTGCTTGCTTTGCGCAACAGGGGAGATTGGAGTCTTATTTTCGAAAACACACAGCCACGCGCGCGCACACAGAGAGAGTGTTGTACATTAACGATTTTTACGGTTTGGTATAAAGACATGCTAGCCGGCGAGGATTCCCGGGTGCGAAATCAAGTTTTTGATGCTCTTTTTTTTGCCATTATGAAAATATTGTGTCCCAGGAGCGTTTCAAGTGCAATTTGTTAAGGGGTGCGTGATCCATGGAGAGAGTATATATGTGTACAGTCGTTTTGGATATTTTATATACCTACAGGGACTAAGCTATCATATGAGGGCATACTATGCGAGATAAATACTTCAACGCATATCGACTGTGTATGACGGAACAGGCCATTATGCTAGCGAGGATAAATGTTATGTCGAGATAGAAAGCAAGCAAAGAGCAAAAGACATTGTAAGTTCGTACCAAGTGGCAACTTATTTATAATGTAGTAGTTTCATGCCCTAGTTAGGTATTAGTTCGAGGGCCTCACGCCCACCTCATGTCAACGCAAGCAGGATATAGATTCAAGCAAGTAAGCAGGCCATCAACATCACTCGACCCAACAGGCGAATCCACACACTTCTCATGCCCTTCCCTTCCCTTCCTCACCTTATTTCTCTCTCTCCTCTACCTTACCGCTTAACAAAGAACCCCCTCCCCGTCGCCGCCCCCGTCGCAGGCGCCACCCCAACGCGTCTCCTCTTCAGAAGACTCTCCTTCGAAGCCCTCGCGTCCCTCCTCGCCCGCGGCGCGAGCCTCGAGTCGCCCTGTTCCGCCAGCACCCTGTACTTCGTCGAGCCGACGACGCGGTCGCGCGGCTTCTTGGGCTGGTCGTCGAACGTGATTTTGGTGGGCCTCTTCTTCTCGTCGGATAGCTTCCTGCGCTTCTTCAGCGCTTGACCGTTCTCGCCATCGCCGTCTTCGTCTTCGTCTTCGTCTTCGGAGCTTGAGTCCGTGAGAAATTCGGCCGGTAGATGTGTTGGGAGAGCGTGTTTCTGCGTGCGTCGGCGGCCCGTGGTTACCGCCGTTTCGACTTCGGCGCGGGCGCGCTTCCTGCGCTCGGCTTGTTGTTTGAAGAGGTTATCTCTTTCTTGGCGCTTTCGTTTTAGGGTAGCGGTTTGTCTATGGACGAAGTTAGTATGGGAATCGTCAGGGTTGGTGTATAAAAAGTATAAAAAGTAGGTAGATGCTTACTTCTCAGCAGCGTCTAAAGCCGCCTGAGCTGATTTTTGTACTTCCTTAGCAGCAACCTGCGTTGAGACTGCTTCCGGCGCGTCATCATCATCGTCGTCGCTCTCCTCTTCCTTTTCTTCCTTGTTTTTATCTTCTTCTGCCTTCTTTCCTGCTTCGGCCGCAGCCACAACGAAGTTCTCTACATCGTCGTCGTCGTCAAAGACAAGATGCTTTCCCTTTGGTTTAGGCGCAGGTGTTTGGTCAGAACCTAGTGACTGCGAAGAGGCCAGTCTCTGGGTCGCATCCTCTTCCAATTGCTTCGAGACACTCGAGAGTAACCACGATCTCTCTTTATCTTGCGAATCTGGCACCGCGCTTGTTCGGGACTTCTTGGGTTTCGGGCTCGTGGGTATTTCTACTTTGGATTCTTCTCCCACCGTCGATTTCCGCTTCGCACGCGATGATTCTTTTGGTGGGATTATTTTGCTTTCAGATACGTTTTCGGCATCTTTGGCACGTCTCCTAGTAACTGGAGGCATGTTTTTTTTGACGTCAATTATGTGTTATGTTTTTGTTGTATATCAACGGATAAAAAGTAAATCTTTTAGCGTTTATAATTATCCGTTGGTCGATGGTGGGTTAAGGTTCAGGTCTTTCACGTCTGAAAGTCGCGGGAGTCGCAACTTTTTTTTCTTTTTGGTTAGATGTTTATTGATCGATAAGATAAACAAATAATAGTCGATAAGAGGTAAGTTTGATAGTAGGTACCTCGTACTATGTCAAATGAGGAGCCCCGGGATGCCTTAGGTAATAGAGACTTCGGTCTTTTTTGGTTCACTCCTCGTTCCTTATTCATCCTTTACTCACTCTGTCACTTCAAGTCGTGTTAATGATAATAAGTACCTAGAGGTATATTTTCGATGAATAACGATTTATCTATTTACTTTTACTTCAAGCTATTTTAATATGACTTGGTTTGCCTTATGAGTGAATCAACACTAAAGTTGTACTTGTCGTTGGTCGCTCGATAAAGAGGCTTGATGGATGGATAACCTCACTTACAACTTACACTTACACGCTCATTTCATCTTATCTCATCTCAAGTCTAAGTAACTTGAGTAGATCAACAGCTATTAGCTGAGACTAAGATCAATTCAATGAGGCAAATTTTATAACAAGTCTTCTACAACCATGCTTCCCAGGCTTCCCCTTTTCCAATTAACAAGGCTGTGCTCCCTATCCCGCCAAACCACCAAATTCCAACACAACTATCTCTCCCCCCCGGTCCCGGTCCGGTCCATATCAACCACGCCCGCTCCGCAATATGCCGCTGCGCGGATCAAGGTCCCGGTCGTCCCACACCGGGACTCCTTCATCAGCAAAACCCGCTTCACGCAAGCGGACATCCCGGACCTCTCCTTCTGGCTCAACCACGCCGTCCCGCCCTTAGTCCCCAACGGCGAAGTCACGCCGGCCCAGTGCCTCGAGGCGTGCGCGCGGTACGTCGCGCTCGCCACCGAGAACGCGCCGGGTTGGCAGAAGCGGCACCTCTCCGTAACCGCGACGTCCCCCGTCGTCGGCAGCGCAGGCGACAACGGGGGCAAGATCCCCTTCTTCACGCTGCACTACGCGGCCGTGACTCTGCTGCTCTTCGCCGACACTCGTCCGTGCTACAGCCTGGTGCTGCACATCCTGACCACGGGCGCGGCCCTGGGCTACGCCCCCTCGGTGCTGGACCTCGCGCGCATCGCCCACCGGGGCGGCTCGCTGCATAAACCGCAGTTCGAGCGCGCGCGGGAGGGCCTCGCGCGGCTCGTCGCCGCCGTTAACAACGATCCAACCTACGGCCGCGAGTACCGCCTCGACACGCTCACGCTCGCGGCCCAGATCCAGCTCTCCGAGTCCAACACGCGCGCGTCCACGGACCGCGCCGTCCGCCTGCTCGAAGAGGCTTTCAAGACGCATGCCGCTGCGGCGGCGGCGGCGGCGGAAGGGGAAAAGAAGAATACCATGCCCACGCCCACCACACCTATCTGGGAGTGGCGGACAACCGCCGTGCTGACGCTCAGCCAGATCTACCTCGAGCGGAAGCAAGTCTCGCGCGCGCGGGACCTGCTCGGGGGCGCGGCCGCCGCGCTGGACCAGCCGGAGGTGTATTTCCGGTACGCGATGCTGCTGGAGCCGTCGGACCCGCGGCGGCGGGAGCTGGTGCAGAAGGCGGCCGTCAGCGGGGTGGAGGAGGCGGCGCGGGAGATGGCGCGGCAGACGAGGGCGAGCTTGAAGGAAGAAGAAGAAGAAGAAGGGCTGAGCGGCTGGGAGCGGAAGGCCAGGGAGGCGATTGCGTACGAATGGGCTGCGATCGCGGGGGACGAGGCTATCCTCGAGTGATTTTCACCACCTATGTTGTCTCCGCAAATGTTATTCGATATATGTATGTATGTATGTATGTATGTGTGTGTGTGTGTGTGTGCGCACTGAAGTAGAGAAAACGCCCAACGCATAGACGTGTACTGAAAAAGTCAAGAAGGGTTTTGCTATGTATAATAGGTTAGGTAGCTATACTAGGACAAGATGAGATGAGATTATTTCGGGTATGAATGGAATAGGGGAATGATGAACCACCATCACACGATACATACTCAGCTATCAACTCAATACGCCGATCCTAGAGATTCAAGTCTTACCTATGAAAACTGTGGGTAGGTGATCAGCGAAGCCCTGCAGCGACATAGTAGGGCACAGTCAACAGATACCAGACTCAAGTTCTTCGGATCAGTCAATTTCGCCTGTCTCTAAAATTAAATCTGCGCATATTGGATCGGGTTAACAACCCAATGCTCGCTGATATCTGACTACTGTCGACCCTTAATATATATATTGAATGCCTATCGTCACCCGTCTCCACGTGTACCATATAACACATGCGATCTCGCCGGTGCAAGGCTCATCAAGCATAACCCGCCCGCAGCCTGGTAGTGTAGCAAGTGCCGTTCTTACGGGGTCGGATTCGTAATCGCTGTGAGCGCCTGTTCTCTCCCTTTCCATTTCTGTTAAAAAAAAAGTAAACCCATTGAAGCAAATAATTCAATCCTGTGCTCTCAACCTCATCTTCCAATACCAAAGATTAACCCAGTCTCCTGATTTGCGCCTTTCACTCCCTTCCTTACTCACTCGTCTTCCGCGGGACCCCCAAAATGGTGCGACCAATGCTAACGTATTAATGCCACCATGCTTCAACGCCCAGACGATGCATATGTCAAAGTACTGTTTCGGCACCCAACTTTGAAAAATTGGAAGTAGCTGAAAAGCTACGGATAGGGAGATGTATCATACGAATGATATGGGATGGAGAGTACCTCTATCACGCTTTCGAGACTATAATACCGCTCTAATCGTCGTGGAAGAACGTCGTGTTCCCGACAAGAGGCGCGGTTGATGGGCCAGCATCGGTCATTTCAACATCCTTTCTGCCTGAACTATCGTCCGAAGCTAGCCCTAGATTTGAACGACGGAAATCGCCCGTCATAGGCCGGGTGGGTGATGGCTCGACAAGGTTTTGAGGTAAAGAAAGCGGTCTTTCGCAAAAGGCGTCCTCTGGGGGCGAGAACGACCAAACCTGTTCGTTGTGTAAGAAGAGATAGTAATATATCAACCTGGGACGACTTACCTCCATCATGACCCTACTTCCTCTATTCGCAACTGCAACGCACTTTTCGTCCTCAAATACTACCCTCCAGACGGACTCGGCCGTGATGAGCTCCCGCACGAGGTGGCCCGTTTTTACATCCCAGACCTTGACCCTGCCGTCACTGCCTCCGCTCACAACACGCGTGTCGTCAAATTGTAGGCTGGTGACACTGTTGTCGTGTGCTGCTAGTCGGTGAATAGGGCACATCTTCTCGAGAGACCAAACCCTGACAGAGCCATCTGAACCCCCTGTGACCAGTGTATTACCTCGTAACTGTAATTGACCTACGAGAGAAGTGTGACCTTGGAGGACAGCGATGGCATCACTTTCAACCGAATTAGTACTAATGCCTAACCCTATCGTATGTGTAGGTGGAAAGACTTACCCCGTGTGAGCGTCCCAGACGCGAACGCTAGTATCGAGGCTTCCAGTAACGACACGGTGGCCATCAAAAGCGATGGCATATATCTGGCTGAAGTGGCCAGAGAGTGTGTGCAGACACCTGCCTTCAGATATGCTCCATATTTTGGCTGTCGCATCGTAGCTACCGGAGACGACAATGTCTCCTTTTATCTCCAAACATCTCACGCTTGCTTGGTGGCCAACCAGGACATTCCTGCAAACTCCTTGCCTAATATCCCAAACTCTCAAGGTAGTATCACGGGAGCCGGAAATGGCGGTGTTCGCATCGGACATTTTAAGGCAGCGAACTGTGGATGTGTGGCCGCGTAAAGTATATAAACATCTCCTAGTAGCATTGTTAGTTAAATTCGTAAAAGCTTGGGGGAATGGTCATACCCAGATGTCATATCCCAGACTCGCACGTCACGATCACACCCGCCACTGACCAGGATGTCTTCCCACGGAACCATAGCCCAGACGCCCATGATATGGCCCTGAAGGGTGCGAAGAGCATTGCCTTCCCGATCAAAGATATGGATCCTTGCATTATCGAGGGCTACCACAATATATTTCGGGGTCAAGTGCAAACTAGTCACAACTCTATTGTCTTGAGTAATAGTTCGTGTAGTGTTTCGGCCACCAGTTCTCCATGCTGATTCAACAAGATATCTCTGCTTAAAATGAGATTTATACGACCGTAGTTTAGGTCTCGCGACTGAAGAGGAGCTCTCCGAAGAGCCATCAAAGCCCCGAGATGACGAATGAAACGACGAGGGTCCGGGTATAGCACCGGGAAAGCTATGAGTGTATTCGGGATCTGGGAGAGGTAAAGCTCCTGGCCTAGTCGACGCAAATGGCGCAACTCCATAGGAAACTTCTGAGAGGCGACGACCATAATCATGTTTTACACAGAGATTTTTCCACGTTACATCGTCGCTTAAAAGATCCCTCCACCTTCTGGATACCTGCGACGCCCGCGCAAGTACTTGAGGGTCATCTATAAATGATAATATCCTCAAGCACAGTTCGTCTGGTAGGCTAGTGAAGGGGTCCTTCTTCAACAAAGGGCTCACGAATTGATGTACAAAGCTGAGCTGCTGAGTCGTGCACATATTTAGCAAGTCGGCGAGGACCCGAGTCCTCTGGGGCCCGGAACAAGCCTTAAAATGATGACGCATTTGGGCGAGGAAAAAGTCTTCGTCGTCGGCGGCATCGCTCCAGTCGGGTTGGGTATCCGTAGGCCCCGGGGAGGCCGCGGGCGTGGGAGGTGGTGGGGGAGAGCCCGTAACTTGTTGGTCGAAATCGGGAGCCGGCGTGCTCATACTAGGCGTGGGCGGACCTCTAGGCCGCGGTTGTTGGACCATCTTATCCATCCTTTGATTTATGATGACGGGTCTGGCACTCGTCGTATCTAAAGTCAACTCTTCGCCGCGGTTCGAAACGCTGGCCCTCCTTTCTGAGAGACTACCGTAACCTCCCATCTATGTGCTAATGTATATATCAAGTTTGTATATTCGCTTATTCTACGACGAACCCTGAGGCCGTCTCGACCTCGATGGACGAGTGAATTACTGAGCCCTTTGAAGCAAAATAGATTTGCCTGTATGGTATTAGTAAATTAGGTAGGATGAATAAAATTGACAAGTATATATCGTAGTTCAAATGCGACGAGTAAGCGCCGTGGAGGAGGCTCGTATATGGATTGTCCGCGTGCAGGAAAGTGCCAGTGTTGGAGTAGGGACACACAAGGGTAATTCTGCATACGTTCGGGGTCAATGAGACAAGCCGCGTCCCAAGACACGCAATTGGTAGGTCAAACGACCTACGGTAGCATCTAAGCCAGGCCTATAAGGGTTAAAGAACGAGCCAACACTGTTCTAATCGGCAAGCGAGACTAGTATAGGGAAGGACCGTATAGCGACGAGAAGATGAAGCGCGAAGAGGATTTTTAGTAACGCATTGACAGCATAGATGGTCGTCTTTAAAGGCTGCCGGCGGCGAAAAGAAAAAAAAAAGAAAAAAAGAAAAAACCGGAGATTTTTCGAGGAGCGAAGGCTGGCTACCTAAGGTAGGTAGTCTACAATATACATAGACAGAGAAGATGGTGTAAATATTGGATTCTCGAAACCCCCTTTACAAGCGTATCAGTCAAAATTGAAAGAGGAATAATGACGGTGTGTAATGAAAAGCGTAGTTAGTGTAGCCTGTAGTTAAGTATAAGTCAGTTGAGGATGGTAAGATGTGATTCTCGAAAGCGGAATGGGGGTTAGGGAAGCGGATCCTTAAACAGAGATGAGTAGGAACGTGCCTCACCCCATAGCAAGTCCATAAAGTTTCTCCCGCTGGGGGAAGGCGCTACATTCATTAGCGTTACAGTATTTATACTGTATTAGAGCCTGCAGATTTTGGATAAAGTTAGGCACATAATGTATTATTTCTGCATAGTACCTTGCTTTGAGTATACATATGTATGTAGGTTCATTATGCATGTTAGATGTAGGTATGCTTAATTCCAGGTAATAAACTCGGTTGCGCATAAGACAAGTCAAGCACTGACAGTTTTTTTCTTTCTCTCTCTCTCTTTGTCTCTTAATAATCCGGTTCGTTAGGTGATAGATTTTCTATAATCGCTATATATACAAGTCCTCATTGGCTAGTACCTAACAACCTACAGACACCTAACCTATCCTCTTTCGAATAGACTCAAAGTACCTAAGTTGTACAAACACAATTGAAGCTTCAAAACACCTACTTTATGCAGGCGGGTTTATATACATATCTATAGATACCTACCTCATACCTAATTCCACTAGGATTTAGACCGTATACTCAAATAATGACAATATATCACTTGAGATGGTTTTGGTACCCAAGGTTCCGTTGTACAAAACAGACATGTACATATAGGTACATATTAATGCCATTAATGCCTAAGGACGTCTATTCTTACACAGTGTTAGCACCTAAGTTCTTATTTAGCAACGATGGAAATCTAAAACGTTTCGTCTTGCTAGGGTCTATCCGATCTCCTTAGTCCTAAATTTACCTAACATTAGTAATGACAGGTAGGTACCTACCCAGCTACCTAACATAATACCTAGTTGGCGCCTTTGACTTTTCTATATAAAATCAAAACTCTGCATGTATTTCTGTAAAAGGCAGTGAGGGGAGCATCAATTCGTCGCAATCCCGAGAATTACTGTATTTTCTGGTTTAGCTAAGAAGTTTATGGCGAACAATTGCTACCCTCCCGCGATGCATATCCCTTATAGACAAATCGTATCTTGGATGTATGGAGAAAAAAGAAAAAAAAAAAAAGCCTTGAGTTGTCTGCGGGCGGTTACGACGACCAGGCCTTAATACCGAATCCCTGTTCTAGATGACAGAAAGATCAATTCGTACGACCGTCTTGTACCTCGAAATACAGTGCACCATATCCGCTCCTATGATAAAACACATGAAGATACCTACTTCTCGCCGGACCCAAATTCCCATTGGCTACACGTCTGTGTTCACACTGCGCTTCTGCGCTTAAGGGGGAAAAAAGGAAAGAAGAAAAAATAAAATAAAAATAAAAGAATCCACGGATGTAGTTTAACGGGACGACTGATGCATAGGTACGCTCCTTGCCATTCAATGCTACACCATTGCGGGCAGGATGCGGGCCATCGTTTACTTACCTACCTTTACACGTTTTCGCATACCCGTGCTCTTATCTAGGGCATCTACAGCTTCTACTTGGAGAACCAAAACGAGAGCAAGTGTGTTTCCACTCAGTGTGTTCGACCTAAAGCGCATGGCATTGCTATCCTCATCGACTTAGCCCAGCTTATCAGAGCTTGCCAGCGCATTAGACCATCTATATACCGTGCCGACCCTAGCGACTAGTGTTTCTATAGGCGCAACATTGATAGGTATACTATATCAAAAAGACTACTACTCGGTCCGTCTAGTTAACGACGAGGACGGCATAGTGCTGTTAGGTAGGTAGGTATACCTGCAATATGACATCGGCGTTAAATTAGGAGTGGCTGAGTGGCTGCTTATATTACATACATGTATACGGAGATTTTTTGGGATGACAAGCTGAGTCAGAAGTATCTCCGTAATGAGTACAATGATAAACGAGATTGATCATGATTAATATATGTATCATCCTATTTGCTAGCATCTACACGACAACCCAAGGGCGTTTGCTTGGGTAGACTATTGGGATTTTTACGGAAGGCTATATTAAAGTAGCCGATCCAAAATGAGACCTATTGCATTTGTGCACTGAAAATGACATGATACAATATAAAATCCCTATGTAAGGGATGGGTTGAGCAGAGTAATATTGTATTTAGCTGCGGCTTATAACTGACATCGGCAAATGCGTAGTGTAAGTTGGTCATTCTGGTATATCTCCAGCGATGAAAGACCAGTTGCCATTGTCATTTATCAGTAACATACATAATGGGTGGTTTAGACGGGTAAGAACTCATCAAATAGGTACCATTGATAACTTATTTAGATGCATGGCTTAAGATAAGTACTGAAAACATCAAATTATACCCAGCATAGTCTCATAGCGCTTCTAAGATTCTTATGATAACACCAATGTTAAGTCGAATTATGACAATACTACCAGGCTTCAAATTCGGGCAGCTATTGCGTATGCCAGCAAGAAAAATATCAAGTAAAAATGTTATATTATACAATCCCATCGCCCAGTCCCGTAAACCGGCTGCTCATGATGAATGATGAGCAAAATAAATCTGCTTTTGTGTGCATCTCAGGTTAAACGACAAAGTGGTCTATTTACAATCAATGGGTATATGTTGTACAACCAGCTCGTCGGATTCTGCAACCCTCATATAAGACCTTATTGAGATTGAACGCCAGTTCTGAGATTTTAATACATGTTCCCACTCCAGACAGGAGGTAGGTAGGTGGGATATGGGCTACCCACGTCATCAATTTTAACTTGGACGTGTCGGCCATTCATTTTTCGAGATCCTAACTCCCTCTATAGCTTGATAGAAACGCAAATTTTAAAAGGGTAAAAAAAAAGGTGCCTTAGGTAGTAAATGCCTTCAGTGGTGGTGACCAAATTGTGTAAGGAGAGGTAAAAACATGCCAACTACCGTTGCTAACGTCTCCCGCATCTGCGGGTGTGTATGTTTTCGCTGGCCACCGTCTCCGTAGCCATTGGAAATCGAGCCAACATCGTGGCCGCCAGGAGAGTCTCCTTCTTGCATAGCATGCATCGCAACATAACTGGGAACACTGGTTAGACAAGATGAAGGATAGTATAATTAGATCTGTACTCACAGGAACGTGCCGGCCGAGAATAGCAATAACATTCCCGTCCACCATTGATTCAAGCCATCTTCCCCACCTCCACCTAGGAAACTGACCAAGATGAAGGTAGCCCAAGCTCCAAATGGAGAGGCTAAGCTAAACACGATGAGGTGTCCTCGGGCCGCACGCTTAGAAAGACCCTGTTTCAAAAGGACCGAAGTGAGACCAAAAGCCGCAGGCGCCTTATGCACCATAATGGCAATAAATACAATAAACCCCAGCTTCGTGTCTGGCGAAGTAGCCGATGCACCCATCGCGATCCCATCCGCCGCAGCATGTATTACCAGGCCTGTAGTAGTCGCCAAGCTCCTCGACTGCTTCGGGGTAGGTGTTAGGGAACCCAAAAAGCCTTCAGACTCTTCTTCGTCGCGGGAGAGAGATGATGCACCAAGATTGCTCAAACTAATGTGCCTCGGCGGTGGTGGCGGCTGGAAGTTTTCTGATGCATGACGAGGAAGGCGGTCGATTAGGAACATAAGCACAAAACCAAGGATTAGAGAAAATCCAATATAGAAGGTGGGTGCTCCAGATTCCGTGTGTTGACTCCCTGTGCTGGGCTTAGCTGGGCCGGCTGGTGCAGTTTCTGGTTCCTCTGCTGGCGCCCTGGAATTGAAATCGAAGTTGGCTGGGCTATTTTTTCTTGCTATATCTAACGCATTCTGATCGCCAAATATCTTGGGAGAGATCTTGGTCAAGTCTATATTCTCTGCCGAGTTAGGATCTGATCCCTCTGCCCACCTAACTGCAGAAATGTGTCCTGGGCCAAATGAGTTTCTCTTGTTTTGAGAATGTGCAGGTATGGAAGCATCGGTGATAGCTTCAACTCCTTCGGGTATGATTACGATTAGCGACGTGCCAACGAGGATTCCTATGCCAATACTTGAAATCAATCGAAGTTGTGACTGCGTCAGGGACATGGATAATGGTAGTGCGCCAGCAAGAAAGGATCTGTTTTTCTTTTTCGTCAATTTTTCGAGTTCGGAAGTTGTACCGAATAGGAGACGAGAGGACTTACGCCAATGCCATAACGACCTGCAATTGGAGAGCAAGTTAGTATTTGCATCACACCTAGGGTTAGGCATAGGTACTTTAAAGCTATTATGAGCAGTTTGAACATACCGTTAGGGCAAGTAAAACGAAAACTCCAGCTCCCGCCATGGTTGCTGCGTTCACTTGGAAGAAGCACCTCTAAAGGGATTGTGATTTGCTTGTTACCGATTCATTGGTATAATAATTAATAGGTGCCGAATCCGCGCGTCGTTGAGGACAATACTGTACCTCCTCAAGATAAGGAAGGGAGGTTATCTATAAAGATAACCTAACCCTCCTACTTGAAAAGAATATTGTATGTGTGTATTGTAATTGAAGAGATACTTTGTAAGAGTTTGAGGCTGGGATATTGAAGGAACAAGTATGGAGGTTGATTGAATATCTTTTTGCGACGGTAGCCCCAAAAAAGTGTCAGAGACTTGAGAGCCGTTGCAAGTTAAAACATCCACTAAAATCTTAATTACCCCTGCCACAACTTGCTTTTTAGGCGGGGACCGTCGCACGTCACTGCCGATTTTCCATCTCTAGTGGTACTATGTACGTAGGTACCTTAGGTAGTACGTAGTATGCCTTAGGAAGTACTGGCGCTAAGTCCAGGAAGAGGTTAGACCTTGAGCTGAACTGCCATTAGACATGGCCCGTGCATATATGTGATCCACTAACCACCTGTAAGACAAACGCGCCGCTTTCCATCAATCGGATTTACGCGACGCTCATGTTCATAGAAGCGCGTTAAGTGCCGACAATTGACTACTTTCGTACTTTTCGTACGCTCTACTTTTTAATAGTATTTCGTTCATTAGGACCACACTTGCCCATTATATCACAACTCATTTTTTTCCCCATCGGCGTAATATAATCTCACCCGAAACTTCATTTTTGACAAGGCTTGCGACTTAAGCTTACTGGATAGGATAAGATGGAGGAAGAGTGTAAGGCCACTTGATCGTTGTTGTCGCGCAAAGGATCTGAACTGATTATATCATCTAGGGACGGTCGACGCTAGCGAGGCGCTCAACATATCGCTCGTGCGGCCTGCTTCGTCGGGAATCGAGAAGATCGCATCTTTCAAACCGAGACATACTTATGCTATCTTTGGCGAGGCTGAGCGCATATTTGGTCATAAGGGTTTGAAGATCGATTTGCAGTTTGACGCTAGAGATCTACGACCGAATATCTCAATATCCTCCGCAAAAAAGTTCACTAAGGTTGGCGATGTTGAGGCTGTTGATGTCAAGCATACTATGAAAGACTATCTACCCGGAGGTGTGTTGTGTAGTTTCTATAAAACCTAACTATCTCTAATATGTTATCTTATAATACTTACTTTTGCAGTTGCCTTTCAATCTGGGAAAGAATACGAACACGCGTTGAAGAACCTTCCTGATACGTGGACCCCTCCTGGAACCCTTACGAAGACGTTGGAGAAGAATGGCGAAGTCTACGAGATCTGGCAGGGATCGTTATCTCAACCGGAGATTCACCAGCTGATCAAGCGCATCCAAATTAACGTTCTGTTCTTTATTGAAGGCGGATCGTATATAGGAGTAGACGAAGAAGGAAATGATGAGCCGGATTCTTCTTTAACTCGATGGACTGTCTTCTTCGTTTACAAGAAGACACCCAACTCGAAGGCCGAGGATAAACCCCAGTATACCTTCCAGGGTTTCGCAACAACTTACAACTTCTGGATGTTCCAACAAACTACACTCCCGTCTTCATCAGTTAAGGAGAAAGCGAGCGACGCATGGGAGCTACCCGAGGGAGACTTTTCCGTTACGGATTTCGTTCATCGCATGAGAATCTCGCAGTTCTTGATCCTCCCTCCTTTCCAGGGGAAGGGTATCGGTGCTTTCCTCTACAACACCATGTTTGAAATAGCGATGAACACTAGCACCACTAAAGAGGTAACGGTGGAGGATCCTAACGAGGATTTCGACTTACTTCGAGACTTGTGCGATATGAAGTATCTGCGCAGAAACGTTCCCGAATTTGCCAACTTGACGGTCAACACCGAAGTACCTGTTCCCGCGAAGGGTGGCATATTACGCCATAACACGCAAATTACCCCTTCTCTTAAAGAAACCACGTCAATCGGGGGGATTGTTGACATCGTAAAGCTGGAAGACCTTCGAGTCAAATGCAAAATTGCGCCCCGCCAGTTTTGGCGACTTGTCGAAATGCATCTGATGTCGAAATTACCCGACTCCGTCCGACCACAGGCTGATGATGAGGTCGAAAAGCCAGCGCCGTCAAAGGCTGACAGGCACGCTTATACGCTATGGCGCTTGCTACTCAAGCAGCGTCTATATCGTCGTAACGTCTCTATTCTAGGCGAATTCGAGATCACAGAGCGCATCATCAAGTTGAACGAAACCGTTGATAATGTCGAGTGGGAGTACGCTAGGATTCTCGAACGACTTGAGTCGACACCACCTGCTGCTGCCGGCGAGTCTGCGGCTGCTAACGGCAAAAGGAAGCTCGCCGGTGGTCCCAGTACAGAAGACCTTCCTAGTAAGAAGACACGCATCGAGGATACTGAGGACAAATAGGAGTAAAAAAAAAAAAGGGCGAATACTTTGGTGATAAAGAGGTTCCTGGTGCTAATATAGTAAGGAGTTTCGGGAGGTCTCATGATACCTACGTTATGTGTATATTTAAGAGGGCTTCTCCTATAATGTTTTCCCTCTCGGCAGGTACTAGGTATTGGTCGATGTCTGGCATAGCTCTATCGCAACGTTGATCTACGGATACACAGCAGACGGGTGTAACATAAACAAATGAGAAAATTAAAGAAAACAGCAAGCGGTTTAATTAACTGCGTATCTTGCTCGACGTTCTATGAAGTCTTGTAATTAAAACGCCTTGAACTCCGTCCATATGCACATTTCACAACTTTTCTTTTTCTCTATATCCGTTCTTACTTCCCTAAGTACCCTTTCCAAGCTGGCTGGCGACAACTGCGGCTTCTTTCACTGCTTTGGCCACGGTGCCCCGTACCCGGCCCTCCTCGAGCACTAGAAGACCCTCGATAGTACAGCCGCCTGGCGTGCTAATCCTATCTCGAAGCAGTGCCGGGTGGTCTCCATTAAGGACCAAGGCGGCAGCGCCTTTCATAGACTGAGCAGCCATCCTCTGAGCCTCGGCTCGCGGCAGGCCCATGGAAACTGCGCCGTCCACAGCGGCTTCGAGCATGAGGGAGAAGAACGCCGGTCCGGACCCAGCAAGCGCCGTGGACGCATCCATGTTTCGGGCAGGAAGGTAGATGACGTCGCCGATGCGCTTGAAGATCCACGTCACGAGGCTCGCGGTATGAGGGGGCAAGGGCGGGTTGCTGTTCGCGATGACGGTCATGCCCTGCCTAACCATGCTGGCGGTGTTGGGCAGCGCTCTCACGATGCGGCAGCGGCCGTCGTCTTCGGGGTCCTTCTCGGGGACGGCGCCGTGGAGAATCTTCTCGATCTGGGGGACGGTGACGCCGGCGCATATGCTGATGAGGAGCTTGCCGTGGAGGGCCTTGGACATGCCGGGCTCGTTGAGAAGGTCCTCGACCATGTAAGGCTTGCAGGCAAGGATGATGACGTCGCTCTTCATGACGGCGGACACGTTCTCCTTCTGGACGACCTTGACGGAGGAACTATGCTCCCACAGGGCCTGCTTGACCCTCTTGGCGGACTCGGGCCGGCGCACGCACGCGATGAAGCGGGAGGGAAGTCGCGCGGGGATCTCGTCGGCGGGGGTTGACCTTCCGGATGGCGTCTGCAGGGGACGAGGCGCCGACATCTCCTGCAGGGAAGATAGGATGCCGGAGAGGATGGCGATTCCCATGGTTCCTGAGACACAATGTTAATTCGCCAGCTTCAGTGGGAAGCGGGAGATGCTAATTTGAGACATACCGCAGCCAAGAACCGCCAAGGTCAGCTCTGGCGCATTGTGCTCGTGGTGGGTGAGGGCCAACATATTGTTGAGAAGCTGGTTTCAATGATAATGGGGAGGATGCTGTGTCTGTCTATTGCTGCCCAAAGAGGATGTTTATTTTGTTTTGGTATAAATATTTTTTTTAATTTTTTTTTCCTAGGCTCTTAAAAAATACAAGCAAACAAAATCGGCGAAAAGTGCCAGATTTTTATAACCAATGCAGAACAGAGAAAAGGAAATAAGAATCCTTCCGGACGAAATTAATTAAATCACAGAGACCAACGAAAAGGAAAATCGCGTTTCACCGCATCATAGGACACTTGTCTTATTGACCTGGGAAAAAAAAAAAAAAAAAAGGTAAGCCCCTTATTACTATGTCCACGAAGAAGAACCGCTTCGACGAGATGATAGCCATTCTCGTTTCTGGGTGCCACTTTACCGAAGTAGCACCGACAAACCTGTTCTACCCGCTGCCCACTATTTTTGTTCGAATTTCAGCCCCGGTTCAGCTGTGAGGTCTCGAGGGATTTAATTGGCTGTCGTCTCTGCTTTTGTGCATTCTTCTGTAGATCGTACATAGGTATGCGCATGCTGTTCATTTATATTAATTAGTACCTGGTATTCATAGCTTGTTATATTATAAAACTTGTGATTTCAATATGATTAGGTGTGATTAGGTGGTTGTGTAAATTGAGCAAGATATGATCTGATCACTTCGATATTTGTTTTAAGTGGAATATTGAAGTTCAAGCACAGGACTTGGAAATCGCGTAACTTTAGGTACCTGGCAGAATGGCGTCAAAAAAAGTGCCTATTCCACTACCAAACAAGTCATTTTGCTATCCGCATAACTTTACCAAATCGTCTCGTAAGCTATTAAAATAATTACTGGAATGATTATAAAATTTTGCTCTATATGGAAATAATTTTTTTGAATTTAATTTGTCTTGATATTCGCTAAAAAAAAGGTTGGTGGAAGGAATATTGGTATTAGGCACTTAATTTGACGGCATTCTGCCTGGGTACCTTGAACAATCGCGCTATTGCCAGACCAAGCTTAGCGCTTTCCCCAAGCTACCCTTTTAATCCTTCCAGCCTTCTAAACTCAGTATTCTCCTAGCGGGGACTTGCCGTTTATCAATGGAGCCGAGAGCTAGGGATCGATAACCGAACGGAGCCTCTTTTTCCATGTCAAGGTTGCGGCCTCGTCAGCCTCGCGTCTCTATTTCATGTTTTTTTCTACTACCTACCTAACCTAACATAAGAATCAACATTCTCGATATTCTAATCCCGGCCATGTCACAATGGCGACAGCGGATCCTTTCGAAGTTCGGATGCGCTTCAGCTCCCAACTTGAACACCTCAATGCGAGCACTACCGCTGCTCAGAAAGCTGCCCAGTATGCAATGAAGTATAAGGATATGGAGGAAGACCTGCACTCATGCATCCTCGAGCAGCTGGAGAAGGTGATTTTACGAGCAAATCATTGGTGTTATTTGCAAATCACGAAGTTACTAACTCCGTGATCTAGACTAGTATGAATACACGTGCAAACATCATGTACTTCCTAGAGCACTTGCTGGAGATGGCATCCAAGGACCGCCAAAATCAGTACGTCCGAATGATGCAGAGAGATATCATTCGAGTTGTGGATGCGGTCTGTCCCGAAGATGGATCTGGTGCGGCCAATGTCAAAGTTGTCCGAAGGGTAAGTTTTTGCAACGTCTAAGCGGATCTCATAGCTATATAGTATAAAGCTCACAATGGTCATTTTTAGGTGCTTCAAAGCCTAATGAACAAGTCTATCTTACTCGAGCAGACGGTAATCGAGATAGAAGGTTGCCTTAAGGAACGTGACACTTCTGTTGACCTTGGGTTTTCCTCGCCCGTTAATGGAGATGACGCTTCCCGTTCTCGCAATGCCAACGGCACCGCTAATTCTCACCGCCTCGACAAACGCCAGATCGAGCAGCGCATTGAAGAGGATCGAGAACGTCATAAGCGTATGCGCGAGAGCATGTGGGCTGTTCCCGGAACCATAGAGGGAGAGGCGATGAAGCTTCTCGAGGAGACAAGTGAGCTTGGAGAAGACGACCACATTCTCGGCCGTGAGGAGCGGGAAGAGTTTCAGCGAGAAGTAGAGATGAGCAAATGTCAACACCTTCGACAAAGAGATGCTACTACCAACGGGTCTTCGTCGCATTAGGATGCGTCGCCCCTCCAACTTAGCAAATCCCAAAAAGCAGCATGGAGACGCCGAGGATCTAGAAGGAAGCGTCGTGGTACGAATCGGATACCAAAAGACTGTCTGGCGTTTTCAACTAACGATGCATCGCATGGCGTTGAGGAGGACGGAAAATCAGCATAAAAAGGCGTTTCTGGTTATTTTGCATTTCTTCTATTTTTGAAGGATGAAGCAATGGGTTGGTATCGTTTTGGGGACGGGGAACATGGTGATTAAGTAGTATTCCTTGTGGCATAACTGGTTTGAATAACTGATTTGACCAGAGGCGACATGCGTTTAACGATACCATAATTCAAGTTAATTACTGACAAGTTCATTCTACACGAAAGCTACCAAATTTTTAATTCTCTACGTACTTCTTACTCCATCTCTTTCGATATTACCGACTCAAGCTTAAACGTATATTCTCGCCATATGGGTATAGAATTGTATGGTGGTTCTTGTTACTCTGTTATGACTTTCACTGTTTTATTATAAATTTGGGGTATAATTGGATCATAAACTGCTATCGTATTTTGTGCCCTTCGGATTACAAGCGGCTCATCAGCCGTCGTCTTAATCGAAGTCTAGCTCCGAATAACGGCAGGCGTGAAATGGTAAATAAAAGTTGAATCCCTGTGGTAGCTTATGGAACATACATTTAAGCGAGTATAGACATTCACTAGTCGTATCTATCTTAGGTAGACAGTTTATTCTTCAAACAACATTCTATCATCTTCCACTCCTATTATCTACCACGGTACCTACCTAGTAGTTAAAGTGTTCGTATTGCTGCTCAGAACTACCTGATTTTCAAGACCATGCCGAAAGTGTTGATATTCGGCACCGGCAGCCTCGGCACTTGCTACGCCTGGGCGCTATCAAACGCGGTCGGGCAGGACAACATCACCGCGATATGCCGGTCTAACTACGAGGTTGCGTCCCGGAATGGCTTCACGATCCACTCGAACCTGTGGGGCGATAACCTGACGTTCCAACCCCGCATCGCGAGGTCCGTCGCCGAGGCCGTGCAGCAGCTATCTCTGGACCAGCAGCAATTCTTCGACTTCGTGGTCGTCGCCGCGAAGGCCGTCCCCGCCGACCCGTCGGTAGCCGAAGTCATCGGCCCCGCCGTCGCGAAGGGCAAGACGGCCGTCGTCCTGCTGCAGAACGGCATCGGCATCGAGGACGAGTACGCCCGGCTGTACCCGGACAACCCGCTCCTGAGCACCGTCGCCTACTTCCCCGCCACCCAGGTCTCGCCCGCCGTCGTCCACCACAAGGAGGTCGAGATGCTGCACGTCGGCACGTACCCGGCGGACGCGCCGGCGCCGCATAAGGACGCCGCGCGGGAGTTCGCCGAGCTGCTGGGCAAGGGGGGCGCCACGGCCAAGCTGCACGACGACGTCCAGCGCAAGCGCTGGGGAAAGCTGCTGGTGAACGCCTCCTGGAACCCCATATGTGCGCTCACGCGGCTGCGGGACCGGGAGTTCGTCGCGGCGAGCCTGGGTCTGGGGCTGGGCGCGGGGGAGGATGAGCGGGGTGATGATGGCGTGCGGTTCATCAAGGACGTGATGATGGAGATCGCGTCGGTGGCGCAGGCGTACGGGTACAGAGACGTGAACGAGGAGATGGTGGATTTCCAGATCGGACGGGCTGTAGTGCGCGACTTACCGGGCGTGCAGCCGTCTATGCTGGGGGATGCGTTCGACAAGAAGAGCATGGAGGTCGATGCTATTGTGGGCAATGTGGTGAGGCTTGCGAGGAAGAAGGGGTTGGATGTGCCGATGCTTAGGACGATTTATCTCCTGGCTAACGGGCTTAGCGAGAGCTTTACTCGCAAGAAGATTCAGGCATAAAATATCCAAGGAGCGTTCTATCACAGCAAGAAAACAAGAATCCCAGAAATTGGCTTCTTTGACCGCCTGAAAACTTTACTGTCCAGGGATTTTGTATTGTTATACAGGTTTAGGTTACATGTATGTATATAGGATAGGGCATTGCTCGAGTAGTTGCCATCCAAGTGCAGACGGTTTATTCCATAACCACGGTAGCTCCCAGCTCCTTCATCGTAGCCACGATCTTCTCAGCCTCCTCCTTGGGTACCGACTCCTTCATCATCTTCGGCGCGCTTTCCACGAACTTCTTGCTGTCGACCAAGCTCAGGCCTAACAAGCCCTTGACCTCCTTGATAATCTTCGCCTTCGCGCCGGCGTCGAACGCTTGCAGCTTTAGGTTGAATAGGGTCTTCTCCTGGGCGGCCGGTGCGGGTTCGTCAGCCTCCTCGGCGGCGGCGGGAGCGGCAGCCGGGGCAGCAGCGAAGCCGCCAACCGGTAAATCGGGAATATTTAGTCGAGACTTTTTACATGTAACATATATCATCAGCAAAAAAAATAGAACTAGGAAGCCTATATTCACGAAGTAGGGCCAACCTTTAGGCTGCTGACGAGGTCGGCAGTTTCGAGGAGTGTCAATTGGCTAATCTGGTCAACGATACCGGCGATCTTCGGGTTCGTAGCCGCTGCGGTAGACTCGTGCCGCCGCTGTATCGACTGAGTGCTCTGAATGAATGAAGTGGATGATCGAAAAGAGCCGTTGGTGCGAATTGATCGCGCGCAGCTTCGAACTGCGTACCTGCAGGGTGCCGACATATTTGGTGACTTCGTTCGTTGACCAAACTGCGAATTGACTTGGAAAGGGGAGGGGTGACTCCTTTGCCTTTGACTGAGCGGAACACTTCGTGATATTCTTGGAAGTTTTTAATGAACGATTTCGATTTGGCGAAGCTTTGCCGGGACCTTGCTAGATTTTTGTGGACCCCCACACCCCGCCATCCGTGCTGCTGTGGCGGTGCCTGCGCTGCTGCGCTGCTGCGGTGCCAAACAGCCTCCGTTCCGACATGTGGAGTCAGAGAGCTTTAGGTACATAGGTACATACATCTCATTCACCGCCTAAATTTTTAGAAAAAAATCGGCAGAAAAAGTTACGATAAGCCTTATCTCAATTGACTTTATTCGCGACTATGTACCTAAACTAGAGAAAATCAAATCTCAAGATTTGGAACGAATAATCGTTTTATATTTTTTATAGCGCGCAAATACCTTTTTTTTCGGCATCTTTTTTTTTTCTTTTTCATAGCAGCCATGTCGACTGTTGATATTAGCGCACAGAGGGATCAACTCCTAACTCACAAAGAGTTGTTATCTCAGTTACCTCCCGATTTATTAGAAATAATTCGTGATGGTCGAACCCCTGCCCGTTTTCTCGATGCGATAGCTACGGCAGCTCTTATTCCCAATATCACTGGACTTATTTTCACCCATTTCGAGATTGAAATTTCTGAGATATGCGCAAGATGGCTTATAAGACCTCGAGACCAAGGTCAAGAAGACTCTATCATTGCAGCTTTTGCCAGAATCCTCCCCTTTGCGCCGTACTTATCAGTTTTCTTGGAACGGTACATAAGAGAAACCTCGTATAGACTCGATTCAGAACTACATCCTTTCGGAATTAACTCACTCAACACACGTCCTACGGAAAACTTTGCTATAGAGGACTTACAGAGGATTCTAGTTGCTTTCTGGAGGTTACTTAATTATGACAAGAAGACCTTCAGCCCATTAGTTCCACCTTCCAGAATACAAGAACTATTTAAGCATGGTCATGCCTCAATTAGGTATCTTGCTATTAGAGTGTTCTGTTGCCAGCTAAGCGCTTCCGACTTTAATCTAGAGGGACTTATCCGCCGATATATTGATCATGAAGAATCTCTAGTTGGAGATCTCGATGGAGTTCAGATCGACTACACCTTTCTTTCGTTGGTTGAGCGCCAACGAGCAGAAGAATGGGATAAATCTCGCCAAAAGATACGTATCGAGCTTGAGAACTTTAAAGGGGAGCCGTTCCAACCCCAAGCGCTCCAAGACATAGTTATTCAGTATAACACAACTATCCTTCCCCGACAAAATGGCCCGTCTCGTATGATGTCTAGGTTGGTACAAACGCCAACTACTCTAACTAATCTTCAGAGCCTCGCGCAGAATCTCCAGCAATCGGGGCCGATACTTTTGCATGGGTTGCCCGGATCCGGAAAGACATCGATTGTGTATGAGCTTGCCCGCGAACTCAAGATGGAAGAGAGCATGGTAACATTACACCTGAACGAGCAAACCGATGCTAAAATGCTCATTGGACTATACTCTACAGGTTCAAAACCTGGCTCTTTCTCATGGAGACCAGGTGTTCTCACAACCGCTGTTCGCGAAGGACGTTGGGTCCTAATCGAGGACTTGGACAGAGCACCGAACGAGGTTATGAGTACTCTGCTACCATTAGTGGAGCACGGCAAATTGCTTATCCCTAGTCGTGGTGAGACGGTAGAGGCTCCAAGCAGTTTTCGACTGTTTGCCACCGTTCGGACTACTCGAGGAATGAATGGGCATGAGAATCTTCCCAGTATACTGGGACAGCGATTCTGGAATCTGTCCAGTGTAAAGATGCCTCCGCCGGTTGAGCTGGAGCAGATCATCGTTGGAAGTTACCATTTATTACACAAATATGCCCCGATGATTATGTCAGTCTATAGGCGCCTTTGCCATCTCTCCAGTCTACCGCATGTGAGCAATTCCGGTCGGAGCATAGTAGATCGTTCCATTACGCCCAGGGATGTCTTGAAGTGGTGCCGTCGCCTCAACGAAACTCTCCTAGCTTCGGGCTGCAAGCTTGGCGACGAACCTATAAGTGAGACAACGAGAGACTGGATGTTCATGGACGCGGTCGATTGCTTCTGTGGGAACATTTCTAAACCAGAAACAAGATCTGCTCTTGTCAGTTGTATCGCCGAGGAGATGCACCTATCGCAGCAGCTTACGGAACATTACCTCAAAGTACACGTGCCACAGATAGAGGAAAGCCCTAGTAGTTTCAAGGTTGGAAGGGCCATGTTGACCAGAAGAAAGCACGCTAATAGAGTGGTCAAGTCGAGAAAACCCTTCGCGAGTACCAGTCACTCTAGGAGACTACTTGAACAAATATCGATGGCTGTCAAACTACGTGAACCCGTGCTTCTCGTAGGTGAAACTGGTATCGGAAAGACGACTGTTATTCAACAATTGGCTGAGTCGCTTGGCCATAAGCTTGTGGCTGTGAACCTGTCGCAGCAGAGCGAAGTTGGGGACCTTCTAGGTGGTTTCAAACCGGTGAATGCGCGAAGTCTTGCCGTTCCCCTAAAAGAAGAGTTTGAGGATCTATTTGCTTCAACAGGGATCTCCGCGTCGAAGAACCCGAAGTATCTAGAACGGATTGGCAAGTGCGCTGCGAAGGGCCAATGGGCAAGGGTATCGAAGCTATGGAAGGAAGCGCCGGCTATGTTCAATAAGATCGTGAGCCAACTTCAAGCCCAGGCCAACGCCTCTGGAAATGGCGAGCCCGATGGACAGCCTGCTATCAAAAGACGTAAAGTGGAATCCAAGCTGCAGTCGTTACTCGACCTGAGGCCGCGTTGGGAGGCATTTTCTCGGAGTTTAGAACAGTTCGATGTTCAAATCTCGGGAGGCTCCGGCAGTTTCGCATTCTCCTTCGTTGAGGGCAATATTGTGAAGGCTGCAAGAAATGGAGACTGGGTTCTACTGGACGAAATTAACCTCGCATCCCCTGATACGCTGGAGAGTATCGCCGATTTACTGGCTTCTGGCCCTAATGACGAGCCGTCAATTCTGTTGTCGGAAACTGGCGACATTGAGCGTGTGAAGGCGCATCCGGACTTCCGTATATTCGGTGCCATGAACCCAGCCACGGATATTGGCAAGCGGGATCTTCCCCCTGGGCTGAGATCGCGTTTTACGGAGTTTTACGTCGGTAGCCCAGATAAGGACCTGAAGGATCTACTCACAATCATCAAAGCTTACCTGAGTGGGAAGAGTGTCAAGGATGACCAAGCTGCTGATGATATCGCTCGACTATATCTGAACACCAAGGCCCGCGCAGAGGAGAAGCGTTTGGTTGACAGTGCAAATGAGGTGCCTCACTTCAGTTTACGAACACTGACTCGTGTCTTAAGTTACGTGAACGATGTTGCGCCTTTTTATGGTCTTCGACGAGCTCTGTACGAAGGATTCTCGATGGGTTTCCTCACATTGCTAGATAGAGCGTCCGAAGAGACACTTGTGCCTCTGATTCACCATCACCTCCTCGATAGACATGGTGCTAGATCACTGCTCTCACAGCCACCAAGGTACCCCGATGATGGAAAACATTACGTCAAATTTGTGAATAGGAATAAGGACCGACAATATTGGTTACTCCGGGGAGATGAAACCCCTATTGAGCGAACGGATTACATCATTACGCCCTACATCGAACGCAACCTCCTAAACTTAGTGAGAGCTACCTCTACTAGGCGTTTCCCTATCCTTATACAAGGTCCTACGTCAGCAGGAAAGACTAGTATGATTGAGTATCTTGCAAACTTCAGCGGCAACAAGTTCGTGAGAATCAACAATCACGAGCACACAGATCTTCAGGAGTATCTCGGAACCTATGTCTCTGGTGCCGATGGAAAGTTACGTTTCCAAGAAGGGTTGCTGGTACAAGCTCTCAGACAGGGACACTGGATTGTGCTTGATGAACTTAATCTTGCCCCAACTGACGTTCTAGAGGCGTTGAATCGTCTCCTCGACGACAATCGCGAACTGCTCATCCCTGAGACGCAAGAGGTTGTCCGTCCACACGAAAACTTCATGCTGTTTGCGACCCAAAACCCGCCTGGCTTATATGGCGGCCGAAAGGTACTTTCGCGTGCCTTTCGGAACAGATTCCTCGAACTTCACTTTGATGACATTCCTGAAGACGAGCTTGAAATCATTCTGCAGAAGCGCAGTTTATACACCGCGCCTTCTGACTGCAAGAGGATCGTTAACGTATATAAGGAACTCTCGAGATTGCGACAAACAAGCCGTCTATTTGAAAACAAGGATAGCTTTGCGACTCTGAGAGACTTATTTAGATGGGCTCTAAGAGCAGCCGAGACTCGAGAGGAAATTGCCGCTAATGGGTTTATGCTCCTTGCCGAGCGTGTTCGCAATGAGGAAGAGAGGATAGCTGTTAAAAAAGTTATCGAGATGGTTTTCAAAGTCAAGATTGACCAAGAACAGCTCTATGATATCCACAAGTCGCCATATCTACGGGTGCAGCCTCCAAATAATGGTCAGGGTGTTGTCTGGACCCGCGCCATGCGTCGTCTGTATGTCTTAGTTGCCAGTGCGCTTCGTCATAATGAGCCAGTACTGCTCGTGGGAGAGACTGGTTGTGGTAAAACTACTGTCTGCCAACTCCTTGCTGAGTCTCTTGGTAAGAAATTGCATATAGTCAATGCACACCAAAACACAGAAACTGGCGACCTCATCGGATCTCAACGACCAATCAGGAACCGGGGAGCTATTCTAGATGCATTGACTCAAGACCTTACAACAGTTCTAGAGGAACTCGGGCAAATGGTTGATGGTGACGTAGAGGTCTTATTAGGGAAGTACCACGCCCTTGATAAATCTACCCTGTCCAGGGTGCCCGTGGATTTACAACGCAGAATTTCGGATAACGAAGTCAAGATCAAGGCTCTCTTCGAGTGGGCAGATGGAAGTCTGGTCCACGCGATGCGAGATGGCCAGTTCTTCCTCCTTGATGAAATTTCATTGGCAGATGATTCTGTTTTGGAAAGGTTGAACTCTGTGCTAGAGCCCCAGCGCACGTTGCTCCTTGCAGAAAAGGGAATTGATGACTCGTTTGTCAAGGCTTCTGATGGCTTCCAATTCCTGGCAACTATGAATCCCGGCGGTGATTTTGGCAAGAAAGAACTCTCGCCAGCGTTAAGGAACCGTTTTACCGAAATCTGGGTGTCTCCTCTATCAGCCAACGAAGACGTGCTGCACATTGTGTCCTCGAAGCTTAAACCTGAGTTTCAACCGGCTGCAAGGGTCATTGTTGAATTCTCTTACTGGTTTGGGCAGAACTTCCGGTCCACGGCTTCAACTGCGTTCTCAATAAGAGACATTCTAGTTTGGGTGAAGTTCATTAACGAGAGCGCAGCTTTGAGTGCGGAAGCATCTGTAGTCCATGGTGCGGCTACTGTTTTCATCGACACCCTGGGTGCGAACCCATCTGCGTTGATCGCGATCGACCCCAAGAGCATGGACACGCAACGACAGAAATGCTTAGACAAGTTGAGCGAGCTTCTCGGTTGTGATGCGACTGCGATATATCGGGCGCCACCTGAACTGGCCGTGAGACCCGATGAATTGCGGATTGGTGACTTTTCCATCAAGCGTGTCGCCAATGAGAATTTTGAGGCTGGATTCGCCTTGCACGCCCCAACCACAAAGCTCAACGCGATGAGAATAATTCGTGCCCTTCAAGTGCAAAAGCCTATTCTGTTGGAAGGTAGTCCGGGAGTCGGAAAAACGACGCTGGTTAGCGCTCTTGCCCGAGCATGCGGAAGACCCTTGACCAGAATCAACCTGTCTGACCAAACCGATCTGATGGACCTCTTTGGAACCGATGTTCCTGTTGAGGGGGCGGAGGCTGGCCACTTTGCGTGGAGGGACGCGCCGTTCCTGCGTGCCATGCAGAACGGAGAATGGGTACTCCTTGATGAGATGAACCTAGCTTCCCAATCCGTTCTAGAAGGTCTCAATGCGTGTCTCGATCATCGAGGAGAAGTTTATGTCTCCGAGCTTGATCAGGTCTTCAAAAAGCACCCTGACTTCCGGCTCTTCGCAGCGCAAAACCCACATCACCAAGGTGGAGGGAGAAAAGGATTGCCCAGTTCCTTTGTAAACCGTTTTATTGTGGTATACGCGGATGTATTTAGCGAGGAAGACCTTCTGCTTATTGCCGAACACAACTTCCCTACGATCCCCCCTGAGACTGTTCGAAGAATGATCAACTTTATATCCAATTTGGAAACACGCATCCTGGTTGAGAAGGCTTTCGGATCCCAAGGTAGTCCATGGGAATTTAACCTTCGTGATACTCTACGGTGGTTACACTTGCTCACGTCCTCAGATCCTTTACTTAAGACAGGAAAAGTTGATGACTTTCTGAATATCGCGATTCGACAGCGTTTCAGAACCGAAAGAGATAGGCTGGAGGTCGACAATCTTTTCACTGAAACTTTCGAGGCGCCACCAAAAGGTCATCAATTATATCACAGCATTAATTCCTCCTTGTTCCAAGTTGGACTTGCGCTGGTGCAGCGGAATAAGCTCCTACAGCTATCGCAATTCCCTAGCATGGATGTCGTTCCTAGGCTCGTGGAGATAGAGTCACTTTTAATATGCATTAACCAGAATATTCCCTGTATCCTTGTTGGACCGTCGGGAAGTGGTAAGTCAATGCTTCTACAGCATATCGCTGCTTCGTGCGGGAAGTCACTCGTCACCTTTCCCATGAATGCCGATATAGATGCTATAGATCTTGTTGGAGGCTTTGAACAGTCTGACCCTATGCGCGATATAAACGCCGCATTACGACAACTGAGGGAAGCTTTGCAACTCTGGACTGCGAGCACCCTGGTCCAAGGCGCACTCGGCGACGCAGTGGATTTGTTAAACATCCTTGGCTCAATGACTAACCAGGCTGGTGTATCTCAATCACTGCTGGATCGCATTGGAAAGCTCTTGGCTCAACTCCCGGAAACATCTGACTTAGCGGTAACGCTATCTAATGTGCACGAGATTCTCCAGCGTTCTATAAGCATTTCAAATCCCAAATTCGAATGGCTGGACGGCATCATTGTTCAAGCGCTTCAAAAGGGAGACTGGCTGGTACTTGACAATGCAAATCTATGCAGCGCTTCCGTTCTGGACCGATTGAATTCCTTACTCGAACCAGGTGGGTATCTGATTATCAACGAGCACTGTGGCCCGAATGGCGAACCGAGGATTATCAAGCCCCATCCTGACTTTAGAGTATTCTTGACTGTTGATCCTCGTTATGGCGAACTCTCAAGGGCTATGAGGAACCGTGCCATTGAGATTTATATCGAGCCTCATAGTTCAGCCACACCTTTCTGGCGAAGTCGTGTCGCCGAGGTAGAGTCGAGTCTGAAGAGATATGAATCACAATTGGCGGCGTTATCATTTGACATTGAGAATAATTCATCTATATCCGACGTGGCTGTAGATTCTTTATCCTTCGACGATTTGCCCTTGTTGAACAAGTATACCCCATTCGATTGGCAACCACAGGCGATGTCGCTGTTACAACGAGGCGAAGTTATGGAACGTCGTTTCAGGGGCGCGCAATTGGATTTTAATGGCGCGAAGCAAGTGACGGGATCATACCTTCGTTCGGAAGTAATGGTTAATATTCTCACTACGATCCGTCAGCTGTATGCTCCATTGGCTGGGACTATTGCTCCTACTTTTGAAGATATGCAGGTTAGTATTCCCCCTATATTTTTGTTTCGCATTTGTTTATTAACCCTTCTCTAGCCGATTTATCCGCTACAAAATTCGGTTATTGTTCCTTGTCTTCAAAGTGACTTAGCCCAGCTTCCGTTCTGGTTAGCGGCATGCTATGACCGCCATGTAGATATTGTTGAAGCTAGGAGACGTTTATCTCTAGAAGACCCCCGCGGGAAGGGTTTCCGCGTTTCTGAATTGAACAGACTTCAGCGATCATGTATCGCCGACACGGTTGCTGCAGCGTCAAAAGACTCCACTGTGGGAGCTTACAGGTTCCTCAGTAACATCCTGGATGGAATCTACCCATTTATGCAGGCCAATATGTTTAATGCTGATTTCTGGAGGGTGAGTATTGATCTTGCGAGTTATTGAGTTTTGCATTCGCTAATGATACTAGGATCGAGCATACTTCTGTCGGGATGTTATGAACAAATGGTGGACAGCTCTTGATTTCCTTACGGCACCGCGATTTTCTGAAGCGGGTTTCCAGGCTTATTTGAGTCTCTTCTCCGACAGGCTGTCCGACTATATCTCCCATGGTGCGGATGACGGGATCCGTAACCTGGCCTCTGGTATCCTTAGGACAATTAATGATACCTTCGTCTCTGGGTTCAAATTGTCTACTGGCTTGAGCATGGAAATCCTCTGGGAGGGATTGCGACCTATCCCCATTAAGGATGAATTACTCCTGGACAACATTCGCCAAATGGAACGACTGGCCGCACAGTTCGACTCCGTTAAGTGGAAGTCTACAACTACACTGTCAGATCTTGCCAATATAATGACCTCCTTTGTCAAAGTATACCAGCTCATTCGTTTGGGTCAACCAAACGTGGAAACCCTTCTGGGAACTTTGACAACCGAGATAGAACAATTGGTTAGCAAACTAGGCGACGATGGTACTGCGGCATCTCCATTCATGGCTGCCGAGTTTGAAACTATTAGGCAGATTATCTTACTTGATAGCATGTCATGCCGAGAAGACCTCCCACAAACATCAGGAGAGGTGGTCTTATTGTCCAGTCTCCCTCTTGTCACCCAGATGCGCACCACCAGCGCATCTACTACGTCAAAGCTGCTATTGTCAATTGAAAGTATCACAAGCGATACCAATGAGAAACAGTACTGGGATGAGGTCTTATCGGCTCGTATCTTATCAAAGCTCGAGACCATCGATTCGGCTGGTTTAGGTTCTTTAGCCTCACTCGAAGCTGAACTGCCAATTTTAGCAAGACAAGTTTGTACAGACGCAGAGGCACTCACTGTTGACCGTCTCGGAAAGCTTAGTGAGGTACTATATTATCTCATGATGGACGTGTTATCTATCTACAACCCTGCTCTTGTCACTGAATTCAGTTCGGCTTTGCACGCAACCAACACAGCAGATGTGGTTAATCTCTCTGAGATTGGAATGCAAGACAATAAGCTGTTCTTCAATATGGAGCAACTTTGGCCAAATGCGATGCTTGCAAGCCTGGAAAAGCATTCTAAGATCGATAAGCACCATTTAGTTCCCTCTCTTGCGTTCTTGGTCGCCTCTAAGAGTGGATCTAAACATACAAGGCGTGCGCATCTTGCAAATGCCTGGGTTCAATTTTCAGTAGCTTTGATCAAACTCTTCGTTCCTGATAAGGCATACGACCCTCAGTTGAAATCGGTCTTAGGGCTTCAAGGTTATCGATACCGCTTAGATGCCTTGAATTATGAACTTGAACTATTGCGGAAATTCGAAAAGTTTCAGACGGGTCAGTCTACGAATCTGCGATGTGAACTTCTGGAAGAAGAAATCGCTGCGGTTGGCCCACCCCCTTCGTCGGTCCAAGCCGTGTATCGCCCTGCGGATCACCAGCTTAGCAATATCCAAACGGAATTCAATAATCTCCTAAAGGTAATCCTCAAATCTGACCTAAGCGTGTTGATACTTCAGCACTGCTCGGGCTCCGACTCTGCCACACAGGAACTCGATGTCATTCGAGACAATCTATCGAGAATAGCGGACCGCTTGAAACACGAGAAATACCGCGCGTATGAAGACATAGTGTCTCCTGTGATTAACATGATTCATTGTCTAGAGATCGGGTTATACCTAGGACGAAAGGCTGGATCGGGAGTTACTGATGGTAATCGTTCATCGAGAGGATTACTTGACCTTGCTCCTCTTCTTGGCGGAAAATTAAACCTCCCAGCTATACAACCAGCTCCGTCTCAGAGTTTCGAATTCCTATGCTACACCCGCATGGTAGTTGCTGTAGAGGGCCCAAGTGGACTTGAAAGGGTCAAGCAGGGGACTTTCCAGGCAATTCACTCATTATACGATCAGTGGGCCCAGAAGCTTGAAGCTGACAAGAAAGCTGAAGAGTCTAAGAGAAGCTGGTATCGTTATCGGGGCGGCCTCGATGAGGAAGAGGCAGCAGAACAAGAGGCTTTTGATGAACTTTTCCCGAGCTTTGATGAAGACGCTGAGTCTGAACAAAGTAAAATCCCAAAAGTCGGCGATGCTAGAGCGCTGGCTATCAGATTGGCTCAGGTACATAAAGACATATTCCTCACACCACAAGACGCAGTCAAAAGCATCATCAGCCTCGACAAGGACTTCGCCCGAAAAGTCTCAGAAAACGCCGATAATTCCGTTGAGGACAAAAATCTACTTTCAGTCGTACTCTTGTCTCTAGATGAGAAGTTGCGAGATATAAGTTCTAACGCCAACCTAGCCGAATACAATTTCTACACGGACCGTAATCTTCTTGAGGCCCGAAAGCTCTTGAGCTTGGTTAATGAGATCCGTGCTCGCTTCCAGCAACTTCGACAAGTCGACGAAATTGGTCATCTGCAGCCACTTATCGACGTTGTCTTATCTTGCGATAAAATTCTGCAGCTTGGACATTCAGATCCTCTTGCTAGCACAATCCCGAAAGTTGAGCAGTTACATGCCTTTGTGTACGAGTGGCAGTTTGGCGGGTGGGCGAGCAAAACATATGGTGTGTTGCCATTATACAACAGACTAACGGACTTACTTGTTGGTTGGCGCCGCCTGGAACTCTCGACATGGGGAAAACTTTTTGACATGGAAGTCAAGAAGAATGATGAGGATGCTAGTTCTTGGTGGTTCATTGCTTACCAAGCTATCATCGCCGCGCCATTGACCCTAGCTCAGGCTGGAGAAGATCTTTCGCAACATATCTCTGGTCTACTGAGGGAGCTGGAAACATATTTCTTTTCGGCTCCTGTCGGACAATTTTCTAGTCGTCTCGGCCTTCTAAAGCAACTTCATAAGCAAGTCGAGTTAATTGTCGTAGATTACCCATCAATGTCAGTCATTCGAGATGGTCTTCACAATTTCATCGGCTTCTACTCTCGGTATACGAAAGCTGTCGACGATCTGATCCGTGCTGGACGAACCCCTCTCGAGAAGAAGATGAAAGACGTCCTTCTTTTAGCAAGCTGGAAGGATACAAATATTGTCGCATTGCGAGAAAGTGCACGAAAGTCGCATCATAAACTTTTCAGGATCGTTAAAAAGTTTAGAGAGGTCCTTGGTCAGCCTATGAAGCCAATAATCGAAAATGGCCTGCCAGATGAAGCGATCAATGAAGCCAGGACGACTGATATCAAAACAGAGATTAGTTCAATCGACAAATCTGCGGTTAAGCTTTGCTCCGAAGACATTCCTAATTGGGGAGACGAATACCGCAGGTTAGCGAATGTACAGAGAACAACGGAGATTATGAGTAGGCTTAGCCGTATTCCAGAGTCTGCTATGGATGCTGGTGAAGCCATAAACTCTTTCCTTTCCAACCTTGAGGATTCGGCCGCTGAGCTTCGAAAGGAGACCCCTGGTACACTCACTGAGGAGAACAAGGCGTTGGTTAAGCATTTGAAGTCGCGTAAACGAAAGCTGTTTGCGGAGACTCTGAAGGAAGCAAGGCAAATGGGATTTCAGTATAATCTTAGTACTGACGTTCTATCCCAACAAGCCGCACTCTCTACTGTACTTGCTACGTCGGACACGCTTGCCTCGCAGGCTTTCCAGGAACTCAAGAATACGGATTACTACTTCCACAAGATGCTTGATCTTGCACCTCAAGTCCGACGAGCTTACAATGAACACTCGGATGACCTGACTACCGCAGAAGTTGACAGGAGTATCGGATTTCTCGAAGGTGTACTTCATGTTACATTAAATCAAAGACGCGGGTTAGCAAAAGCACTCAAACACTACGACGCACTAGCCGCCTCGTCAAGATATATTCACTCCTTGAGCGAATTACAAGGAGGCGACAAGATCAAGACCACGTCGGTATCTGCTAATCACGAAAGAGTGTGTGCTTGGGCTGTCCAGATTATCAAAGTCGGAAGGCATCTTATCGAGCTACACGCAAAGTTCGGAAACCTGGACCATAAGGAGTTGCTCCACCGGCTTGATGACCGCTTGTCTGAATTCACTAACTTGTCTTCTGAATGGAAATCGCTTCCAGTTATACCCGGCAATCTTACTTCAGTGGCAAGATCACACTTAGAAACAAGGGTCAGCCTATCGCTTAACCAATTCCGAGATGAATTGGATGATGGCTGTCGAAAATGGCCGGCGTTAGCATTCCTGCTGGAGCAAATCAGCCTATGGACTATCATCGACGAACAGTCTGTATCCGCTTCGACTGTAGGAACTAAGCAACTCGAAGCCGTGCTTTATGCATCTAAAAGCCTCTGTGATAGTATTCTTGTAACCATTGAACAACTCAATAAGACAATGACCAAGTTGCCTGGTTCGCAAGAAGAAGCCGGATGGCTGGTAAAGCATGGAGAGGTCATGGCTGATTCCCTTAGAGTTCTACATATGGACAAGGTCGAAAAAGGCATGACGGAGCTCTTCGCACTTTTCGCACAAATAAATTTGGCTGATAACTCTGTTAATCGAATTTCAACTGCCCTGATGGCAGTTCTGGCACCGATTGTGGACCAGTATCAAGTCGCCTGTAATCAAACCGTTGAGACGTTCGCGCGTACTCACAAAAACACCTGCAAACTTGGTTATAAGTTGAGCAAAAGTTTCACCCAACTTTCCTCTCAAGGCTTTTGCACTCCACAAGAAAAGTCAGACGAGAAGTCCGGAGAGACTGGAGAGCTTGAGAGCGGTACGGGTCTCGGAGAAGGTGAGGGCGCCGAGGATATCAGCAAGGATATCCAGCCCGATGAAGATTTGTCTGAATTAGCGCAAGAGAAAAATCAAGAATCAAAGCAGGAGATGGAAGAAGAAAAGGACGCTGTTGATATGGCCGACCAGGAGCTTGAAGGAGATGCCGAAAGCGTGGATGGCGGCAACGATGACGAAAAAGGATCTCAGTCTGGCGATGAAGATGAGAGTGGCGACGAAATGGACGAGGAAGCCGGTGAGGTGGATGACCTGGACCCCTCTGCTGTTGATGAAAAGATGTGGGACGGGGAGGATGAAGAGGATGCGGAGAAGGACCAACAAGGAGAAAATGCAAAGGGACAAAAGAAGAAAGATGAACAAATCGCTGCTGAAGCACAACCAGATACTCAGGAGGTTGACGAAGGAGAAGATGGCAGTCAAGGCGATGAAAACCCTGACGAGAACCCTGGGGCAGAAGAGAACGAGGATGTCCAGCAACAAGAGGAAGCTAATATGCAGGACCAAAACGTCCAAGAGCAGGATACCTTGGCGTTGCCCGATGATATGAACATTGATGGGGATGACAATGACTCAATGTCGTCATTGAGTGACGACGAACTGGATAAACTCTCGGATGTCGACCAGGAGGAGCAGAAAGACAAGCATATGAGTGACCAAGAAAGCGAAACCAATGAAGACGTGGACATGGAGACGGCGCCTCCGGATGCCGGTAATGATAACGAAGAAATGGATGAGATCGCGGATCAGGATGAAGAGGCTAGGATCGAAGAAGACGAACAAGCAGAAGAGCCGGAACAAGATACTGAAGAACAGGAAACGGCCCAGGTACCATCTAATGACGAAGCTAATGCAGCCAATGAGGACGCTGCGCCCAGTGACGTCAAGGGTGGCGGACAAGACCTGGACCCTAACCAGACTGATGAGGTTGACAATACTCAGAGTAATGCCGCCCAGCGAGAGAATGGAGAGATGGGAGAGAATGCGGCAGATCAGGACACTTCGGCTGGCAAGAAGGGCAGTGTTTCGAAAACTCAAGAGCAACCAATGCAGACACAGTTGGATGATACAAAGGATTCGCCAACTCGTCAACCTTTCAAGGCGCTTGGAGATGCTCTAGAAAAGTGGCATAGGCAACAGCAAGAGATAAAAGAAGCTCAAGAACAAGACACACAAGAGCAATCGACAAATGCTGAACCGGAATCAACGATCAAGGAATTCCAACACATTCAAAACGACGAGTCTGCTGCGGATACCCAGGCAATGGGCACTTCGAATGAAGAGCAAAAGCAGCAGATTGATGAATCAATGGCAATTGACGAGGACGAGCAAGCTACGGACAGCCGGATTATCCCTGAAGACGAGGCCGAGGCAGACGATGTAGACGCAGACGCAGACAAGATGGACGTTTCAGAGCCCCAGGACACTCAAGGGCAGCAAGACGCGCAAAAGGAAGAAAGACCTAGCGGGGTATCAACTCATCAAGGTGCTTATAATCGGGATACGACGCCTCCAATAAATGGAGAGGAGTCCCTAGAAGAGGTGGAGGAAGAGATCCAAGAGACTTCTACGCAGCTCTCATCAACCCATCTGTCGGAGCCAAGCTTGGAACTGAGAGATTTTGACGAGACGATGCAGCAATGGACCTCGTTCCAAAGCAAAACTCACCCACTTTCTCTATCTTTGACTTCCCAATTGCGTCTTATTCTTACCCCTTCTCAGTCTACCAAGCTGTCTGGATCCTACAGAACAGGAAAGCGCCTTAATATCAAACGTATCATTCCCTATATCGCTTCCAGCTATAAGAGAGACAAGATTTGGATGCGCAGAGCTATTCCTACCAAGCGCTCCTACCAGATCCTGCTCTGCGTCGACGACAGCAAGAGTATGGGCGAGTCAAGCTCCGGCGAACTGGCACTAGAGTCGCTCGTCATGGTTTCACGAGCTCTTACAATGTTAGAGGTGGGCCAGATCGGTGTCTTGGGCTTCGGTGCAAATACCTTCATGGCGCATGAGTTCACCGAACCTTTTGCCTCTCACGACGCCGGCGCTAAGGTCTTGCAGAAGTTCACGTTCCAGCAAGACTATACGGATATCCAACTCCTTATCAAGCAGACAATCGAGCGGTTCCGGCTCGCACGTCTCCAAAGCACAAGTCGCGGCTCTGAGGATCTCTGGCAACTAGCGCTGATACTATCAGACGGGTTGACGCCGTCAGCAGCGCACGAGCACATCCGCGTGCTGTTGCGCGAAGCTATGGAGGAGCGCATCATGATCGTGTTCATCATTATGGACGACACAGCGTCCGGAAAGGACAAGGACAAGCAGAGCGTCGTCAACCTCAAGAAGGTCCGGTTCATGGGCAACGACGAGATCCGTACCGAGTACTACCTCGACACCTTCCCGTTCCAGTACTATCTCATCGTGCATAATCTCGAGGACCTCCCGGGCGCGTTGGCGGGGTTGCTGAGGACGTGGTTCGCGGAGGTGAATTCCTAGGTGCGGGGTGGTTTGTTTGTTGTGTAGAGGGTTGTGTATGAAGTTGTGCTATTTTTGAAGTTGTTGGGGAGTTGAGGAGTTAAGGGTTAGGTTATAAAAAAAGGGATGGGAAATTTTCATAAGTACCCCTATTTTAGGACTTAGATTTTAGATGTTTATATAAGACGAAATGAAGTAGATAAACGGAAATTATTGTCATTGAAGTTACATCAAACGCTTGGTTTATCCGAAGGCTCGGGGATTGTGGTTTTATTTTTCGCTCTACAAAGTAAATATGAGAATATTGTGCTAGTTGAGACTGGGACTCCTAATAAAGTCTAGGTAGGAACAGTGTTTGGTTGGCCTAAAGCTCTTTATACTTCATGAACCCATTAAAGAATTTCATTATATCATTAATACTTTCTAGTGAGCAGATCTTAGAGATATCTAACACAATATAAGCAAGCATATATGACAATATCAAGAGGTAGGAGAGGGGAGACTTACAGTGATCTGGCCGGACAATGACTACAGCACCTTGATTCGTATCTATGCCATAAGTTTCATAAGCGTGGCCAGATGTTAAGTTGTATCCATCGTCGTCGGAGAAAACTTTGGTGAGAGCTACGCATAGGTAGGCACCTAATGTATTAATATGCAATACTTTAGTCTCCAATGAGAAAAGGATGTTGTTCGCTTACACTTCATCTTCCATCTGCTTACAATAGGTGTAAATACAGGAGGGATCTGGTCCGGTTCAACTTCTGTACGCCCTGACGAGAATAGGAGTATAGGGTTGATAACCGCATCGCGATCGACGTCCGGTGGGGTAAAAGCTTCAACAATCTTTTGTAGGCCCGTTGAAAACTATATGCACGAGAAGTGAGTATTCCTGTTAGGAATTTCATAGAAGTATTAAATAAAGCATGTACCAACATTTTGTAACCGCGCCAAAGTCTTAGGATCACGTATATCCCCGGGAAACACCAAGACATGCCACCAGGACTGGGCCGGTAAGAATCGGACGAGCTGCATTACGCGAGCATCACTGAAGCGGATTACTGGGACACTGGGCAGTCTCATCCCAACAGTCAAGCCAGTAGCCAAAGACGTCTCACTCGTTTTCGCAGAAACTATTATCGAGTCATCATAATTAACAGCCTGGCCAGCGGTGTACCGAGCGGACAGGAGGAACTTGTCGTGGAACTGCTCCGGGGTAATGCCCTGCTCCTTGCGATACGAAGACGAGAAGAGCTTGGACCAGTACCGATCGAACTCGATCAACTCCGCGGCGGTCTTCTGCCGCTCCGAGACGTACGTCTCAAGCAACTCCGGCGAAGCCTGGCCTCGGATCACCGCCGCTAACTTCCACCCGATATTGTAGCCGTCCTGTAGGCTGACGTTCATCCCCTGCCCGGCCTTGGGGGAATGGGTATGGCACGCGTCGCCGCCGAGGAAGACACGGTAGTCCTTGTGGAAATGGTCGGCTAGGCGCTGGCCGATAGAGTAGGCCGACCACCATTCTGTCCCGGCTACTTCCAGATCGTACGGCTGGAGAATTCGCCGGAGCTTTTCGTGAAGCGCTTCTAGCGTGACGTCTTTCGCGGCGACGTTATTCAGCTCTATGTAAAAGCGAACTAGGAGGTCCCCTTCTCGCGGTATAATGATAAGGTTGCCTGCAGCCGACTGGATCACAGCCTTCTTGCGGATATCGGGGAAGTTGGTTCGCGGATAGATGTCCATCACGCCCCAGACGGAATCGCTTGTGTCGCCGATCATTTTGAAGCCGAGGGACTTCCGGACGGCACTATGAGCTCCGTCACTACCCTACAAGTTGTATGATAAGCTTAGGTTAGGTACCTAGGTATGAAAGACAAAACCAACGACTTTTGTGTGTAGCAGAAAGGAGTGCTATCTTACTAGAACATATTTGGCACGATATCTTCGCTCGATCCCGTTCTTCGATACTGCCACGGTAACACAATACGCATCCGGGTCTCGAGCACCTTTGCTATCAACTTCTACGCCCAAGACCTTGCAGCCGTACTCGACGCACGGCCTCCCCGCCGCACTCTCCATCTCCCTCGTGAGCAACTCGTTCATCCTCGCCTGGTTAAGGAGGACATGCGGCATGTGGCTTACACCGGGCTGCCTATCAGGGGTGTAACGAGTGCGTCGGATACCGCCCCTACTACCACCCCTACCACCGCCACCGCCATCACCACTGCGACCGTCATCTTCCGGAGCCCAGAACGCCACTTCGGAGCAATGGTACGCTTCGCCGAGGAGCGCATCCGAAAGGCCGAAGCTCTCGAATATCTCCGTAGTCCGGCACTGCACGCCATCGGCCTGCCCCTTCCTCAGCGGGCCGTCCCGCTGCTCCAGGATCCGGAAGCGGACGCCGCTGCGCGCGAGCCATACCCCGGCGCATAGGCCGGCGGAACCGCCGCCGCAGATTAGCACGTCGCTTACATGGGTTTCCATGGTTGATGGAGGTGAGTTGATACTTGGCCTGACCTGTTGCCTAACCTAACCCGTCTGGAATGGTATAAACAGACAGACAAGGCAGAAGAGACAGGGACAGACTAGGTAGACTCCAAACGCCACATGAAATGAAATGCGGGGAAAATTCGTCGTGAGGGCTTCATCTGCCGCATCGGGATTATCTTCAACCCGTGGGCCGTAATTTCGCCGTACCCGGCTGGTTATATACTTCGACCATCTCTTTTGCCTATTGGCGGGTTTTACATGTTGGCAAGTTATAAAACCTGGGGTTCAAATGGCAATGTCCTATGTCGGAATGATTCACGATAGTTACGTTGTATACTTGGTATCGCCGAAACTTGATTCCAAGTCACGTTACCTCCGCGATGACCGAAATTCCGTATTCACGATGGTGGAGCATTTATAAAGATAATATTCTACTATGTAGATAGCCGCTTTGTTTTTCCGTGATGAACTTTAACCTAGGTTATGAGCCTGTGGCTGCCCACCCACAGCTTTACGTATTGTACCTAATCAGGGGGGAATCATAACAAGCTTTTATAGATGAATAGGTAGGAGGTCCAGTGTGGATACCTACCTACGTTAAAGTACCCGGACACATGTGATAACAAAGAAACTAGAATAGGTAGGCATGTCTGACAATGGGAGCAATCTTAATTGGTCGAGCAAGAAATTATACATAGTAATTAAATGAGAACATACCGAAGAATTTTGGAGGTGGGAATAGGGCTCTTCATATTTATTTTTGAAGCAGGGCGCTCGGAACAGCGGGACCCACTTAAATCCCGAAGCCCGTAGACCGTGCACCCGGTTGGATCCGGCTAATGCAGGTACTGGCCTCAATAATCCCGGCCAACCGGGATCATCATTGGATTGTTATCAGTGATGACACTGGTGAGTCAGGCTGTTTTTCTTTTTAGCCTTACCCTCAGTAAGCTCTGGTGCCGGCGGTGAAAAATGTAAGTAAAAAACGCAAAGTGGATAACGTTTATCCCGTGTTATTTTCGTCACCTGAACGTCACTTTTACATTGCTTATATTTCAGCATATTTTCACTTGCGAGTAAGTAGTTTTTTTTTTCTCTTAGCGGCGTTGACCTCGTGGAGGTTGTCAAGTCCGAACTCGAATTGAATCGTTTTCTCTACTAACCAACTACCGTGTGTATGATTGACTCGTCATGGCAACGACACCTTCAATGAGCAATACCGCCAGGTCAAGCTGTCGTTTACTAACAAGAAGCCCAGTAGCATTAACGAACCCTTCTGGATTCGGCCGCCAGCTCCAATACGCCCCTCGCTGCTTGCGACAGGCCAGTACGGCCACCCAAAATGACCGTAAAAAGGAGCGGGTGGTGATTCTGGGCTCGGGATGGGCTGGCTACGGGTTCGCTCGGAGTCTGGACCCGAAGAAATATGAGCGGATTATGATTTCTCCTCGCTCGTACTTTGTCTTTACCCCTTTACTCGCAGGCACAGCAGTTGGAACTTTGGAATTCCGTGCTGTCACTGAGCCGGTTAGGAAACTCGGTCTGGACCACTTTCACCAAGGGTGGGCTGACGACATTGACTTCGCGCGGAAAGTTATTCGCGTGGAGGCTAATACGTCAGACGACATTGCCTCGAGGACACGGCTAGCGCTTAAGCATCGCCCCGGCACCGCCGATAAAGGGGCTCTGTTCGATGTCGAGTATGACAAGTTAGTCATCGCCGTCGGCTCTTACAGTCAGACGTTCGGGATCGAGGGCGTGCGGGAGCACGCTAATTTCTTACGCGATGTCGGAGACGCCAGGAAGATCCGGATGAGGGTGCTGCAGAACTTTGAGAGGGCCGCGCTACCAATTACGTCCGACGAGCACCGAAAGAAGCTACTCCATTTCGCTATCGTCGGGGGTGGTCCGACTGGCATAGAATACGCCGCTGAGCTGCACGACTTGATACGGGACGACCTGACGTACACGTACCCGGCTCTGATGAAGTTCGTCAGCATCACCGTCTACGACGTGGCGCCTAAGGTCCTCCCGATGTTTGACCAGACGTTGGCAAACTATGCCATGGATCGGTTTAACCGCGAGGGCATTAAAGTAAAGACGCAGCACCACCTAATGCGCGTCCGGCCTGATGAAACTTGCGAGGGCTGCTTGAAACTTAAGATTAAAGAGCACGGAGACGAAGAGATCGGTGCCGGCATCGTGGTATGGAGTACGGGGCTGATGCAGAACCCCCTGGTAGAAAAATTGGAGAGCAAGGTCTTCAAACTACCCGGCTCGGATACCGAGATGAAGCTACAGAAGGACGCGAAAACAGGCGGTATCGTCACGGACGCGAATCTCCGCGTGAACATGATCCCGGCCGCGGCGGCGTCTGAACCGCCGCCCGCTCAGGGGCAAAAGTCGACGGTACTGTCCGACGTGTACGGCGTGGGCGACTGCACGGTGATCTCGGACATGAGCCTTCCTGCCACCGCGCAGGTCGCCAGCCAGCAGGCGCTGCACCTCGCGAAGCGGCTGAACAAGGGCGACGTGGGATCGAAGCCCTTCAAGTTCCGCAACCTGGGCACCATGACGTACCTCGGCGGCTGGACGGCGATCCACCAGAGCAGCGCGGACGAGCTCAAGGGCTGGATGGCCTGGGTCCTGTGGCGTACCGCGTACCTGACACGCAGCATGAGCGTCAGGAATAAGATCACCGTCCCGTTTTACTGGTTCATCTCCTGGTTATTCGGGCGGGATATCTCCAGGTTCTAGGTTGGAGGCTTTCCCTCCCTAGTCGGGGACTTTTCTTCTCTCCTGCCTAGGTAGGTACCTATAATTTTGCACATCTACATCTCATCTTGTAAAAAGAAAAAACCCGGTATAGAAATTAGACTTGGGATAGGGATGGGTTGGGTTGAATTAGCATAAATTAATACGCATCGAGCAAGGATATATAGACTGTACCAAGGCATGTATGTATTTGTAGGAAAAGTAGCGGACGGGCGGGGGAAACAAAACCACGATTCGTCCATGATATGTATCTCATAGTTAATTAAGCAGCGGGTAACCCGAGAGAACATAGAATCAATTACTACCTGACATATAAAAGTTTCGGACGATAACACCACATAACCCTACAGAATCAATGCTCATTTTCGATCGATGCATCCCGTAAAAGAGATGACGGAATTAACTATCCTGGTTCTTCGAGAGGCATGGGCTTTCCGACTGCATCCCACCCTACCTGCCCCGGAGGTACGCGCCAAGATATCACTCTCGTTCTTGTCTTGACCCTAATTTAAGCTAAGTCCACGCCATAACTGTCGTTCCTGCGAGGACGAACGCTTGATCCTAATTCGTGGTCGGTCAAGATCGTCTGCCGCCTGCCTTTAATCGTTAGCCTATGAGCATAACATGGAAACTGACAGATATTGCCTACTGGACGCTTGGAATTCCCCGTGGACGGGGTCAGAGTGATGTTCTCTGGCATCGCGATTTTCATGGGGAAGAACTCATCGAGTTCCCCGTGCAGAATATCCTCCGCATCCTGGGGCTTGTCGTAAATGTTGCGATTGAGAGTGACAAGATCGATCGTGCCGTCGGCGGTACCGTTAGGCTTGGTCACGTTGAGTCCGTCAAGTACTATGGTGATATCTACGGGTCAGAAACCGCTTTTCTAGCAGGTACCTAAGGAAGAAGACGACATGAAGTGGAAACAACTTACGATGGTACCAGGGAGAAGGCCCCGCAGTCCTACTGTCTACTCATCTGTTGGTAAGTCTAGGTATCTATTGAGGAGAGAGTTCTTTGGGGAACAAGCTAGGTGATTTAGGGTAGGTAGTTCACATACAAAGCAGGCACCACAGCACGTCGAGAAATTTAATAGAGAACCAACAAATAGACACCTTGCGGTAGTTGATGTAACAACCTCTAGACGCGTCCGCCACCGATACCAGCCAGAAGTCTCTCACAAACTCCGGGCTAAGCTTCCCCTTGACGAAGTGGAAAGCCTTGGCGAAGTCGAACTCTGTGAAGTTGAGGACGACGTTGGTGACGCCAGCCCGAGAGGCGACCTCGTTAATAGCCACGGCCTTGCTAATGGTCATGGGCTCGGCTGAATGGAACCAACCTGGCGGGGATAGGACCGAGGACTGCATCGTGTAGCCTAGGTTACTGAGTCTCACCTAACGTAGAGTGAAGTTTGATGGAAAACATGAACGAAAGGCAAGAATCAAAATGAGGGGGGAGTATCATCCGAAGGGTCCAATATAAGGAAGCCAGGAAGCCAGGAAAGACTGTGCCTGGTGACTATCCGAGGACGGCTTGTGAAAAATAATGTGGCATATAATACCGGCTGTTCACCATGAATCTGATTAATACGAACTTAAGATAAAAGGGCATCGTCGTATCAGCCGCATGCATCATTGACTACGTCAGCAGGTATGTTCATGAGTATACGAATTTGTGCTGTTGGATGGGGGGATCGTGAATGTCCTCAGGGGCTTGTGCTTTTCCCGTGCTCTATTTGATAGGATCCTCAAGAGTGATAGGTATGAGTTGCTGCATACTAGACAAATGGTCCATGATTTTCTCCTTTCTAAGATATATTTTTTGAACGATGCATGACTGACTGGGTAAGTACCTAATGTAGCTGCTATTAAAATGTATATAGAAATATAGACAGAGCTTTAGATGGAGTCTCCAAATTCATAACTCTATAGAATATATGAATAGAAGCTTACGTAGTGTAGCACATTCATGTTTGAGTAATTCACATCAAACGAGATGTCATTCATTCGGAGCTATCATATCGTTCTCGGGTAAGTCTCCAACACGGCTGAGATGCATAACTTTGAGAAGAAGAAAAAAAGCAAAAAGCAAAATGATCTATCTGACTGAAGAAATACGGATGACTAAATTGGCCGTCCGCGAAGTTGGGTTGTATCTATTTCTTATCTTATCAAGCCTCATATTTTTAGCTTATCTTTATTCTAATCGATAAGCACTGGGTAATCGGTGGTTTGTTGGATTCCGTTGGCGGGGATGCGATAGCGGCGCAAAGTTTCAAGTTCTCGCAGTAAGGTTGTTAGCCGACGGACCCTTGAGAATAGATGCATGTTGATATTATTTCCAATTATATGGAACTTGGCTGTGATAAAGTAGAATAAGTAAGAATGCTTATTGAATACGCATTACAGTAACTATACTGGTAAGTACGTACCTTATTCAGTGTTATATGCATGCCTATTACTGTGTATTGTACTTGGCGCATCCATAGGAGTTACATAAGTAGTATATACCTTAGGTACCAGTTACATAAGGCTCCAGGTGTAGTCTATTAAGTCTCCATGTGGGGGTAAAATTAAAGGTAAAAGATCGATAACGGACATGTACCTTGGGGTAAGTAAGGAGGTGAGAAGGTACGGTGGAACTTTACACTTTACAACCTCTTCCAAGTCAGCCTTTGCAAATCTCCTTCCTTCACCTTTCGGACCACAAAAAATTGTTGCGATTACCTAAATAAAGTCACTTGGTGAAGTTCTCTTGGGCTTATCGGGGATAAGTTACACGTTTTCGCGAATCCACATTCTAGTGTCGTTATTTTTTATTTTTTTTTATTTTTTTATTTTTTTTAAAAAAAAAGAAAAAGAAAAGAAGAAGAAAAAAAAAAACTTCAAAGGGTCCAAAAGTTGTACCTAAGTTAAGGCCCCCAAAAACTTGCCCCGCCAAATATTTTCCTACACTCAAGAACCAACCCACTTTATAATACCTCTACGATATACATACCTACCTATAGGTAATCTCTACAGAGAAAAACAAGGCTATCTGCTTCATCTCAATTCCTATCTTTGATAATGGCATCACCTGGCCCAGATGCTGGTGGCGAGGATGTAGAATTGTACGGTATGATAACCCTCGTCGCTTGTATCGGCTGCTGTTATCGCGCATGCGGATTTCGCAGAATTTGATTGCTGACTCAACAAATTTTAGAGCTTCTCGGCGTCGACAAGAATGCGAGCCAAAATGACATAAAAAAAGCTTACCGAAAGGTAAGAAACCTTACCATCTTAGTCTCTTTCCGATGAAATATGCTGACTGAATTGCTATCTCTAGCTCGCGCTCCAGCACCACCCCGACAAAGTTCCCGAAGATCAGCGAGAAGAGTCTGAAGTCAAGTTCAAATCCGTCACCCAAGCTTACGAGATCCTTCGAGATGAAGAGAAACGCTCCTTATACGACAAGTATGGCATGGCCGCCTTCGACTCATCAAGAGGAGGCGGCATGGGGGGTGACGGCGTAGACATCAACGATATACTTGCCCAGATGTTTGGCATGGGAATGGGCGGTGGTATGGGCGGTATGGGAGGCTCTGGAGCAGGAGCTCCAAGGCCCAGGCGTGGCCCTAGTGAGGAATCCAAGTACTCCGTCAGCTTGGAGGATCTGTACAAGGGCAAGACTGTCAAGTTCGCAGCTAACAAGAACGTCGTCTGCGGAACATGCAAAGGAACTGGTGGCAAGGATAAGGTGAAACCCCAACAATGCGATCGCTGCAAGGGACACGGTAGGGTGGAGGCCTTCCGACAAGTTGGCCCTGGTCTGGTCACCCGCGAAACAGCCGTATGCGATAGATGCCAGGGTTCTGGTAACTACTTCAAAGAGAAGGATCGATGTAAGAAGTGCAAAGGCAAGCGAACCGTCCCGGAGACGAAGCCTCTAGAGATTTACATTCCTCGAGGTTCGCGTCAAGGAGATCGCATCGTCCTAGAAGGCGAGGCCGACCAGCACCCCGACCAGACGCCAGGCAACCTCATCTTTATTCTCGAAGAAGAGTCACATGAAGTTTTCAACCGGATCGGAAACGATCTTTCTGCCGACCTAAACATCACCCTTGCCGAATCCCTATGTGGGTTTTCTCGCGTGGTCGTCCAACATCTTGATGGACGAGGCATCCATATCAACCATCCACGAGGAAAGGTCCTGCGCCCGGGGCAAGTACTCAAGGTAGCAGGAGAAGGCATGCCGATGAAGCGAGGAGACGCCAAAGGTGACCTATATCTCGTTGTCAAAGTCGAGTTTCCCGAAGACGGATGGCTCAAGGATGATGCCGCCTACGACTCTCTTCAGAAGCTACTACCTGGTCCGCCGCCAGAGATCAAGGCCGAGGAAGTTGACGATGTTACATACGAAGATAATGCCGATATTGACGAGGTATGTTTTATTGCCTGCATTGCATAATAACTGGAGAGTGTACTAACTTTGTATCAGATGGGCGCCAATTCTGGAGATCCGCGATTTGGAGACGGATGGGAGGATGAGGATGATGACGAAGGTGGCGGAGCACAGTGCGCCCAGCAGTAATGAGTTATGGTAATATGAGGTTCGATTGGCGGAGACTGGAAGTAACATAAATGCAGATTAGGGTTGGGATAAAGCATAAGGGATTCCTCCATCGTCTAATTTGATTTCATGATCGAGTCACAGAAAGGAGCGGAGATAGGATAGATGGCGACGAGAAGAGTCCTAAGAGGCGTTTCCTCGTAGAGGGGGTTTAACGGTATATCCAGCAGGCTTTTACAACAAAGGTACTAGTTAACTAGGTATAAATCAGACTGAGATGAATTAAGTTGACCTAATTTTGTATGAAATAATGTAGGCTCGTAGCAGAGTTGGACCTTTAAAAGTACTTCGGTAGGTAATAATATTTGTTGAAGCAAGAAAAATGCTAGGACCTCTTTGGCCAAAAAATACCTAGGTACCCAGTTAGTACTTCAAAACCTGCGATGGATCATGGAGCAAGCCTGGCATGGATTTCCATAGAACGGGCATTGACGTGAGCACATGCATGTACCTAGGTACTTCAACTACTGGAACATTGAACATTCAGCCTGGTACATGTAGATAACAAGCCACATGGGGCTGAAGATTGGATGTAAAAAACATCAAATGAATGTTTGTTTTATGCCCCACTAACTCCCGTTCGCCAAAGCTGTGGGACTTTTTTTTTTCTCAATTACCCACACGTGATATTTCACCAACCCTAACAAAAACCCTTAGCGCAAAATTCGGGTGTTGTGCCCATTGGAAACTCTCGGTCCCTCTACACGTAACGTACCTCAATTTTTGCGGTAGAGACCAGTAGCCATCACCATACACCCACCCATCACGACACCGACAGGAAATCAGTCAAGGTAAATATAGAACTTGGAGTACAACTGCGAAGGGGAAGAAAAATAATAATAATAAATAAATCGCTAATAATTGCTCTCTCAAGATGGTTGCCGCTAAGAAGCACGTCCCGATCGTCAAGAAGCGTACGTTCGACTCTTTCCCCTCGATATTTTATCCTCGATTTTATGCGATGCGCCCGGATCACGGATTGGAATAGATTGGAATTATTTATGATGAAATTATGAGGGAGAGATATTGACGGATTTATTTTTACAGGAACCAAGACCTTCAACCGCCACCAGAGCGATCGATTCAAATGTCTCTCCCGCAGCTGGCGCAAGCCTAAGGGTATTGACAACCGAGTCCGACGACGGTTCCGTGGTAGCATGGTTATGCCCTCGGTACGTTCGATTATTCGTTATTAGTACTTGTTATTCATCCTCGAAAATATCTTGGCCTATGGGATATTTAGATGTGGTGATATTAGATGGGGAAAAAAAGAGAGAAAAAAAAAGGCATTATGCTAACATGAATATTTCACGATATAGATCGGTTTCGGTTCCAACAAGAAGACTCGTCACCTCACTCCCTCCGGACACAAGGCCTTCCTCGTTAACAACATCAAGGATGTTGAGTTACTCCTGATGCACAACCGCACCTACGCCGCAGAGTACGTCCCCGAAATTTTGCATCGAAGAGTGGCTTCAAACCCCAGACGCGACTGAGGCGTAACTAACGTAATTATCACAGGATCGCCCACAACGTCTCGTCGAGAAAGCGAGTCGATATAATTGCCCGAGCGAAGCAATTGGGTGTCAAGGTCACCAACCCCAAGGCCAAGGTCACCACGGAAATTTAAGGCGCTGGCGGTTGATGAGGATGACTATGGAATTGGGGTCCGGTTTCTCGTTTTCGGCAGTACTTTGCATGCATGGGAAGGGTTTTGCGCTCTATGGTCTACGGACGGGACATTCGAGCTAGCATGTATTTCGTGCTAGGAAATACAAACACGCCTTCTGCGATGACACGTATTTTGGGCCCTACTTTGACCGATTGCATCCTACGCGACTTCACCTGATCTACGGCATTGGCCCAATCACGGCCCAACATCACTAGATATTAACAAGGGCTACAAGTCATGCTATGACACGTGTAGAAGTTATTATCTAGTGTCACTTTTTCGATGGCAATCATCGTAATGAATATGGCAATATTCCTTTTTTTTTTTTTGATATGTCGTGAGGCGAATTCTTAATCTACGTATGTTCACCCATCCACGTTTTGAAGTTGATGATCGAGGAAAGTTGAGATTTTCTTAAATCTATTACTCTACTATCTGTAGAAGCATCTGGTCTATCATCGCCAAAGTGGTATACATTCCATGAGGCTCTTCTCCAGCCTTTTCCGGACCTCCGTTCTGCTTATATTATAAGCTTAGGATCCATTGCCACAATATGTGAAAGGCTTAGACAAGATCTCTTCCCAGGAACGGTTGCTACGTAACCATCGCTAGGAAGAAAGATGAGGCTTATACGAACTCTAGTTCGGACAAGTACAAATCTTATTTACCAACTTCAATTGACGCCCTTCACACGAGCAAATCTCCTATCATCGATTGACTCCTACATATTGTAATTACTTGGATCACACGTCTGCCTTGGAGGACATACAGCTCTTCAATTTGTAAGGGGTATATCCATTCTAGACCAAGGCAATGGCTTTTCAAGCAACTCTGTAAGACATGCCTCTCTATCAGTTCCTAGTTGTAGTCAAGCAATGAAACATATTAAAAAAGAACTTATTTTGCTAGACAAAACTCAAATCCTTTATACCGCCCAGTGCACTGATACCCTTCTATAAATTAATCTAGGCTGACTGATTTATAGGAAAGTTTCCAACAAAGCTAAATGATCGGATTTGTTTATTTATCAACATGGTGCACGCCCCTTTTCTTCGCCACCTTCCATATCACTCTGAGGACGTCCACAAGTTTTGTTTACGACCTTGGGTATGCTTTTACAATGCTTACCTAGGCCATAGATATCTCATCTGTCGGTCACCATGAGGCTCCAGCCTCCAGATATCTACATATCATCTCCGTTCTTAATATAGCTCCTATTCACATTTGTCCTACGACCCAAAGTCAATCGCTACAACAAGCTAAGTCGCTCCATATCAGTATTTACATCGTCTACAGCTCATACAGATTAACTGACTGTAGGACTAGACATAGTCATATCAATGTCAGAGGCAATTCTAGGTTGCTATCATCCTCTAAACAGAGATATCCCTACCCTCTGGTTCTCTCCGTCTTGCAGGCCATAATACGATATTTCCAATCTGGATCGACATGGCTATTCTTCACGGTTGCATCAACTGCAAGGCAATCCCATCACGATCTACTGCTGTCATAGCAACCTCTCATGGAAGCGATGGCCAACTACGAAATGAAATAATATCCGGCAATTCCCAGCAACATTACTTGGGGCTCGAATTTCCTGATGAAGGAATTTATGTCGTCTACCAAGACCGTGCTATCCAAATCGCAGCCCCGTTATGCGATAGACGAAAGTGCTATACAACTCAGATCTGTTGCTGTGATACACCTCAGTTCCCCGTCAAAGGATCGCCCATTGCCAGTCATAGCTCCAACCTAGGCGTAGTGCCCTGGCCAGTTCAGAAGCCCTGCGAATCTTGTTTGATAAATCGGCTTCGCCTCTACCAGGCTGCTGAAGCAGCAAATCGACTCAACCGACAATTCCTTCGACATCCAAGAACTCTTACGTTGGCTAGTCTATGTGACCAACAAGCTTTCTATTACGATTCCGACATCGAGGAAACATCTATTAAATCTACAAATAATGGAACCTTCAATCCACCTATGGACTCAAAGACATACTGTCCGCCTCATATATTGGAGTGGATGAAGGAGACTTGGGGTGAATTTGTAGACGCTGGATGCTGCGAACCCTGTTCCATCACTCCTGTGTCTGACAACGACGAGACTGGCTGCGACGAAGTTTTTTCCCCGAAAGAACAAGGCAGTTCAGAAACGGACTCTGATTGGGACGACGTTGATATCCCCTGTACACCCACCAACACATCCTCTAGCATGTCGAATCACGTCGACAGCGAAGAATATGATTCTATCGATGATCTAATCCAGGAGGAGTTTCCAAAGTTGCTGAAGAAAAACGCAGCTACTTCAACAAAGGTGGATCTTCCTTCTTCGTCAATAAACAACGACCGCGCTGTTGAAGAGAATGATGGCGATCTAGCACCGGTCATCATTCCACCAAAGACCATGACAATGGCACGAGGCTTTGGGGCAGCCACAGAACCGGAGAATGCACCCCTACTGCAACTTGGTCAGGATAGTTCTATGTCAGGTACTGCTGACTCTAAATGCATAGAGCTGCAGAATATTAAGGGTACTACTGTCTTCCATGACATTAATCAACATAAGGGGGGGATTTGTGGGTCTAATAGCAACTACGGTTTTCTTGGGTTCTTATGAGTTCTTATCGGCCCCCTTACAAATAAAGGGGGGAGGGGGGGAACAAATGGCGGTCTACAATAAGATGGCTAAAAGGTGGTTTTTTTCTTTTTGGAAAGTTTTATCATTATGAAATTAGTAAAGACTTAACAACTCTGGGGAGCGGGAGCGATCACAGGCCCATGGGTTTTCCATCTGCTTTATTTTTTATTCAGTCGGAACAATGATGTATGATGGCTTGGAGACAAAAGATATATAATCCTGTATTACTAGAAACCTAGGTAGGAAATGAAGTTATAACTACCTACCTGATAAGTAATATTATTGCTTAACTCTGAGAAAGAAAGACAAGTGGATGGACAGGATATTAATAGTAACTAGAGGTGAGAAGAAATTAGAAAGTATTATTATTCACGAAGAGTTTTTTACTATTGCATTTTTATCTATCCACATGAAACTGTTATGGGCACTGAGTTATAGATAATGAGTGTGTGGTGACTTCTTCCAAAGACAGGAGAACGTCAAAATACTAAAGGGGTTACGGGACAAGACGCGGCAAGGCATGTTGATGATTGTTCGGTGTTGTCACATTTTAATTTACAGCCTTAAGTCCTTCCATAGGTACTCAAGTACCTAAGTACATCGGTATATCTGCCACTATCAGTTGTCCCGACTTCCTTTCATATTTCCGGTATCTACATAGTCGTTGGCGCATCAGGCGGAAGGAGTACTTGTATTGGCCTAGGCAAGAATATATACAAATATACCTAGACTAGCGTGAAATGGCGCCTTCTGTTTGTGTTAAAATGGCGTGTAAGTGCTTTTGTACCTCGTACTGCTGGAGAAATAGGTAGGAGCGGCGAAAGGAAGTACCTACCAATCTTCGGGCAGTGACGTTCGTGCAGAATTTTCCTAGGCGGTAAACATTTCAATATAAATACAGGGCGTTTCTCCCAGTTTCATTCCCAGTTTCTTCCTCTCCCATCTCATTCTTCAACAGTATCTATTATTCAGACGTTTCATTATTAGTTTCTTCCTCTCCTATCTTATTCTTCAACAGTAATCTATTATTCACACTATTCACACCCCAACATAAAAGTTCCTTATTCTATTAACAACATATAACCCTTACCGATACCAACCAACACTGACACTTATACACACATGGTCAACATACATCGCCCCTATATTTCCGGCACCTATGCCTGGGGTGGTGTTTTGTTGGAAATCACAAGCCCTGTTGGTGTACATGGTATGTTTAAAGCTTACCCACAAATCAGTCCACAAGTGTCTTCACATTCTATATATTTAATTATTGTTCTTCTATCTTGCCTACTTGTTTAATTTTCGTTATTACCATCCAAAACTATCTAGTCCCGGTTTTCATTTTACTAACACCATTATTCTCGGCTTAGTAATTTGCAGCACTATAGTCACTCCAACCAGACACTTCCTATCCACATTTCCTTTTCAACATACGCAACTATAAAATGGAGATTGGCTCTATGTTCCGTTGCGCTAATGCATCGTGCGGTCGAATTTCACAAGAATATCACAAGCTAAACAGCTCTATGCCCATACCAGGTATAAAGATCTTACTTTACCCTTTGTTATATTTCCTGTTTCTCAACTAACATGCGCGAAACGGAATAGGTAGCCAAACCTCATTTAAGAACAACAGCAACAAAGATGACAGCAACAGCCATTTAAGAGCCATAATACGCCGAACCTGGGATTGCGGTTTCATCGCAATAAAATTCCACTCTGGTGTGCCCTGGTAGATTTCGGTAAGGAGTCAAGAGTTCTCTTTTTGATTATGTCGGTAACTAACGCTAATTGATTTTATAGTGGCCCGGATATCAACCCTAATTTGAAATGTCTATGCCTTTTCCCGCCATAAGAAAAGGAAATACAAAAACAGCAAGGTTATTTATTTGACGACCAACCTATTAACCAGATGGTACCTACCTAGTATTCATGGTAGCATCTTAACAGTAAAACGTTATTCTAGCTTTGTTCAGCATCTAAATAACGGGATTAATATTACTACCGAAGAGTCTGGTGACAACACGACACCGCCTAAGACCTCAAAAGGCCCCGGCCATCTTGCCTCCTCCCCATAAGAAAATATCTAATATGATCACGGGTGAGGGTGGAGGTGAAGTGAGAAGGCGAAGGAAAAGACCAAAATACCGAGGAAGCAATTCCATATTCCATGCCAAATGGTGCGTCTAAGTATATTCTTTTGAATTTTATGGTTCCGCGTCTTGTATGTCTTCCAAGAACATATCTCGGAGCTGTTATTACCTACCTCTTTCGTTTCCTTTTTATCTCTATTGGGGTTAGGCTAACATTTTGGTAAGATGTCATTTCGCAAGAATTCTCCTGTTAGGCAGATTTTAGTTATGTTTACTGCGAAGACACCCTGTTGTCTGTGCTTGTGACACTGATTCAAGCAACATGTTTTGTGCCAATTCATTAATATCATACTTGGTGTAATTACTGTTAGCAATTTTAGAATTTAAAAACTCTTCTAGCTGTGTATTGTTTACCTACCTCTTATGCAATGAGTGGGACAGAGTTAGATAGCACCCATTAGAACCAATTACCATACAGTTCTACAACATTACCATATCACCAGAGGGAGAACTTTGTCATGTGCATGAACAAATCACGCCTACCAATCTAGATAATAGATGATGACACCTATTATAAGGGAATCGTTTTAGCAAGTTTGAAGTAGGTTAAGAAACATGTTCTCTTGTCTTGTCCCTAGAAAGTGAATGTTATAAGAGACATGGAATTATGTCTGTAAATTCGATGCCAAATCCCTGTGGCTTAGCTTTGCGGCGTCGTGTATGGTATAGGCAACCCCCTTTGACGTATTGATAAGTGCCCAACTGTATCTATAACAGCAACGGAAACTTGTTCTAGGCAGATAAGGAATCCTATTTACACTGGAAATATATTCTGTACGGGGAATCAAACAGGCTGGTCTTGGATTTCCGGACAGTCAGACACTCAGTCCCAGGCTAATTCAGCAGTCCCCTAATACAATCTCGCAGGAACTTAAAGTATCTAAGGTAGGTCTTCTGAAACACGAATGACTGGAATAGGGGTTTATATAACGACGGTGATGTCTTCTGGGTGTTTATGTAGATAAATATACCAATCAGACCTTTTGATATCTGTTAAGTAGGAACATACCTGAGTAATTAGATCCACAGTATACTTAACCAGATAAATCTGAATCCATAATAAATAAGGAGGCTGGTAACATCAAGTGCCTGTATTAAGGCACCTGCTCCTGCAGATCCTTTTTTTTGTTTGCTGTTGCTGTAAGAAGAGTTGAGACTGGTTAGTGACTCCCGCAGCAACTACACCTCTCCTTATCACCTGCCTTACTGTCCTCCAAGCAGCTGCCCCTTCGCCCCTCCACAACAGAGAATTTGTGCCTGGAAAGTTCGATACTTTAATATCACTGCCTTACATACAGCCCACCTTCTCAGTAAAATCCTTAAATATGTATTTAACAACCCTAAACAAATATTCTATTCTATTCTATTTTATTTTCTGTCTGCCTTCCTGTTACATTATTCTTCACAGGTCTCATCATTCATCAACATTGTTTATCCTCCAATACCTTCTTGAACTTCCTACAATATATTTTAGTTGTTGATTCCCACCAACTGCATTCACTTCCCGCAACTACCATTTCACTTTGTCAACATCCCGTCGCCAACGCATATTGCATTGGCAATACGCTTGCCTGTCGCCATCTCCAAAAGGTCTCTAGGCAACTATCAAGACACACCGTGACAAGTCAACATGTCTTGGTACGACCCTTATCATGAGGGTCCCCTAGATGCACCTTGGGAAGGAGAGGGCTTCGTTGAGGCTCGTCGATTAGTTGGTAAGTCTATACTCCGCCCAAATTGAATGTGTGAATGTCCGTTGGAAATACTATCTGCGTTGCTTCCTGTTGTCAATATAACTGCATATAGAGTTCTTTTTGAACAGTCGTTATTTGCTCTCCTTTTTGATCATCTAATGTGCTCTGGTTAACGCTGTGTATTAGACAACAATGAAGCTGGCGAGTCATTCAACGAACCGGCTGATCAGTTTGGCGAATTTGGACTGGAAGAACTCATTAGTTATGAGTTGTTCGATGATTTGCCCGCTCCACTTGACCCTCTTCCGGATGTACATGCTCCGGCTCAAGCTGGAGAGGTCCAACCTGAAGCTGGGGAAGCTCAGCCACAAGATATTGGGATTCATGAGCCTCATCAGGAAATCCTTGAAATTACATGTCCCTATTGCAATAGGGACTTCACTAATAAGAAGGCCCGCACAGAGCACACCAAGGCGATTCACATCGGTACCAGATGCTTCTGGTCTGGGTGCGGAGAAGTTGTGGAGACGGAGCAAGAGCTAAGGGATCACACCCGGCTCACTCATCAACCTATCTGTCTCGCAGACACCCAATACCAGTGCACTTGGACGGGCATGGGAAATAACCCGGAGCCGTGTAACAGGATATTTGTTCATGTGTCGTCGGCGCGCCGATGTGCCCTTGCCCACCAACGTTGGGCCCTAGAACAGCAGCCCTAGGCAGCGGCCAACGGACAGTCATCAGAGTGTAAGTTGACCAGCCCTCATTCTTTAGCAACTTTACTGGCCATTGGATACTAACTTGACAAGGAGGACAACCGCTCTCCCAGTTTGTGAATATGGGAATGTATATGGGGAGGAAACCAGCGAGAAATTTCTGTGATGTTGTTTTTGTTTATTATTGTATTATAAGATTAACTAGAATGAGGTACTGTCCCTGGATAGGGCACTCAAAGGACCTGGTTAAATCTTCTTGTATTCATATAGTTCTTTCTATTGCACGATTTCAAAACTGCAAAACTGCAAGATTGCAAGATTGCATATATCGCATCATAAAATGCATTTTCCTATCTAAAGAAACACCGGTCTTCTCCCCTAAAAGTCATCGACTCCAATTTTCCGTATCGTATCGCCAAAGCGACATGGCGATACATTATTTCCGTAGTGTAGTAGGTACCTATTAGATTTAACTTGTTAGGTATATTTTCCCCGATGGCTTCGTTGTGTGTAGGTTCCAGCCCTGATTAGGTACCTGTTATTTGCTATGTATGTGGTATCTACAAGGCTTGAGATAGGTACCTACCTAGGTAGATAGATGCCTGACTTAAGATACGGGCATGGACGCTCTTTCCAATTACTGTACTTCCAGAATTAATGCCGAATAAGAAACTACGTTTTGCACCTGCGTAGCTTCCAATATCTTCGTTATCTACCTCCATTTCCGCCTTAGCAGCACTTATCAACTGACTTGTTGCCTAGAACAGTTGAAGTATCTGAAAGATAAGCTGGGTGCCTAGGTAACAATCCGATTGCTAAATCGACTAAGAGTTATTCTTCCACATATATAAGCCAACGCAAGTCCGTTTGTCTCACTTTACCCTTCTTCCAATCCTAACTTATTTTATTCTTAACACTCAACACTAAACGCTCAACGCTCAACACTTAACACTTGACACTTAACACCTAACACTCACCATTCTAAACCTTTAGGGTACCTAAACACAACCACACTTATTTATCTAGGTACTTGAGCTTAAGTATCTTTGATGAAGTTTACTTCTGGATTCTTATAGTTAAGCGTCGCACGGCGCCCTATTGTCAACTTTCGATACTATGCAGACCCTCCTCTAATTATCATGGCCTTTTCCGAAGAAAAATCCAAAGGAAAGATGCCAAGCCAAGTGTTATGATTACACTACTGTGTTGAATCAGAGGTAAGTACCTATACTCCCTTGGCATTCCCTTCGCTCTGCATATCATCTTCCTGAAGCACGAATATCGAAAGACCATGGTGATCATGGATGCTTTGTCATGTCTCTTCAATAAGTTCTCGTGAAGTTCCCCCTTCCACACACCCAAATTCCCCTCTCCTTCACATTGACATTCACAATATACCTACACTCTTCACATTCTGCCCACTGCCATCTGATGACACTGTCACTTCTCTCCACCCTTTCGCAAAATCCTTTTCCATCATGTACACTTTGTCACTCCCATTGCTGTTACTCTATGAGGATTACCCCGCAACACAATATACACCGCCCTAGGTAGGCAAAATTATGGATGGCAGCCTCGCCATTTTCTCTATTTTTGTCTATTTCAACACATGCGTTCCTTTCATTTCCTTTTTCTTCTTTCCAACGCTTGCTGACTTGTAATAGTCCAAGATGGAATGCAGACTGAAAAATGGCTTCTTCAAGCATTCGGGGATCTTATTACACCTGTCCAGCACGCACACTCGGGTGCCTATATTTTATCCCTATTCTTATTCAAGGTATATTGTCATAGTTTCTTAGTTACTTCGGGGTTTTTTTTTCAGTATCTTTTGTTCTTTATAAGTTGCCCATATTGGAATGCAATGCAACGCAACGCGCCTAATGCCCTCACCCACACTTCAACTTATTTATCCTATTAAGTACTATATGATACTAACCTTTGAGCTAGTGGAAGAGGAAGACCTGAGTAAGTCACATAACTCCCACAAGAGGTTTCAAGGTACGTATTTTGAACAAATAGTTATTGACAGAACAAGTTGTTCAGATAGGTTGTGCGGGAGCCATTTTCCCGAGCTCAAGAAAAAGCTCACTGGTGGGGTTAATGTCGGATCAACAAAAATATAGCGTCCAACACAGCTACTTCCAATACCACACAACACTTCTATTCGAAACAAAGCTGGAAAAGAAAGTTTAAAAAGACGCCATCTTCTATTTTGTCTAGATACTCAACTCTAGATTTTCGGCGTGCAAGTTTCAGTTGCCTGCCGGTAATAGCAACAAGGAATATGAGGAGGCCGACCTGGTGGTAAGTAAATTCCCCTTTGTAATAAGCTTTTCCATATCCAGAAAGTACTTAAAGGGGATGGATGAGGAAACATCACTTCATATCCCACCAATTATCCATATCGAGAATTGTGTAAACTAACTTTGAACAAGCCCCGGAGATATCGACATCATTGTTATTTCAGGTATGAAATATCTTTCCTTACATCTTTTCTCTAGTGATACTCCTCAGCTTATTCACTTATGCTTTCTGGTTTGCTTCATTTACTACAATTCAGACCAGGACGGACGATCAAGGTGATTCATGAAAGGATTCTCTGTTTGGCTAACTGTAAAAAAGTATTCAGATAGCAAAGCAATATCCAATGCGGTGATACACATTGACGGTACAGTTGGGCCAACTGAACGGCCTGACCACGTTCCTGGGTGTACCTGCGAACTCTGTACTAGTTACTATCATCCTAGCAACTACTTCCTCCGTGGGACCCATGTCCAGCTGGAGCTGTCAGGGGAAATCAACTTCCAAAGGTACTTACAGCCTCAGCATCAACGTGGCTCAAAGGGGGCGCTAACGAGTTTTCTAAACAGAACGATATCTGAATCAAACAGTTCTCCACGCACACAACAGGAGTTGAACTCAGGATGCCGAAGCTTCACAGAAGATTCAGGTGCCTATCAACTACCTAAAGAACAAGTTAATATGATCATATGATCACCATTGGGCTTCTAAAGCCTTGTTGGGTTGTGCGACTTTTTGATTAAAGCTGTCGTGCAACCGTATCACTCCATCAAAAGATCTTATCATCCCACCTATATTCATATGAGAAGACCGTTATTTTGTCTTTTTGATTCTATTTACCCAACCTTTTCTAGGATAATTTCTGCGGCAGCGCTCCAGGTCATGTTTCCAGTCGATCTTGGGTCTGCTCTCGAGAATACAGGTCGAAATAGAACATCCTCAACTTTCAACTCACCAGGGATACAAGGGTGGTTCTGTGGCTCTGTAGCTCGAACTATCCACGACAATATTGAAAGGCTAAAAGATCCACGTCCCCGATGTATGTGATAATATTAAAAATGAAATACACCAACAACAAGGACTCAGCCATGAACTTTCCAAGAGCTATCAGGGTCGAATACATATGGCCTATACATACAAGACACGCAACAATATATAAGATGATTCTACACTACTCAGTAATACAACAGCTTGACACCCGTGCTTAGTGCAGATACCTCTTTACCAAATGAAGATACTAGGGGTATTCTTCTCCACCTATTCGTTGATGAGAACGATGAGAACGACAAGATCAATAAAGAAACAAATGCGAAAGTCTTGGATACAAGGTCGCGATTTTTGAGCTTAGGTACAACTCCTCAGTCAAGTTGATAGTTTTAAATTGAAAATTGAACTGAAAATAACGTATGTTTTACATTTTCAAATCACATCTCAACCTGTAGTCTCGATTGTTGCATATAAACGCATTAAAGTAAGGATGATGCGTACCTAACCTAATACGTAAGTTAGACATCTGTATACCTGCATAAAGTGATAATATGAATAACTGGATATGCGTTACTCGGAGTGAAACTTTTCACAACTCATTCAACTCAAAGAGGTACTCGTATCTTTAGAGATCGAGATCGATTGGCGTAAGTTATATAAGTCACATTAAATAAAAACGACCCCAGCAAGACAGAATCATATCTATTCATGACGGGTCATGATAGGTCTCTACATCATACGTGGTCCTCTATGTCGGCCTTTGTTGGCTCGACCGCCGCAGCAGATTTTTCTTAAACGACACAAATTTACAGGGCGGACCAAGCCGGCCGAAAACTGGAGGACTTCCCTCCCCCAAACCCCGGCCAGGACTCGATTCGCGCCCTCTCCAACTGGCTACGTGCATATAGGCTCGCTGAGGACAGCGCTTTATAATTACCTGCTCGCGAAGGCGACCGGCGGCCAATTCCTACTCAGGGTTGAAGACACGGACCAGGTTAGTATTTTTTTTTTTTTTTTAAAAAAAAAGGTTTCCCAAATTCAACGATGAGTTGATATTCTAACATTATCTCAGACTCGAATCGTATCAGATGCAGAGACGAGATTATACGAGGATCTAAAATGGGCTGGCTTAAGCTGGGATGAAGGTGCGGAATTTTTCACGTATCTGGAGAGCCTGTTTCTCATTCTAGGTATTCATAATTGCATATAGGTCCCGATGTTGGTGGGAACTACGGTTCGTATAAGCAGGTATTTCCCATTATCACTTACTACCTTAGGTACTCTTTCTATTGTCATGATATTAACCCTGTCTACAGTCCGAGAGATTAAAGGTGTATGTCGAGCATGCGGAAGAGCTCCTCGAGAAAGACCTTGCCTACCGATGCTTCTGCACGCCCGAGGAGTTGGATCAGATGAGGGCCCTGAATATCGCAGAGGGTAAGCCGCAGATCTACAACAGGACATGTTCGCACATCTCTCCAGATGTAGCCGCGCAACGGGCAGCAGACGGTGAGCCGCACTGCGTGCGGTTTAAGTGCGGTCTGCAGCCCATAGTCGACGATCTCGTCTACGGAACCTATAAGAAGCCTACCATAGAAGAAGACTTTATCATCATGAAGCGGGATGGGTTTCCGACCTACCACTTCGCGAACGTGGTTGATGACCATCTGATGGAGATCACGCACGTTATCAGAGGAGCTGTAAGTAGTAATGCACTATAACTATAACGTGGCTCTACGGATCTTATTACTGACTGAGGCGACACCTACTTAGGAATGGCTAGTTTCTACACCCAGGCACGTAGCGCTCTACGAGGCGTTCGGATGGCAGAAGCCTCTGTTCGCGCACGTCGGAATCCTAGTGAACGAGGAGAGGCAAAAGCTGAGCAAACGCCACGGTGACGTGGATATCGCATCCTGGCGAGACCGAGGTATCCTGCCTAGTACCCTGCTGAACTACGTCATGCTGTTGGGCTGGAGCATGGGTAGGGGTGTTAAGGGGCAGCAGGAGGTTATGGATCTGGAGGAGATGGTCAAGAAGGTCAGTAAAGTAAATAAATGTGTTGTTTTCCGAAGAGCCTGCCTGCTACACTAAAAGCTAGCGATCCAGCGTCTTGATAAAAGGTCGATAATATTAACGCGGAGATATAGTTCCATCTCGGCTTCACCAAGGGTGACATCATAGTCAACAATAAGTACGAGTATTTACAGAAAGCACACGTAAAGCGCCTCGCTCAGAAGAAGGGCCCAGACCATGTCTCCGAGATGCTCCTCCCCGTGCTCGTATCCCGAGTGCAGAAATACGAAGACGCCCGTGTTGCAGAACTCGAAGAGCTTGAAGGAGAGGAATCTGAAGTGCTCGAAGAAGAAGAGCCTGAAGAACTTCAAAGCGAAGAAACCGAAGTGCCTCAAGGAAAGGAACCTGAAGAGCTTCAAGCTGAGGAATCGGAAGGCCTTCCAAGCGAGCAGCCCAAAGAACCGAAACCAACGTCGGCCTCGGTCGTCAACCCCAAGATCGTTTCCGAGCTCGGAGACCTCGTCCCTCTTGCCGAAGCCAGCGAGAGCGAGGACGAGAGCATAACCGTTTCCGAAGAGTACCTAGACAAAGTCCTGCAGCTGGATATCCAGAACTACAAAGACGCCGAGTCCTACGTGACGCGCAACCGGTTCCTGATCTGGCAGGTCCCCGAGGCCTTGTACCGCGCCAGCTTACAAGAGGAGATGGCGGGCGTGCAGCAAATTTTCACCGATATCGTGGACGTGGATCCTGCCGAGGACATAGAAGAAGAATTCGATAATGAAGAAGAAGAAGAAGAAGACGACGAAGATGGAGAAATGGAAGAATCCCGCAACACGCAGACCGTGTCGGAACTCACGGCCACGCTGCGCGACCTCCTAGAAGGCATCGAGGCCTCGGAGTGGACCAAGGCCGGCATCGAGGCTGCCGTCCTGCCGTTCCTCAGGTCCGTCTACGCCCTTCCCAAGCCCGCCGATTCAACCTCCCGTCGCCCGGAGCCGCAGCTCTGGGGATATCATCTCCTGCGCTGGATCCTCGCTGGGTCGCGGCCCGGGCCGGCGTTGATACCTAGCTTGACGGTGCTAGGTAGGGAGGAGACGATGAGGCGGGTGGATGAGGCGTACGAGATTGCGAGGGAGGAGGAGGAGGCGGCGGAAGAGGTCGAGGAGGCTGAATCGGAAGCTTAGGCTACGATAAACATCGCTTGCGAACTACTACTATAAATTACACACCAGTTTGGGAAGTCATAGAATGTATTAAAAAAAACAAGGACCTGTATATAGGTAGGTATCAAGTACAACAAAGCATCATGTACTCTGTATTACTATTCTTATTCTTATTTTTTTTTTTTTATAATCAAGCCTCCCTCCCTTTTTTTTCCATAACGCCTTTCCCCCTTAGAAAACGCCGTCCAATGCTTCGTATCTCGTAATTAAGGAGGCATCATCATAACCACCCCCGAATTCCCATCACAAGAGGAACTGATTTATTCTCGCCCTAATTCCTTAGGTAAGGCAAGGCAAGGCAAGGCAAGGCAAGGTAACTATGCCGTAGTAACAGCATCCGGAGCCGGAGCAGGATCCGCAGCATTACTTCCCAAGCCGTTAAAAATCTTGGCCTTGACCTCGATCGCCATGAGGCCCTGCTTCTCGTTGGCAGCGACGGAGCGACTCGTGCGAGCGAGCTTATCGATATCGGCGTCGAGGCTTCTACCATTGCCACCACCACTACCACCACTGCTACTGCTACTGCTAGCGCCCGGACCTCCTCCGGCTCCCGCGCCCCCGGCGCCGCCTCCTCCCCTGGAGCTGTTGCGCTGGTACGACAGGGTGACGTCGCGGATCTTGGAGCCGAGGTCGAGCATCTGCTTGTCGCCGTAGTCGCGGTTGGTCAGGAGCGGGTTCTGCGACAGCGTCTGCACCCAGTACTTGCTCCACAGCAGCTCGAGCAGACTCGCGTCCAGGGTCGACTTGAAGTGCGACACGGCCAGGCTGTAGTACCGGCTCGCGTGGGCGCCGAAGTCCTCGGCCTTGGCGAGCGGGACGGCCTGGCCCGACGAGGTAGATGTCGTATTATTGTTGTTGGCGGTGCTGGCGTTGCTGGGCTCGGAGGGCTGGTAGTTGTCGGGGTAGGTGCGGAAGGCGCCGATCTCGACGCGGCCGGCGCTGATGGTGCGGTCGGGGTCGATGACCACGGCGACGAAGGGGTCGTTGAACTGCTGCTGTATCTTCTGGGTGTTGACGTCGATGCCGCTGAGCCAACAGCCGTAGCCAGGATGGCTGTGGTACCAGCCGATAACATTCTCTTGCCGACTGCCCTGGTCGCGCGAGAGCTGCAGGTACTGGATCATGTACTCGTTGGCGTCGTCCTGAGCGTTGACGCGCGTCTCGGTTCCCTCTACTGGGAGACCGAAGGCATCGGTGACGATCATGCTGTCCCCGTCCGTGTAGCCCTGCATCAGACCCATGACTTCGATGGAGCCGCCCGATCTGGCGTGCATAACCATCTTGATGAGAGCGACGGCGCTGATGCGCACATGTTGGAAGTGGTGGGGGTTATCTTTCCAGGGCTTGGCTGCGTTGACTTCGTTCTGGCGGTCGTCCGAGTAGTTGTATAGGGCGTCTCGTACGGGGTCGACAAGCTTGATGTCGTTATCGTGCTCTACGCGGGTTGTCTTGTTAGTACGATTTATAGGTCAACGAATTAGGGAAGAAGGGAAGAATAAATGGCATACCCCATGATCTCATTGCCACCTCCATCTTGAATATTTGTAAGTAATTGGGATTAGTAGATTAATTACAAAATTAAAAAAAAAAGTTGCTAAAAGTAGAGGCGTTGTTGTTGTTGATTGTAAATGTTGAACTTGTAAAGATGCGGGACGCAAGACGCAGGCACGTAGGTAGGCAAGTCGACGTGGGGTTAATGATAAGGGGAAGCTTCGATAACGATTACCTAAACAGATACCTAGGTACATATAGATTAGCTTTTTGTTGCATAGGTACCTAGGTACCTACCTAATTCACTTAACGCATGTTCCACTTTAAAGCTTTGAACCTGGAAGGCAGGAATGCTTGCCCAGCTGCCCAGTTCTTATCGATAATACCATGCCGTAAATTTCGAAGCCTCATTCAAGGATCCACTTCTTTGTCCCATCTTCAAGATCGCGCAGTTGAACTCTGGCTTTGGGGGAGAAAGAGAGAGAGAGAGTCCAATTGTCGCAAAATGACTAGATCTACGATAACTAGGCCGATACGGCAGGCCTTGTCTAGGCCATTGGTACTTCATCCGCACATTATATTAGTCCCTACGATAATTCAACTGACGGCTTAAAGGTTCAACCACCTCGAAATACCTTGCCTGGTTTTGTGAGCGCCCGTTTTCAAGCCTCTATGTAAGGCTCAACCCGCCACTCAAAATAGACCTATACTTTTTCTTTCTTTCTTTTTTTTTTCGAATACTAATTCAATCCTTAGAGCCGATCCTACTGCCAATTCCTCTGCCGGGCCTACTAGCGATGCGAAGTCTGGGCCTCACCAGCTTGTGTATGTACACGAACTAGACTCCCCAGACCATGCGCAAATGCTTATACGATTCTTAGGAACGAGTTACAAGACCCTCGCGAAGCAAACGAAGTACGACTTCCTAGGGCTGTCCAAGCTCTCTACCTCCAGCCCCTACGACGAGAAGCCGAATACGGAGTACCCTCGTGCGACTTACAACTACGATCTTTTAGCATCCCCAATCTCGAGTTCTTCTGCGACTTCGCGCTACGAGCCGCATACTATCTCAACCTCCCGGCGTTCGGCCCGATCCCTCTTCCTAAAATCGTAGAGCGATGGACCGTTCCTAGGAGTCATTTCATCTTCAAGAAGTCGCAGGAGAACTTCGAGAGGGTCACGAGGAGGAGGTTGATCCAGATCCGGGACGGACACCCGGAAACGGTGCAGATTTGGCTGGCTTACCTGCAGAAGCACGCATACTATGGAATTGGTATGAAGGCGAACGTGTGGGAATTTGACAGTATCGGTAAGTTCGACATGGCTATTGCTATTTCTATTGATATTGTTATTGTTATTGTGGTATGCTTACTTGGACGTATAGGCACTGGTAAGAAGACAGATGCGCAAGAGCAATCCCTACAGCAAATACTAGAAAAGAAGATGGTGAACTTCGGAAGAGATAAGACGCCAGGTACGGTAGAGAAGGTGAAGGAGTTACTGGCCAGCGAGAGGTTCAGACACACGAGATAGACAATTGTATATTATTATATCTCTGTCCATCTGCACCTTTAAAATGAAATAAGTATCATTGCCGTAACATATCGACTGAAATGATATACCGGATCGTTTCGTGTTGTTCCTGAAGTAGTCTTAGACACAGATCAATTTCAAATAATTTCAAATAATATTTATATTTACGACCTTGAACGACTTACACATGACGGTGACGTCCATGGACTTGAAGATCGTTGAAGAACGATGTGTAGGTACCAATGTACATCCAGACATCCACTCTGATTGGCCCAAATTCAGACTCGTCCCATTCGTCTCATTCTCTCATTCAGGAATATTTTCAATTATCCAACTTACACACTTATACATACCTCTTATACACACTTACACAGAAAGACCAAGAACAGTCCAAGATATTATCTTCGAAATTGAGACTGTGGTTTTGACGTAAGCAATTAATTAGACTTGTAAGACCTGTATTTTTAATATTTCGTGTGAATTTGTTACTAATTAAGTTATGTAGGCTCTCTATTCGTACCAAGTAAATTGTGAAATACACACAAGAGCTTCAAAATTTAGACCTTGGTATCACGATTACAATAATATCATAAGTTCTCGACGGCTTCAACGTCGCAGTAAATGAGCCTAACACTCTGTGCCCGCTGCAGGCCTTTAGCCGGCTTAACGCGAAGACATGCCGTGCGCTCAATAACGCAACAGCAAAGACGTAACGAGTCTACTATCGGCACCTATGCCAGCGTCGAAGAAGGGGCCCAAGTAGCCAAGAAGCCCAGGGGAAAAGTCATCTTCTCCGGTATTCAGCCCACGGGCGTACCACACCTGGGGAATTATCTAGGAGCGTTACGGCTATGGAAGAAGCTTCAGGATGATGCGAAGCCCGAGGATAAGCTCATATTCTCGGTCGTAGACCTACACGCTATCACCATGCCCCAAGACGCTAAGGTCCTGCGCCTGCGCCGCCGCGAGATGCTGGCTTCGTTACTGGCTATCGGCCTCGACCCCGAGAAGGGACCTACGATATTCTACCAGAGCTCCGTGCCCCAGCACAGCGAGCTCATGTGGATTCTCAGCTGCACGGCGTCGATGGGGTATCTGGGGAGGATGACGCAGTGGAAGGTCGGTCTTCTTACTATTTACCCCCTTTTTTAACTACACCTTTTTTTCTTCTTTTTTTAAAAAGAAAATATAACCTCCCCTACATTCCCTACCTCTACCTATTATATTCGAGTTCTAGGTGCGTCTAACATAATATATCTATGCAGAGCAAGCTCCAGATGAACAACAAAGCAGGCGACCTCGAGGAAGCGGCCATGACAAATCTAAAGCTAGGCCTGTTCTCGTATCCCGTGCTCCAAGCGGCCGACATCCTCGTGCACCGCGCGACGCACGTCCCCGTCGGCGATGACCAGCGGCAGCACCTCGAGTTCGCGCGCGAGTGCGCCACAAATTTCAACCATACTTTCAAGAACATCTTCGTCCCGCCTGAGATTATGACCAGTGCGTATTCCCCTCTTACCCACGCCCCCACCCCCTTCCCCCCTTTTCCTCCCCTCCTCCTTTCTTGACCAAGCGGAAATAAGAAGAAGAAGAAGACCAAGAAAAAGAGAAAGAAAAAAAGGGGGGGAGGGAAGTTAATTTCCCCAACCAATTACCTACCTCAACTTACTTACTAACTTCCCTTTTTCCCCCACCCCGTCCAGCCTCCTTCCCCCGCGTAATGTCCCTCACGCAGCCGGAAAGCAAGATGTCCAAGTCGTCGCCGAACCAGCGGTCGCGGATAGAGATAACCTCGACGGCGGAGGAGATCCGGTCGCGGATCATGGTGGCGCTGACGGACCCCCACAACGCGGTGACGTACGACCCGGAGTCGCGGCCCGGTGTGTCCAACCTGCTGGAGCTGCTGTCGCAGTGCACGCCCGCGCCCGCGCGCCTGCCCCCGCGCGAGCTCGCCGCCCAGTTCGCCGCCGCCGGCGCCTCGCTCCGCGACCTGAAAGAGGCTACGGCTACCGCCGTGTGCCGCGAGCTAGACGGCGTTCGCGAGCGCTACGAGGAGTTCCTCGATCGGAAGGGCGGGAAGTGGCTGGATGAGATCGAGGCCGAGGGCGCGGAGAAGGCGGCGAGGAGCGCGGAGGAGACGATGGTGAGGGTTAGGGCCGCGGTTGGGTTGGGGCCGGCAATGTGATGGTTTAAAGTACGTTGAGTGCTGGTGTTCATACCTATCCGTGTGTGTGTGTATACGTATAAGAATACAGGATGGGATGAAGCATCAATAAGCACCTACTTAGCCCAAGGTACCTACCTAACTTAGAATCAGTAGTAGGATTCATAACTTCACTGCAAACCACCGTCTCCATATCGAGGCTATCGAGAGAGTTCAGAAATGGACCATTTTTCGGCTTCATATTCAACTTGTATAGACTATCTCGTATAGACTATCTCGTATTGCCCACTGGATTTTACCCAATCCGTAACACCTCTCCCAGATCCGACTAGACCAAAGAAGATCAATAATGATACCCCGTAAGCGATCATGATGTATAAGCAAAGTTGGAGCCCCTGCAGGCTAGCCAAAAGGTGCGGACGAGAGCATTAGTTGCTCGCTGGCCACGTAGCCTATTGCTGAAACGTCAATACGAATTCGACACAAGACGTCAGGGTGTAGGTAGAACAGCAATGGGGTAAACCTACATGATGACTTTCTTCAGGAATAATTCTTTCTCTTCTGGGGATACCTTATCGCTAGGGAATGCCGGATCTTGCAGTGCTGCCCCTAACCACTGGCGTGCGTTAACCTGTTGCGCAACCAGCTTCTTCAGCGGTTCGCTGAGCTTGTCGAGTTCGCTTCGCGCAGCCTTGCCGCCGATATTCTGTATGAGCGATTCGGACAGCTTTGGTCCCAGGTAGGTCATCGCGTTTTCTACAATAACCCGTGTGTTCTCGTCGCTTGCTTGGACTGAAATAAAAGTAGACTAGATAATCCATTAAAGTCAGTACTGCTGCAAACTTCTTACGATGACAATCGATGCAACTAACCCAGAAGTCTGCCGCTGCTGCCTTGGGTAATGGCTCATTTCCATTTAGTAGCTTAATGGCGAACATAAAGAGGAACTCTAGCATATTTGCGGGTTGTGACATAAGAATCTCGGGACGCTTTGACATAATCCTCTGGGCGAATTCAAGGCCATACTGTGCCAGTTCAGGATCTTGATCGGGTTCTACGCGAATGTTAACGACGTATTACAAGTCTGGCATTATTCGGATGTTGGAACAAAGGCCTCCAAGGAGCTCTTGGCACCTTGCATTCAAGATATGCAACTCACCTGAAAGTTGGCTTAGTAGGCCAAAGACCCATGGTAAGAGCTGGCTGAGGATCTCTGGTACATATTTCTTTTGGTTTCCGCTACTGAGCGACGTGAAAAATACACTTGCTGTGTTGACCACAGTAGCAATACGATTATGCCATCTACTTGTAATGAACTCAGTCACCATTTGTGGAGGAAACACGAATGGCCCGGGTTCTGTTTCGGAAAATCCGGCACGAATGATGCTGCAGATAACGTCGACAACTTCGCTATTACTCGAAAAGGTCTCCTTAAGCCTAACGAGCGTGCCCTAAAGTCGTTATCAGCTACGCCTTGTAGAACGGTGAATATAAATTAGGTACTCACCATGATGTCAACTTGTATCTGTTCGAAGTTAGCATTGGATGACATTTGTGCGCTTTGGCCGTCCGCTTCCAAATCTACGAGAGTTTCGGAAGGAGCTTGGATTCCCTTAGCAATGCTGAAAAGACAACGAAGAGCTCGAATAGCCAGATACAATGCTATTTCAGACGCAGGAACGGGCGCATCTGGGCGTTGTGCAAAGTCGTAAGCCCGTACTATCACCTATGATACATTAGAAACTAGCCATCACTAACTAGAGCATAGGATCCCCATTCCAGGTAGCTAACAGAACTTACCGGGTTTTCTGGTGGTATGAGAGATCCTTCACCGTAAGATGAAAGTTGTAAACTGGTCTCAACGTCGACTCCAACCATGGTAAGCAGCCTCTTAAAGGCATCTGCCTTCTGTGTATCGTCGGGAACTGCTTGTACAATCGATGCAATAGCGCCCACAATCCTCTCCTCGGCTAGTGAGTCAAGTTCACTATTGCGTAAAGTTGAGTATTGTTCAAGGAAGGTTCCGACTTCCGAGGTTAAAATGGATCGACAGGACGAGCAAAGTGTGTAGATAGATTTTGAGGAGGGTAGTGCCAGATGCCTATCGCCTACCGCACCGAACAGCAGGTTTAAAGCAGCGGGTAGGAACTCCGCGTGGCTACCAAAGTAATCCGAGTAACGCTCTATGAGGGAGAGACATGTCTGTCTCGCCCGGATAGGTACCACGCTCTGCCCCTGACTTAGCAATCCGAATAGGGGCGAGCCGAATATTTGGGTTAATATGTCGTCAAATAAACTGTCATCTGGCAGACAATCAGATAGGGCACCCAAGCAGAAGGCTGCAGCCTCAAGCTCTGCCCATGCTGATCTCGGTAAGGCGTCGAGAAGGCTTTTCGCAAATATAGAGACCAACTCTTTACCAATTATTGTATATACGGATTGCAGAAAATCAGCGACGTCCTTCCGAGCATCCCCAAAAGCCGTTCTCTCTGTGGAATCCCATGAATTATAAATTGTGATATGAGGGTACTGAATCTTGCGGGAGCTTGCCGAAACAGCCTGCATCATTTGCCAGATAGGCGGCTTATCCCATTGCTTTTCTCCAGTTGATTCTCCATATAGAGAATCAACCAAAACTTCAACGAAAGTTCCCCAAAATTCGAGAGCTGGAACGAATATTTTATCGTCCACCCCGGGGTACCCCTTTGCGCTCAATAGTCCTGCTAGCATAGCTAAAAAGCGTTGCGCTCTTTCGTTAGTCCCATCCGCTAAATCTTCTGTTCGCGCGTTACCGAAGGACAGCATGAAAAGGCCAAAATGAACGTCGTCATCATTCATCTCCTCGCTCTCGATCAAGCTGCGAAACTTATCCCGAGCCCAGTCGCTTTCGAAAACCGAGTATAGGGATTCGAAATGATCTCGATCGAAGAATGACTGCCAATCCTCAAGAGCATCGGTAAGAAGCCCGACGGCAACGTCATATAGCTCATCATTTGGGAGACAGTTGATGACAGGGTCAACTAATTTCTGGAACTGCTGGACTAATGGCTGTTTTGGATTTCGCTGGATATATTGGATCCATGCTTGCAGACAACTTATCGAATCTGCCGGACGAGTACTGCCGTCGCTAACTGGCTTGATACCGTAGATTAGGAGAACCACGACATCGGCAGCATTAGTCGCCAGTCGTTCGTGCAGGGAAATATACTTGATAGGCTTAGTATCGATCTTCTCTGCCTCGTTGGGCAAAATCTGAGCGAACCATAATAGTGCGTACAGGTTCTCAGCATCCAACGCGTGGACTATATCCTCATAGGGAGGCGAATTATCGACATCTTCGATAGGTACATAAGTACGACTGTCTAAGCAATACGAAAGATGGCGTATACATCTGGGCCAAGTATGGGAGTAGTGGATAAAGTAGGTAACGAGAGTACTGCACAACTTCTTAACTACGAAGCCGGCTGTACCATCTCTAAGGGAAGTTATGAGGAAGCTTATGAGTTTCTGGAGAACAGATACTGCATCCTCGTCTGATAAACTATCCACAAATGAGTAAAGGAGGTAGATTTTCGGGTAACCTTATAGGGAATTAATTACCTTTCAGTATTTAATTTTACGGTGAATGTCAAGGCACCAAAAAATTTGACGTTCTGATCTGGTAGGCTCAGCAGGCCATCCGCAAGTTGCCATCCTCCAGGAGACTTTTGAAGAGTTTGGAGGATTTCTTGAATGCGGGAGATAGTTTGAGGGGGGTTCGGCTTATACAGCTCATGAACCAACTACGAATAGCATTAGTATTTGTAGTATATCCAAAAGAAATAAACAAAGGTCATATAGCAACTTACACGTTCGACTTCAGGTAGAGTGATAGTCTCAATCGATATGTTTTCCATGTTCGCTTTGGTTTTCGTGAGGTGCCTCATCCATATCGGGTAAAGTAACAAGTTGTAAGTTTTGGCTGACTACCTAAGGTACGGAATTTGAAAGCACACTGTAACATCCGTGCGTGAGAATAAAAAGTAGGCTACAATGTTGTTTGTATTGTTGTAGAACTCCGGATAGAAACAGGATAGAAACACGTAGCCAAACTTGTACTTAGAACGAGACGAGGCTGGAAGAGGTCTTAATCAGGCGTCCACTCATAAAAATTAACAAATATAATAATCTGAAGAATTTGGCACATTTTATCAACATACCTTAGGTATTCACTCTTGTTAGATACCTCTCATAAAAAAGCAAGGTATAGGTATATGTAGAGGTAGTTAAGGGAGAGGCTGTTGACCAATTCCGGTTCACTATTAGGCACCAGTAAGGTGTAACGGAGGCCAAGAATTGGATAAGATGGGATAGGTAAGACGGACAAGCGATTCAAATTCGCTATCCGTTATGTTTTTAACGTCATCCCGCAAGCCTGGAAGGTACGCTCAAAGTTCTACACTAGTGAGGTAATGCCCAAAGGTTTTTGACGGTGGGGCATTCACCTGCTTTATATGTATTACTTCTCGTCGTCCAGTGCGAAATGGTACATCTTGGTTTACAATTATGGGTACCTTACGTAGGTAGATACCCTAAACCTAAAAATTGATACGTACCTACTTCTGGGACTTCTGGGACTTATCGTACTTTCCTCCGAAGTCCAGCTAAACTTTATGCGTTTGACAGAATAAATTCCAAGTTCCAAGCTAAAAAGTACCGATAGGGACTACCTCCACTTATATCGACGAACCAAACCCTCTCGCACTTGAGGACATAACCCCTCCACTAGCGCTTGCTCCCCTGAGCCCACCTTTTTTTTCTAAGTCACCTCTTCTTTTACGTCTACCTAACTTCTCTAATCGGGCGAGGACCTAGCAGCTTCAACTTCTCACATTTGTAAAGGACAACGGACAACGGACTGGAACAATTAGTTGGGTGCTGGATTCTAATGGGCCGCTCCCTTCAACCGTATAACAACTAGAAGACCTTGGATTCGCCAGGTCCGTTTACTCCAGGTTTTCGACAACTTATATACAATTGGCTTTCTAGACCACATAAGTCTCTGCTGCGTTGCGGCAGTTAGCATTCAGCCATATCGTTGTTGTTGATGCCGATAAGAATTTCTCTTTCCCCTTGCGCATTGTATATGCCTTTGAGGAACACTCTTTCATCCTTCGTTAAGATACCTAGACTCGGGAACCGACTGTGGAACTTTCAGGCCTCACCGACACCAACATCACGCCAAGTACATCGGTTTCAGAGCACTGCTACGGTTATCAAGATGGAAAAAGTCGACACCACTGCTCGCCTTGCCGAGCTTCGCAAGCTTATGAGCGAGAAAAAAGTTGACGTGTATAGTAGGCTAGCCAATGCATCATGTTCTTCAAGTTCCTTAGGTTTTGGCGACTGACGATTTTCCTGTTAAGTCGTCCCCTCTGAGGATAGCCACTCATCTGAGTACATTGCCCCGTGTGATGCTCGACGTGCCTTCATCTCCGGTTTCACTGGCTCTGCAGGCTGCGCTGTCATTACCCACGAGAAAGCTGCTTTAGCTACAGATGGCCGCTACTTTAACCAAGCCTCTAAGCAGCTTGACGACAACTGGCATTTATTAAAGCAAGGTCTCCAGGACGTTCCTACTTGGCAGGAATGGTCTGCAGAACAGGCTGCTGATGGTAAAGTTGTGGCTGTAGACCCGACGTTATTGACAAGCAACGCTGCTAAGAAGCTCTCGGAGAAGATCAAGAAGGGCGGAGGCAAGGAACTAGCCGCAGTTGATGAGAATCTAGTTGATATAGTTTGGGGTGATGACCGACCACCTCGACCCAACGAACCCGTGATTGTTCTCAACGACAAATTTACCGGGAAGGATGTGAAGACAAAGCTAAGCGAACTTCGAAAGGAGCTCGAGAAGAAAAACTCGATCGGATTTGTCGTATCGATGCTTGATGAAATTGCTTGGCTTTTCAACCTCCGAGGAAACGACATTCCGTTCAATCCGGTATTCTTCTCCTACGCCATTGTCACGGCCGATGAGGCTACATTATACATCGACTCGTCGAAGTTAAGTGACGAGGCCCAATCTTACCTTGCGGACAATGACATCGTCATTAAGCCATATGAAGATATCTTCAACGACGCCTCCGTGCTTCGCCAATCAGTTGAAATCAATGAATCGGGAGAAGCTAGCAAGAAAATTCTTATCTCCAATAGGGCTTCGTGGGCTTTGAAGCGAGCTCTTGGTGGCGATGATATAGTGGATGAAATTCGAAGCCCTATTTGCGATTCTAAAGCCGTAAAGAATGAGGTCGAGTTAGAAGGCATGAGAGCATGCCATATCAGGGATGGTGCAGCTTTGATCGAGTTCTTCGCTTGGCTTGAAGACCAACTGATAGTAAAGAAGGCGACTATTGATGAAGTCGCAGCCGCGGACAAGCTCGGAGCTCTACGTGCGAAGCAAAAGGACTTTGTCGGACTTTCTTTCCCCGCGATATCGTCGACCGGGCCAAAGTAAGTATAAGTATATTCTTAAATTTGTCTCAGTTCAACAATTCTAACCACTCCTTTTTAGTGCTGCTGTCATTCACTACCAGCCGGAACCTGGAAACTGTTCGGTCATCGACCCCAATGCGGTCTATCTATGCGATTCTGGAGCGCAGTATCTTGATGGTACTACTGATACAACTCGCACAATACACTTTTCCGAGCCTACTAAGGCTGAGGTCGAAGCTTATACGCTCACACTAAAAGGCAATATTGCTCTAGATAGAGCCGTATTCCCCAAAGGCACAACGGGATTCGCACTAGATGCCCTCGCACGTCAACATCTATGGGTATGTTATTTTTTTCTTCATTATTTCTAGCCTGATTCATCTGGAAAGTACGGGTTTCGCTTACTCTATGCTATAGCTTCAAGGACTTGACTACCGTCATGGTACCGGCCACGGTGTTGGTTCGTACCTAAACGTGCACGAAGGACCGGTTGGCATTGGTACCAGGGTGCAATATTCGGAGGTTGCTCTATCCGCTGGAAATGTCATCTCTAACGAGCCCGGCTATTACGAGGACGGTTCATTCGGCATCCGTATCGAAAATATCGTTATAGTCAAGGAAGTGCAGACTAAATATAAGTTTGGCGACAAACCGTACCTTGGATTCGAGCACGTTACTATGGTGCCGTACTGCCGTAAACTTATTGACACTAACCTCCTGACGAGCGAGGAGAAGACATGGCTGAACGACTATAACGCTGATATTTGGAATAAGACCAAAGGGTACTTCGAGGAGGACGAATTGACATTAGCGTGGCTAAAAAGGGAAACGCAGCCTTTCTAATTGGAAATCGACTTCCCTCCCGATGCCTTCTATGTGTGTTATGACTAGGGTACACAGACAACTAGAACTTCATGAAAGCAGACATGGCGAAGAATAGTCCGAAAGATAAATTAAAAGCCGGGTTCTTCTCCAAGGCATTTAATATACGTGAATTGCCCAACCGTTGCTTTAACTTTAGTTGTTCTACCAGATCAAGACCATATCTTGAAGCCACCTGGACGATATTAGTGAGAATTTCATGATAGATCTTGTTATGGATCTTGTTATGGCGCACCTGGACGACTACCGCGGAAAGACCAATAAGTAACACCAACGTCCGCGAAAAAACACTGATAAGAATTCCCGAAATAAACCCTGCAATGCAGTCTTAGTCTTGGTAGTGCACAGCAATGTCTAGATATGACCGACCTGCAATGCACCCACTGGAAACCTGCTTCAGCAGGTCGGGATCTAATCGCTCCTTCGTAGGAGGACGGCTACTCATCGGCCGCGGTGTCTCCCTCGCATCCAATCTCAGTCTCGGTTGCCTGAACGTTGCCATGCTTGTTCCGAGGGACAGCCCGACGATACCGGCGCCAAGGGCATGGCGCGGCATGAATGTTCGCGTTCGTGTGAACAGTCTTGCCGACATCTTGAATTATATCTTCTCTTTGTGTATGTCTAAGGGGTAAGGACGAAGTAGCGGTAGGTAACGTGAACTGAGAAGAAGTATATGTATAGGTAGGCTAGGTAGGTTATAGGTATGTATACCGGCTAAGTATGAGGGTCTACCTAGGATTTATTAATATTTAAAATAGGCACGGTTTAGATAGAATTAACGGCTGTGGTCTATTATTAATTGATGGGAGCTTCGCATTAATTTGCCTTAGGTAGCTGTTGACGTCACTCCATTGCAGCTGGCCGAGCCAACATTGAACACGCCGCACATTTTAGCAGCTTAGGTTCCACCGCTAAAACCCTGAGCTTCCCCACGTGGACCCGAATTTCACGGAATTTCCGGAGAGTTTTTAGCTCCTGCACGACTTTCTTCCTTTCTCTCGGCATTGTCTGGAATATACACACAGATTAAACTACCTAAGGTACCTAGGTAGGTATTGAAAGTTGCAATTACGAGCATTATATTCCGATGAATTGCATGCGGGCTTATAGAAAGAAAAAGCACTATGGTATCAAATTTAAAATGCAAAACCTGACCGTTATCCCCCCCCTTTGCCCTCAGGTCGGTCTAACTTTCTTGACTCCTAAACGCCATTTCTCTTCCCCTTAAGCCAACCAGCTGAACGCCGTGGTATTTTGATCGCCTGCGTCGATAGACCGCTTTTTATACAAAATCCCCCTCTTCCCCAGACAAGTGGCCTAGCCGATGCAGGGGTAGATTTTTGGGGGGGTGCAGAGTCCTGAACCGTATCATTTTGTGATAGGCGTCTCTTGCTACCGCTTTTAAAACCTTTTAGCCAAGGCCGCCCCATACGCCACGTATCCGTCTCGCGAGCTGGATGTCTTTCTGCATTATGGTAACTCGTTTCGCGTGGATGGCGCATAGATTCGAGTCCTCGAATAAGTGGACTAGAAAAGCCTCGGCAGCTTCCTGAAGCGCTAATATAGCCTGCGATTGCCATCGCATTCCTTCGTCCGCCGGGCGCATAGTTAAAGCTATTTCTCGAACCTGGACATTAGTTAGTATGTGCGAGTATTGAAGGCATTATCTGTGCGGCAAACATACAAGTCGGGAGAAAGGTAGTTTTCGTATGAGTAGGTCGGTGTTGTTTTGCAGTCTTCTGATCTCTCTCAGTGCGACAGTTCCTGGCCTATATCTTCTTCTTCGAGGGTAGGGAATTGGATCGCCAGCTGTAGGTAAATTAGCTATTGGTGTCTCGATATTGCGATTAGCTTATTTCTACTTACGCTGTGCTCTTAAGGCGCCTCCTCGTCCACCACCTCGCCCACCACCTCGTCCACCACGGCCTCGAATCATTTTTGTGATAGGGAGTGTATTCTGGCTGAAGGAATTGGTCGAGAACCAAAAGGTTCTAATGCGACAACTATGCGACTGGGTAGAGCGCACAATGGGTTTCTTGAGCAGCCGAATTTGAGTTTAAGTGCAGATCAAGTATGACAGATCAGAATAGGTATTATACTTGAAAGCTAAGCTGACTTTTGTCAAAGGAAAAACGAAAGATTGTTTCGTTGAATGACAAACGATTATTAAGAGTTAGGGACATTCCTATGAAAGAAAGAAGGAAGAAAGAACGTTAACACGAACCCGGTTTGACGAAGGATAATAATGCCAGTGCGAAATTAGGTTAAAAAACGAAGGGGCTGGGAAATTCAATTCAATTCGCAACTTCCCACCTGTTAACTTAATTGGGACGCTAGAACGCGACTTGAGCACGCCCCGCGACGCGTGCTCCAGCCATTTCAATTAAAAACCCTGCAAATTCTTAAACCAAAGTGGGTCTTTTTGTGTGCCCCTGGCTGGTAATTGAAAACATACATGTATTGGCTGAATAATCACTAAGCCACAATTAAGCCACAACTCGTCTGCAAAAAGGTTAGAGACGGCAGGACGGGAGATAATCACGTCATAGGTTATACATTAGGTACTTCTAGTTGCTGCAAAGCTTCTCCGAAAAATGCAAGATTGTGATACCATTCATTTAACCGAGCGGTACCTAAGATCTTATCTAACCTAGGTAGTATGTGCCGCCAGTGAATCACTAATTGCCGGCATATTAGTGGGTGATATACCTGTACCTCATGCTTTGGTAGTGAACAGATCCGATAAGGCCAGATTAGCAGTGGGCTGAGGAGGCAATCCCTCCATCGACTTAAACCTACCTCCCTACAACATCAAACTTCCCTTTGAAGGCTTTCTGTCTTTTTTTTTATCCCCCTCTTGCTATTCCATCTTGTGAGGTATTCTTTAGCGCATACATTTTCATACTTTGTCCTTATTACTGCGAAAACCAAAAGGTCTAACTATATCTATTTATCCTTGATTCCCTACCCTGTACCGGACTTGTCGCAATTCAGTATGGATCAAATGATTCCTGGTGATGGGGGCCGAAACCCACTGGAGGCCTGGTTCTGGGAGATGCCAATTTGCACAAGGTGGTGGACAACGGCAACAGTTCTGACGAGCGCCCTGGTGCAATGCCAAATGGTAACTCCGTTTCAACTGTTCTATAGCGTCCGCACCGTATTCCAGAAGGGAGAGGTAAGAAGAATCGAATCCCGCATATCTCAACAAAGAGAATTGACATTAATGATTGGCTTGCTAACTTTGTCTGACTTTATATAGTATTGGCGGCTATTCACTACATTCCTATACTTTGGACCGTTCTCGTTCGATCTCCTATTTCACGTATACTTCCTCCAACGCTACTCCCGGCTCCTCGAAGAGTCGTCTGGCAGATCGCCAGCTCATTTCTCCTGGCTGATGGTGTACACCATGGCTTTCCTTATTGTCCTCTCTCCATTCGTATCGATGCCATTTCTAGGCCACCCTCTGTCATCCACGCTAGTTTACATCTGGTCACGACGAAACCCAGACACTCAGTTAAACTTTCTAGGCTTGCTTGTGTTCACTGCGCCGTACCTTCCTTGGGTATTAATGGGGTTCAGTCTTGTTATGCACGGAACAGTACCCAAGGACGAGATCATGGGTGTTGTTATCGGCCACATCTGGTATTTCTTCTCAGACGTATACCCTCCGATGCACAACGGCTCGCGACCTCTAGACCCGCCGATGTGGTGGCGTCGACTCTTTGAAGGCCGACAGCAGAGGGACGAGACAGCCGATGCGATTAATAACGAATTCGCAGTGGCAGGAGGTCCAGAACTTGCGGCCGCAGATTTGCGATAAAGCATGAACGCAATTTGATTCCAATAGCACATTAGGTGGCTATCATCCACTCATTTATGGCGTTTCAGGTCAAATTCCAATGGCATTGCGGTTGCAGCGGCGTTATACAAGGAACAATACGGTGGCGTTGAAGGGTGATGAAGGATAAACATATAAATAACAATGGAGGTGATGATTCTTCTGTACATACATATTATCCTTCCTACCGACTCATCGAAAGACACTCTATCTATACGTGGACTTACTTGTTAACTTACCTAAAATAGTGTTTTATAAGGACTTTGAGTTAGACCTAGCGAAGTAATATGAATATCTCGTCAACCTTTTAATATTCACATCATGTACTATGTGTCTTCTTTATCATGCAAGCTTAAGGTTTCTATATCCGTTCAAGCCTACCTTAGGTTGGGTTAGGTACCTCAGGTAGATTTAGAATCCAACTGCATTTCGGGATAGAGCCTGACTGATTCTTGAATTGGTTTATGTTGCAGTTTATGGTGCATTACTTGATCATATCTGCCCCTTAGTTTCATGACATGATGCAATTAGCCCTCACCGAACCAAGGAGAAGTTAGATTTTATACCGTTACCTCTTAATATCAGTTGCTACTACAGGTACATAATGTAATAGTTAAGCAGGTAGGTATCCACTTGTAGAGTTTCCGGTCTGTTAGTTACTTGCTTCACCGGCAGGCGGGATATCAACTAGGCCAAATCAACCAATGAAAAGCTAACTATTGGCGAATTGGGGGGGACAAAAGGCTTGGACCCACCGAAGGAAAAAAAAAAACCGAGAATGCCGACTTGCTCAACGTCACACCTAGAACGGGTTGCTCAGCTGCTGGCGCCATCCCGCCATCCCGCCCATCTCTCCTAATAGGTTACGAATCGGGAGACTTGTATACGAAAGACACTCACCCCCAAAATATTTAATACATAACAAGTCTCCGTTACGAATCTTTTTACCCATTCCTTCAAATTAAATAACTCATTCAAGCATACCAATTCCTAATCCAAACTTTGCATTGCGGATTATACAACACTGTTGAAAATGCGAGCATACTGGTACGATAACGTTCCTGTAAGTGACCTGATAAAGAGATAAAAAAAAAGGTGCCCCTCATCACATCATTGCGGGATGTTTTCGCGAAAGCCCTCACTGGCTCAGTTCAACAAAACATTATCTAGAACTCACGATAGTTATAACACAAATACATTAGGTTAGGTAGTTATCTTATAACAAATACTAATAAACTCAACAGGGCGACCAACGCTTACCGCATGACTCGGGCAAAGATGTAGACGCCGCCGCTCTGGAGAAGCTGGGCGTGCTCTACTTCCGGTACCCGGAGGTGTCGGCGGTGGACGAGCTGGCGAGCCAGCGCGGGTACAAGAACCGGGACGAGATCACAGTGTCGCCGGAGAAGATGGGCGACATCTACGAGGAGAAGGTCAAGTCCTTCTTCCGCGAGCACCTGCACGAGGACGAGGAGATCAGGTACATCCGCGACGGCCAGGGGTACTTCGACGTCCGCAGCAAGGACGACGCCTGGGTCCGCATCCAGCTCGAGAAGGACGACTTGATCATCCTGCCACCGGGCATTTACCACCGGTTCACCACGGACGAGAGCAACGTAAGCTCGTGTCTTCCTTAATGCCTCCCTTGATATGTGTATAGAGATAGGTGTCTAATATTTGCCTTAGTACATTCAGGCTATGCGCCTCTTCAAGGACGAGCCCAAGTGGACGCCGCTGAACAGGTCCAACGAACTGGACGAGAACGAGTATCGCAAGCAGTATGTTTCGCAGTACCTAAACTAAACAAAAATTTGGTAAAGTGGAGGAGTAAAGGGTTACGAAGTTATGCGCTGTTATTTGGGTTGGATTTCATTTCTTGGTAGAAGATCACTTAAACAATATCGTGGGATAAAAAAAAAAGAACTCAATGTCATGGCAGGCAATTCTGATTTGATAATTCATGAGATATGAACGTATAAATTGGATGCTATATATACCAACTTGAAAATCCAGTCTGACGAGAAATTACTACGACTTTGTAAATACTAAAATGGCTTCCTATGTGGACGTTGATAAAAATGCACGAGCATTTATGTACATAAAAAATACATAACCTAGTCTCGGCAATGAGATTGCGGGGATTACTAAATAAATATTAGGTCATGTAGGTACGGTTTATTGTACTATTTTATTTCCCCAGCTTTGAGAAACCCCAACTTCGATCTTTCTTCCGTCTTCAAAAGCCCCTCCCCCCTCCCGCCCGCTTCTCTCTAGTTAGATAGATGATGCCGTGCACCTCGGAACAGACGAATAGGATCCGCGAAATGAGGAAGAGCCCGCTCCTCGAATCGCAGTTAACTTTAACCTATCATTATCATGGACTCTAGATCTGCGTCCGAAGTCGCCCATCCGTCGCCGGCCGGTAGTGCTTCTGCTTCGGCTTCTGCCAGCGCGGCGCCTAATAAGGGGAAACTGCTGCTTCCCGCTAGCTGCGAGCCCCCGTTGCCGAACGCGCCGAGGAAGCAGCTCGTATGGATTGTGAGTTCATTTGTTTTTACGTGATTTGATATTTGAGGATGTTTTGTATATACTTTATTGAACTGCGATAGCAGAACTAACTGAATGGGTGGTTAGGTCTTCGGCGGCACTGGCCACATGGGCCGCTCGCTCGTCAAATGCGCGCTGACGCGGGGCGATCTAGTGACCGACGTGGGACGCACGTTTGAGAGCTCGCCTGAGGAGATGGCGGCCCAGCACGAGAACTGTCTGGGCCTGCTGTGCGACGTGCGCGCGCGGCAGAGCGTAGCGCAAGTCATCGAGCGGACGCTGGACCGCTTTGGGCGCATCGACGTGGTCGCCAACTGCTCCGGGTACGGCGTGATCGGAGCGTGCGAGGACCAGGACGAGCATGAGATCCGCAACCAGTTCGAGACCAACTTCATGGGCACCCTACACATCATCCAGGCGACCCTCCCTTACTTCCGCCAGCAGAACGGCGGCCGCTACCTCATCTTCAGCTCGACCAGCGGCGCCCTGGGCGTGCCGGGGCTCGGCCCCTACTGCGCGACCAAGTACGCGGTGGAAGGCCTCATCGAAGCGATGCTCTACGAGATCGACTCCTTCAACGTGAAGGCGACGCTGGTCGAGCCGGGTCTGGTGCGGCGCGACGAGCCCGACGCCCAGGCGAACCCGCTGCCGACATGGGGCCACTTCCTTATCAAGCAGCCGAGCGAGGCGTACGGGCACTCGACGTCGCCGGCGCTGCACGCGAAGCGCATGGTGCAGTGGCTGGGAGACCGCCAGCCGACGAGCGCGGTCAAGTGCGCGGAGCTGGTCTGGCAGCTGGCCCACTGCTCGTACCCGCCACTGCGCCTCGTCCTCGGCAGCTACGCCATCGAGAGCATCCGCGACCGCCTCAGGTCCGTCACCGAAGAGCTCGAGGACTGGAAGCATCTTAACTACCCCGCGGCGCCCGAGACCGAGGCCGCGGCTACGACTGCTTCGGCGGCGGAGAAGAATGAGAAGGATGACGATACGGGGGATTCCACTGCTGAGATGCAGGATAATACTACATAGGCTTGCGGTATCTACCTACCTAGGTATTCCTTTTTATTTATTTTTTTCGTTTTACTTCTTGGAACCTGGGTGTTGGTCTAGGATAGGGGGGTTACGTGGATAATTTATGCATGGCGTTTACTTCATTTTTGCTTCTTATGCGAGATACCCGGACACCGGGGTGTCTCCTTGGCTCGAAGGGGCTCGAGGGCTCGAGGGATCGGTGCTTTAAAAGCCTTGCGTTTTAAATGGCTAGAATGGAAGTGGCAAAGATAAGGTAGGTAGGTAGGTAGCGTACCTAATTTTCTCCTTAATAACGGTCACGTAGAATTTTACGCGTATTTATTTCGTGCACCCAGGCTTCCACGCCTTGCTTATTCTTGTATACTAGCCACCATGGCGACTCCATCTCAAGTCCAAAGGCAGCAGTTGTGCTGTTATTATCCTTCCTTATCCCCCTCAGGTCTTCCCGAATTACCCTCAAGTTCGAAGAAACGATCAGCAAGCCTACCACCCCATATGATCTCCCTCCTTCAAAAAGAATGTGTGAATCCCCTCCCGAGCAAGATACACCAGCATCACATACTATCCCAGCCTCCGATTTCATCACACGGCGCGATCCTAAAATAGCTGCTTGGCTTGATCTACTTGTCGTTGAAGATCTACCCGACCATTTCGAATCAGAGTCTGGCTTCACAATGTGTGACCAGGTAATACCTCGAAAGCATCGGCCTGTATTGGCTAGTACGAACACGGGAAGCAAGAGTAGGAGTGTCATGTCCAAACTCAAAGCTGTATCGACGAAGTGGGATACGTTTGAGTTCCGATGTTCGGTACTCCTTTATAATATTAAACTAGTAAAATGGAACAGTCCAATTCCCGACTGGGTAGAGAAATATCTTGTTGAGATCGATGGGTATCATGTTTATGATACTTCTAACAAATTTGAGAATTTATTCGATATGTACTCCGATAATTCTTAATATAGCAAAGCTGAAAACGAATACAGCAAGGATCTTATGCGTATTCTAGATCTTGAGTTCGATGACAACAGAATCCTACCCGTTCAAATCCCTCCAACAACTCAAACGTCTACAACCCCTACTGCCTCAACTACTCAAGCATCTACAAACCCTACTACCTACCTATGTTGAAGCCAAACAGATAATTCACAGCTGTAACCAAGCTTTTCGAGAGCACTTTGTGCCCAAGATCAACACGGTCCAGACTGATTGGAAGGCGTCTACACCAGCACCCGATTATGCCTTCGAACATCATTTTATTAGTACTGCTAACGAAATGTCCCCAGATCTCAACATAATAGAGGCTACATTTAGATGTATGAACAGATCCTTCCTCATGTGTCCTTACCTGTTTATTGAAGCGAAAAGCTTCACGGGTCAGGTTCTCGGAGCGGAGAACCAAGCTATCATGGATGGTCGTATCGCTTTGGATATGACGTGGGGGATACTCGAAGATCAAGATATGATCTTTGTTGTATGCACGATGCCTTGGTATGCTAGGATATCTGTTATGTGGAGAGAGGAGAAAACGACGGAGAGCATTAGTATTGGAGAGGGAAATTCGAATGCTTGTTACCACATCAAGCCCATTCGCGCATTCAGCCTTGATACGTTAGAAGGAGCTAGAATGTGTCGACAGTTCATCTACCGTATCCATTATTGGGCAACAGTGAACAGATTGCCCAGGATTCAAAAGGGTATCGACAATTGGCGCGCAAAGGGTTATCCAAAGGATAAACATCAAATCTCGCTTCGCAATGCCTACGTCTTTGACGATGAGGTCTGATATACGCCAATTCAATGATATTTCAGACTTCTCTGTCATACTTCGGGCCTTACATTATCCCATTCGATTGACGACGATTTTTCTTTTCGATGATATTCATTGGCAATGAGGGCTCGGATGCGTTTTGCTACTTGCTTATGGGGATGCGAATGATCTATTCTTATGATGATTGTTGACGATGCTGCGGTTCCATATGGGTTGGGATTTCCCCAGGTTTCCTTGTTGGCTTTTTCTTCATTGGCCATGATTTGTTCTTACTACGATATAAACTGCGATGTTACTTTTATTTTCTCATTTTAATTATATACCTAATGGATATTTGCTGGTAGTAAACGGTGTTGTATTGCAAACGTTTTCTACCTGTAGTGGGCCTTGTCTAGTAAAACTCATTGATAGCTATAGCTTACGTAACCATCCTACAGATGCTAAGATCGAACTTCATGTAAGATCCATGTAGAATTATGTAGCGCACAAGCCTCATCTTGGACGCCGCAGTTTTTGTAAGAATTCTTTTTTTATGCGTCAATTTTATACTCGGACTTCTAAGCATTGAAGTATGTTTGAAAAAAAAAGTGAAATTAAATAAAAAGATACGTCTTAAAGGGACAGACACAGCTCCTGTGGGATTTCAATTGGACCCTTAGATCTAGTACAGATACCTAGGTACTTGTCGCAATCTAGTACGCGTTAATCGGGCCCCACAGTTTCCGGGCGCAGCGCCGTTTGACAGATAACCAACACTTTCTTTTTCTTTTCCCCTGATTTTAGTTTTAGTCCTCCGATATCTTTCCTTCCTTTGACTTGTCGAACAACCGCCCAACAAACACCAAGCAGACAACAGAATCGACATCTCCCCTCTAGACTTCTGTTCCTATCGCACGTTCGGATTCCCAAAGAAAAAGAAACAAAGAGGCCGTACAGCCAGCCATAATTATATCGCAAGCATGTCCGACAAGAAGAATGAAGACTACACCATTCGCATGCCCGACTCGGGTTTGCGAAGCCCTTATGGCGGAGAGAAGGATCCCTTCATCCCGGCCCGTCCTGCGCGCGCCGCTTCCCATCAGAACCTCTCTTCGCAGCTCGCAAAGATCGAGAACAACCCGGTTATATCTATTCTGGCCTACTGTCTCTCCTCCATTAGCATGACCATCGTTAACAAATACGTCGTGTCCGGATCCGAATGGAACTTGAACTTCTTCTACCTTGCAATCCAGGTACTACACGACCACATCCACGATATATAAGACTTTCGATTCTCTCTAACCATAGTCCTCTAGTCCATCGTGTGTATAGTAACCATCCAGGTCTGCAAGCAATTGGGTTTAATCAAGAACCTCGCGCCGTTCGAGGTAAACAAGGGAAAGCGATGTACGTGTTGATTCCTTTTTTTGTTGTTGTTAATTTTTTTCGTCGCTGCCTTGACACCCCCCTGTCTGCATAATCTAACACCGCCTTAGGGTTCCCCGTCTCCCTTCTCCTCGTCGGTATGATCTACACGGGCACCAAGTCGCTACAGTTCCTGTCCGTTCCCGTCTACACCATCTTCAAGAACTTGACCACTATTGTCATTGCGTATGGAGAGGTCCTATGGTTCGGAGGCAACGTCACTCCCTTGGCCCTTCTGTCGTTCGGTCTTATGGTCCTGAGTTCCGTTGTTGCGGCGTGGGCGGATACGCATAGTGCTAGTCAAGCTCCTGGTGCGGCTGAGGCTCTTGCGACCTTGAATGCTGGATACGCTTGGATGGGTCTGAACGTTTTCTGCACCGCCTCCTACCTTCTGAGCATGCGCAAGTTCATTAAGAACATGAACTTCAAGGACTGGGATAGTAAGTTTCCGATGCGCCGCCCACTTTCCTTGCGTTTGAATGATATGCTAACTATAGACAGCTATGTTCTACAACAACTTGCTCACCATTCCCGTTTTGATCGTTTGCTCTCTTATCGCCGAGGACTGGTCCAGCGACAACTTGGCCAGGAACTTCCCCCCCGAGTCCCGAAATGCTCTTTTCATTGGCATGATCTACTCCGGCATGGCTGCTATTTTCATCTCGTACTGCTCTGCGTGGTGCATCCGAGTTACGTCTTCCACCACTTACTCCATGGTTGGAGCTCTCAACAAGCTCCCAATCGCCATCAGTGGTCTTATCTTCTTCTCTGCGCCCGTCACCGTTGGCAGCGTTTCCGCCATTTTCATCGGTTTCGTCAGCGGTATCGTGTACACCTGGGCTAAGGTGCGACAGTCACAGGTGGCCAAGAACTCGCTGCCGACTACGCAGCCCACCATGAGCGCAAGCTCCCAGAGCAACCGCGACGCCAACTCATAGGTGAAAGTGTAACACTTTCCGCGAGCTTCGTGGCGGAGGTCCCTGGTACCGACAGCATGGCCACTTCGAGCCAGTACAATTCTGAACGGGGCGGCAGACCACTGCGAGACGGCCAAGCACCGAACTAATATCGCGCGCCCCGTGTCGGCCGACGTGACTGTATAATATCTATCCCATCCCCATCCCCCCATCCTCTTCGACTCGGTGGTGCCATGCGGATAGGCCGATGAATTTCTGGTATAGACTTTTTTTAACTTATAATGAGCAAACGGAGCTCTACGGATACGAAGAGGCAAAGTCATTTGATCATCAATCATCATGTTAATTTTTTGGGCGGCGCAAAAATAGTAATGAACAACCCCTTGATCTTCCTTCCTCCCCATCCCACAAACCTTTTTCGTTGCTACGTCACGTTTATTTTATTTTTTTTTTCTCGCAAATGGGGGGATAGGCATTGTTCACGTCGAGATGTGAGATGAAAGGGGGGATATTGCGTATACCTAATTCGCGATCCATCTAGATCTCGATGACTGGGTAGAAAAAAACTGCAATGCATCTTGTTTTGTTCGAGCCGGTCATACAGGGAAAGGGTGAAAAGGGCAGATGGGGGGGAAGAGGGAAGGGAGAGAGAGAGAGAAAGCAGGAGGGAGGAAGATTAGCATGTCACATACACCTACATATGCGTACGACTGTACGCGCTGGTCTGTCAATCTGAGCAGTCGTAATACACCAACTAAACTATTGGCTCTATTGCCTACCTATCAATCACATACTTGTCAACCCGTTCAGATGCTAGGTCTTGGTGTTTCTGTTGTGGGCATTCTCGGGGTACCCCGAGTCATGGATATGTTTAACGTATTCAAGTTACGACACAAATGACTCTCTTATTGACTACCTCTAAATCATCTCTTTCTTTGCTCACTCCGTGGTATCCTAGAAATCAAAATACAATCTGATGTTCCCTCCTACCCTATGCCTTAGTAGCCGTAGATTTTTTTTTTTTCTTAAACTGGTGTTATCCGTACCACCAAACCCTTCGTCAAACGTACGCCTTATTATCCTCTCTGCCTGATAGGCTATACTAATGGGCCGATCTTGACACTTCTTATTGATATCGAGCCGTCAGTTACCACCATACCTATCCCGCCGCCAGAGTACTCGTCGTCGCGTGCTGATAGTTCGGTTTTGCCGATCCGGGCATACAGCTGGTCGCCTGACGCCTTCATAGTTACGCTGTAGGATACATCGCGCTTCCAATCGAATTCCGTACTGGTTAGTTCAATGTGCTCTCCGTCTCGAGCTTTCACCAGGGCAATCCGATTCCTAACATTCCCAGTGTCGGCGTTGCCTTTATAAAAGAACAGCGCGTAGTATCTGTTCAGCCCTCGTACTCGCACAGCAACACCGGCTGGCTCTCCAAGGTTCACAGTGAAGTCTCTGAATGTAGCCCTATAATCTGTCCACTCACGCGTGCCGTAGGTTACAATACCTTCGCCTTCATCCTGAGCTACCAAGAATGTACCGCTAGAAATGTCGAATGTATCAGCGCCATTGACGAAGGATCTCTTGTAGAAGGTTCGCGGGCCGTCTCGGGAATTTCCTGGTTCAAGGACCAGAGCCGGAGCACCATCCCACCGAAGATAGTCTACCAATACGTCCTGGTAACATTTGACCCAAAGGCCCACAGCTTGAACTGGTCGGCAGCCCAAGCTTATCGGAACTCTCCACCGCAGGACCATAGGCCCATTCAAGTAACTACATTCCTCGCCCTCCAAAGTTTCAAGCTCATCCTTATGCGTATATGCTTTCAGCACTAATTTCGCCGTTAACATATTCTTATTTGTGAGTGTAGTAGCACGCTGCACGGATGCGCTAATGACTTGCCCCGGGTATAATAAAGGCGAGGCCGCCAGCTCGTATCCATCCACTTGGTCAATAGTTGGTGATATGAAAGTAGCTGTCATGACATATGTCCCGGATGTCCCGTAAATATTCCTGCTGATTTTTAAACCCGACTCACCCTCGAAAACTCCTTGATCAACAGTTGATTCCGACCAGCTAAAGCCATCCCTGGCGAAACTCGCGAAACCTTGGACGCTCCCTGGTAAGCTGAAGTGGAACTGTGCACCCTGTTTCGGGGACGTGAGAGCATCTTGTCCTACGAGCTTACGGCCCATGTTCACAATGTCGTATGCGATATTTGCGGCATTGTTGATGGAGTAGCCACCATCAGCGCTTGAGATCAAAGCGCGGTCAAATATTGGACCTCTCCAATCGTAACTATTTTCTTCGCCAGGTTTGTATTCTATGGCCGCTAGGCCATGCATAATAGCGACCAAGCATCCGATGTTGCCAGAGTTGCAATCCGTATCCCAGCCAGACGTGTTCACGATATGCATGGCTTCGGCAAAGTTGCTTCCTCCATATACCAACGACATGATCATAATGCCATGATTGGGCACCACATGGCATGACCCCGGGAATTTGTCGTATCCGTATTTTTTCTCGATCCTTTGCCGGGTGTACACCCAATCCTCATCATCCTGGCACCACTCACGTACGTCTCGAATTAGTGCGGCTATGAGCGAGTCCGAAGGTATAAAGCTAAGTCCGGTGTCTAGTAGATGATCCACGTTCTTAGATACGAATGCTTCCGCTTCCATAGCAGCCCATAGCTGCGCTGCGTACACAGCCTCTCCGTCATGGCTTACTGAGGCCGCCGCTCTTGCGAGTTTAGCAGCTAAGGCTGGATTTCCCGGCGCTGTCATGGCAAAGCCATCGATGAATATCTGAGCGCCAATCTGCTCAGCAATGGTACGGCCATTCGTCTGTATCGATCCGCTGTGCGGTGCTTTGATTCCCTTTCGTAGATTCAGAAAGGCCGTGTGCTCGGTCGACACACCGTTGCCACCCCACCAGAAGACTGTCCGGTTTTTGATGATATTGTTAAGCCATGTATTGCCGATCTGTTCAGCGGTAATAAGGTCTTCCTGCGCGAGCTCCGGAGTGCCAGAGGTTCCCGGAGTGCCTGGAGTACCTGGAGTACCTGGAGTACCTCGAATACTTGCAGTATCTGCAGTTTCAGAGGTTCTTGGAATTTCTGGGGATTCTGTTATATCCATCTTGTCTTCGCTTTCGCCGTGGTTCTCCTGTTCTGGAGTACAGTTGTGCTTAGGAGGGTAATGTTCCTCTAGCGCCCGTACGAATGTAAAAGTGCCAGATATGTCATCGTCTGTGACAACAAGGGGTACCTTGAGTTTCTCGTTGACATAATATCGGACATGTCCCAGCTCAGCGAGGATACGCTCATGTGTCCATCCTTCGAACGGTCGACCCATGTATACACCGATCAGCTTGCCAAGAACGCCAGCGTATACTCTTTCAAGGTAGTCTGGTGGAAGAGACTGCTTGGTCTCATCCTCCATTTTGGGTTTTTCTTCTTTTTGCTCCTCCATTGTTATTAACTTGTTAAGAAAATGGAAGAGAGGAGTGAGTAGAAGGAGAAATGAAGCAGAAGAGGAGTAAGGAAGAGGGGAAGGAAATTTGAAGGAGAGATTAAGTAAGAAGAAAAAGGAGGAAAGAAAAGAGATAACTTAAATATGAAATCAGGGCAGGTACGTGCAGTTTAGGTTTACCGCGTAGCTTAACGCGTAGATGCCTATAGTATATAGGTACCCAGTAAAATACTACCTCGTTTACCCCCGAGGTCCCGTGCTCTCGTTACACGAGTTAGGCATCTATCCAGCTATTGTGGAAGTAACGACGTGATATATCATACCTAATATCGATTTGAGATTCGTTTTAAGCCGAAGTTTAAACTGGTTAAGCGGAAGTAGTTATTGACTGTGGTATACAAATGACGTCGTCAGGTACATTACCTACCTACCTAGGTACCTTACGTGCTATGTAATTGGAAGTCTCCAAGCTTCAGCACATCACATCTGATACGGTGAGCGACTGGGAAGGGAATTCGAATAAAAACAACTATTTTGTGTAAATCCATGCTACCTTAACAGATCTACCGCCAAGTGCACTTAGCTGTACCAGAAACCCCCAAAACGCCGTTGATGCATGCCCGTCGATATAAGCCCCATGGATCCTTTTGCTCTTCTCGCTCTCGCCTTTGGTCCATGCACGCGCATTATCATGTCTAATTTTAATGGGTATCCATTGGTAATCATCATGTCTCACACAATACGCTATCTTGCGACGGCTGCATTGAGTACCTGCGTGCGGAAGAAGCCCCCCTTAGTTCGCTCGATGACTTGCTGATAAACAGAGCTCGGCGGGTGATTCATAACGACGGTGCCCTCCTTATAGTCAATCTTGGCATCGACTCTGGTATCGCGGATCAGGTTCACGATCCACTTCTCGCCCTCATCCTCGCCGAGACCGAGACGGGCACTCAAGTCCTTGATATCGATACGAGCGTGAATCTTGCAGTAGCTCTCCGAGATAAGATGTCGTGCAGCGTCGACAAAGACATCGGCGGTCGAGAAAAGGAAGAAGTCAGACCGGAGGATCTCCTCAGCAAGCGAAAGCTGCCGTTGCGCTTCCTCGAAATCGAAATCGATGTAAAGCGCTCGCACAAAGTCGGTCACAGGATCGCTGTACTCATAGGCCTCTTGCTTAACGATACGAATGATATCCTTCAGCTGCTTCTGGTACTGGCCAGAGTTCCTTGCTCGACTGCGGCCTGTGATAACGGCGGCGGTGAGGTAACGAAGAATCCAAGGGCAGCTGGTCTGGATGGTGTTGATGTAAGCGGGGCTGAAGAAAAGATCCAGGATCGTGTCACGAGTGTGGTCGTCGTTGAAAAGAGGGAACAATGCCCAGTGGATAAGCCAGGTACGTTGGCTCAATTGGGCTAAGGGGTTGTTAAAGAGCTTCGTGTCGATGTTCTCCTTAACCTTGTTTAGTTCCTCCACGCTACCTTCCCAGTTCGTGGTCAGAATTTCGGATGCAAACTTTCCCCAAGTTGCAGCAGCAACCTTGTCATTATCGGTAGAAAGAACACGGAACTGGTATAAGAGGTCGGCGGCGGCAGCGTAGTTGCCACAGCTGTACTGGAAGTTACCAAAGTCATAGAGCGCGTTGACCATCTCGATGGTGACCTAATAGGAATTAGAACCGGGGTAGGAATTGATATTAAAGCAAGGGGGGCGGTGGGGATAGTGATGCATACATCGTGATCGTTTTTCAAGAACTCAAGGTTAGCAACCTTGTCGCTGCGCAGATTCCCAACAACATCTTCGCGGCCCAGCAAATCAACAAGCTTGCTGGTGCTCTCCTCAAATTGTTCCAGGCGCGAGATAACTTTCTGTCGCTTATCGTTAAACTCTGCCGGTGGTTGGTCCAGACCTTCGAGTTCTGCCTTCAAATTTCCGACGAAATCGGTCATATTGGTGGTTTTAAGAAGTTCATATTTGGCCTTGGTGATAGCGAGGACTGCAGCATCGTCGGCGTCTTCAGGGAGTTGACCAGCTGCGAACTCGAGGAGGGGAAACACAAGATGACGGTCGAGGTGCCCAATAAGCTTGGGTAGGAGATCGTATTCAGCCATATTGACTGCTTGTAATATCGACCTATTATTATATTGAAATGTTAAGGACGAAAAAAACAAAACAAAAAAAAAACCGTTGTCGCGCGACGGTTTTCGTAGTTGGTGGTGGTGCTGAGTGCGAAATATTCAACCCCGAAAGATTGAAGGCTGATAAAATTGTTTGGAGGGGCAGTAAAGTTATTCCCTGAATTGCCCGGGACCGCATGTGGTTGGGTTGGTTTGACGAGGGCTAATTGTTAGGTTGTGGGACACGCTCCAGTACCATTATCGATAATAGAGCACATTAACAACAAGCTGCAGAAAAAGTGGTACGCATAGCTTTGTACCTAGCACTCTCCGAAATTTAACCGAAGCTCCCCATGCCATGCTGCCAGGTCTGCTAATAGGTACAGTGTCTCCTTCATCTTACACGGTCCTAGATCGTTGCAATCACTGATATCACTAAAAAAAGTTCAAAGTTCAAGTGCTTTTTGCGATCCACGACTTGACTTCAGCTGGTTACAATTTTCTGTACAAGCTTGCAAGGCACTTCCCTCAACTACGCTACAAAGTCATGTTATTGGCTAGACCTCTACGGCGGCTTGCCGCCCCTTCTACCTTCTTATTAACGTCTTCGACACGGTTCGCCTTACCCATTCGTACACGATGTCTCTCGATGTCGGTTCCAACTTCATCTGACGAATCAGCGATTTCTTCCGAATCCATTCCCTCCGAATCCATTCCCTCTGAACCAGCAGAACCTGCCTCCTTTAATGCACAAACAAAAAAGGAGGAACCTAATAAGAAGGCGCAATTGCCATACTTTGTCGCTAGGAATAGCCTCAACAATCTGGGCGTATATCACAAGGAGAAGCGGGGTGGAAACCTAAGGCTCACGTTGGTGAAGGGCGGAGAAGGAAATTTAATGGCTTTGAAGCAGGACATAAAGGATGCATTGCAGCTTAATGATAATGAAATATCTGTCAATAATGTCACTAGGCAAATAGTCATAAGGGTGAGTTTGGATGATATCGAGTCCATCATCTCATTTTATACTAACAGGTCTTCTTACTAGGGACATAAGAAGTTGCAGGTTTTCAATTTCCTTCATACCATGGGCTTCTGAGGGACCCGAGCGAGTGGCAATTAAATTTCCAGAGCAGCAATGATGCCCATCTCCCTACTCGTACGGTCATATCCGAAGAAATTAGGATGAGGTAGTGATGAAGGGGCCTGTATGAATATACAAGCAGGGAAAGGAAGCAGACAAGCAGACACACGTCTGTCTCAAAAGCGATAGGTCAAGTTAAGACTGCCCCTATCTTGGGATATTGGTTATATAGAATTCCGAAAAGTCAACTTCTACCTGCAGATGTATATATATGTACAAAAAAAACAAAAACACCACGCGTGCTATCAGATGGGAACTACCTAACCTAAGATATACCGTGGATATATAAATTTAAATAAAATTCAAGTCAACTTAGTCCCCATCTCCTCACATTTCCTTAATTTTTCGGTACTGAATACTCTCTGGGCCCTTCGGTACAATATAGCACCACGATAGAAGTATTACTGAGCCCCAGATCCTGCTTCGCATCCGTACACGCTCTCCTAAGCGCAGCTAAAGTGGCAGCACCGCAAGGTCCGGCAAGTATGTCACGGGCTTTCAGTTCCTGCACTGCATTATGTGCCTCCAGGTCCGTTACCACGATGCTCGCGTCTACGCCGTCTCTGAGTACCGGCCATGCAGTGGTAGATAGCGTGCCACAGTTCATCCCGCACATAATAGTGTCTCCCGTCTGAACCGTAACACTCTTGCCTACTTTGAGCGACTCCAGAAGGCAAGCCGCAGTTGTGGGTTCGACAGAAATGACCTTTGCCGAGCCGAATTTCTTCCTCCAAGAAGCGCTTTTGAAGTGTGCCGCAACGGCCTCCCCTATGGATCCAGCGCCAACAGGTACAATCGCATGAGTAGCCGGCTTCCCGCCCGTCAACTCCAGAACCTGACGATCGGACTCCGCAAGCATCGTGCTGTACCCCTGAACAAAGTACTCCGGGACGACGTCGAATCCTTCCACGCTGGCATCCAGAATTAAAATCGCTTTGTCGTTAGACTCGGCGTCCCGCCGCGCTACGGGTACCACGTCGTCGTAAAACCCGTCCACCTCGACAACCTCGGCGCCCTCGCTCCGGATCTTGTTCCGGGTCTGCTCGTCCATGTACTTCGGCACGAACACCCTGGTGGGGATCCCCATGATCTTCGCGGCCATCCGCGACACGGCCCGCCCGCAATTCCCCTCCGTGAGCGTCACCACCCGGACCCCGGCTTCGCGGGCCTTGGCGCCCACGTCCGCGAGGGGCGTGCTCCCGTCCGATACCGAGAGCCCCAGGTGCGATCCCACCGCGCGGTATACGGCCCACGACGCGCCTAGGATCTTGAACGCTGGCAGGCCGAATCGGTTGGATTCGTCCTTCAATAGCACGGCTCCGAGCCCCAGTTCCGCCGCTAGGTCCGGCAGAGAATGCAGGCGCGTCTCGTTGTAGTCTGGCAACGCCTTGTGGAAAGCGTGGATTATTCCCTCTTGGCTTGCGCTCTGCGCGCCGGCGGGGTCGTATACCCATTCGTGCGCCGATGGATTTAGATGAACGAACGGCGACATGATGAACTTCCAAATATAATTTTTTTTTTCCTGATCTCTGATTCCTACAATAACGACGCAAGTCTTACATATTTAAAAATTCGAGACAATAGGTCTCTTTTATTCTCACTTTTACACCTTCGCTTGGTTTTCTAATGAGGTAACAACAATTCGGTTATTTCATAGAACTAGATGGACCCACGCCGACGTCGGATTCCCACGCGGCCCTCTAGCCCTCCTAGATATGCGGAACACCGGCAATACATTGTCGGATGTCGTATTAGTGGGGATAACATACTCGCCACTGTTCTTCCGTCCGAATAACCACATCGTCACTCCGGCCAAACATAACATATCCGTCGTCGCATGGGCGCATATATGTATATATCTTGCAGAGTAATTATAGGTTCATAGTTGTATTTTTACCTCAAATAAATGGGCATTAAATCAATTTTACCTGACTGTTAAATATTGTTAATGATTAATTGATTTTTTGAACCGCCAGCCCATAAAGCTTACCCCTTTTCTCAGGGGCAATATTCTTCAATACCGGTCCAATTAGGAACCAGTCCGACACGACAATGGAGAATTAGTAGAATAAGTATAATAGAATTGAGTTGGTTAGAATAGCCTTGAAATGAACTGCCAACTCAAAACAAGGGAAGAATGGTTTAATTAGTTGAAGAAGTTTATCCAACGACTTCAAATTGAAATACTACTGGCTCTTGTCTATTACCCAGGGGAGCGTGGTTTGGTTTCAAGGAGTGGACTAGCCCAAAGGTTGGTCGTAGGAGTATACGAGTAGAAAACTAGCGATAATTGTAGTATTGGAATCATGGAATGTAGTTTCACGAATTTAAAGAAAGGGGCTAGTGTAGGGATAATGGATGCTCCCGTCATGCAAGCCTACGATCTGGTAGTTATCCTTGTCCAGATATAAATCGAGTAGGAAAATAAAACTGTCTACCTCCCTGGTACCGAATCATCCAGGATATGATGTGTGGCTGCTTGACTTTTGGGTAATATCACATGCCTCGTGGTATCATCTGAAAGACACCAACTTACGTAGTAACTTCGTAGTCAATGCCTACGACTTACACATTATACTTGTACGTGGGATATTGTCAAATAATCCATCTCATTGGTAACAATTCAAACCTGTCAACGTCAAAAGCATGTTTCTTCAAACACGCCAAATGATGCCAAAGAAACCATGCCATGGTAACTATCCAGCGATGGTGTTTAAACTGAATGACTTATATGACTGTCCCTATGTTAAGAAGGCAGGGCACCATGAAGCAGAACGCAGTAAGCTCCGAGTTGTAGGTTATATGACACATTCGATGCCTTTGATAGTGACCATACGTAACTGAACAGTTGGGTGCTTTTGAGCAAGCTCTTCAATACATATACATGCTCCGAGTCTTCCTGACCTTCCTCTGTCTTTATTATCTTTGAACCTATCTCAACTCACTCCGAACCCTCAACTAACCTTGACCATCGACTTTCTTAGAACCCTAACCTCACTTTTCAAGCCAGCTAGCTTAGAGCACAAAGCAAATCCTACCACCCAAAATGCGTATGCCCTAATATAAACATATATGCTAGGAAGCCTGAAGCCTCTATACTAATAATCACTGTATAGCGTCCCATAGCCACGGCAAAAAGTCCAAGAGATCTTCCCAGGACAAAGATTGGGGAGACATGTTCCTGGAGCGCCACGGAGTATACCGGGACCGTCCGCACGTTGTTTACCAGCATGGATACGGCAGTGGTGCGAGACCATCAAGATCACAAGATCATTCCTATGCAGCAAGCCACTATTACGATCATTATGGAGACTCTGGAGACGTGGGCGATTCGCAGCAAGAACCAGTCAACCCTGCCACGCCGGTTGCCCCAGCTAAATCACTGCCTCCAGCCCCAGCAACCCCAACTAAACGAACCGCATCCAAAGAGCCACCTACTGATTCGCAGTCTGTGCAGATGGACGATAAGCCTGAATTTACTGCTCAGCCTGGAAACCGTATTTTTGTCCAACCAGTATCCGGGGGTAGATCGGTACGCGTAAGAGAAGCAACTGGATATACGACGAACGGGGTTGCGCACCAAGCAGGCAACTTTTACCCACCCAGCATGAACCCATTTGCATCTCATAGACCGCCGGCAGGTACTAATCAAGGACAAGCAAGCGACAATGACCCTAACCAAGCAGCGCACCACCAGGCAGACGGGTATGGTGGGGGACTGTCTTGGGGCGCACCTGACCCTTATGGGAGGCAATATCTTCAGTACGCTGACAACAAGGACCACAAGCACCATGGGAGCCACCACCACAATCGTCATCACCGCCGCCACTGAGTGAATTCTCGGGGTTTATTCTTGCGCACAGTTTTAGGGATTAGTTCTTCATCATTTTTCCGCTTGTGATTAACTTGTCAAGATTTAAATATCTGTTAACGCCTTCAATGGCTCGGGCCATACCAAAAAAGAAAAAAAGAAAAGAAGAAAGTCAAAACGAAAAAAGGTACTCCATAACTTAGTATAATTCTCAATATATTCAACCAAATACATATTAACCAGGTTGAATTATATTTCATTAGAGATATAGTTTGTGAATTGTCTCGTTTTAACTTTAGCTATCTAATTCCCTCTTCAAAGACCTGTTCTTTTACTCTGGAAAATTCTTGTCACTATAATATCCACATCCAAGCACCAAACATGCCTATTACGCAAAATAAATAAGTGGATATTTAGATACTATAGCAGAGAGTTTGGTAATGTGATTCTGTACTTCCCTTGGTTTCTTACACATGCCGTAGAGTTAATAATAGTTGGTTACATATGAAATTCAGATTTACAGGTCTACTTCTGCTTTGTCCTGTCGAATACATGCCCCTGAGAAACAAGTTACCATAACCCTAGGAGTAAATCATGAGCTACACTACGTATTCAGCGATTCGAATTGTAATAGTATGTGACTCTACAGTTGTTCTCCTATACGGCCCTTTAGTATTTATAGCATGGCGGTAAGCCTTCTCTCTCTGCTTGTTTCTGCACCATACTCCTCTCAACCAGGCTCATCTCTACAATATCAGACCAGATCATATCATCCTATTACCTGTCATATCCAATCAACAAATATGTGTAAGTTCCCATACCATCCGCCAACTATCTTGGAGAGTTCTAGGCTTTGGTGCTAACAAAAAGCATTTAGCTTCCCACGGCAAAAGTAGTAAGAAACCCAAGTACGATGCCTCCAAAAAAGACAAATGGGAAGGTGGCTACATCTCCCGTCGGCCATCGACCGAAGCGAAGTAGAAATCAAGCGCAAAGGTGCCCATTCGAAGTCATCGAAGTCCCGAGGCCGTTCCCCAGAGGGTTCCAGTAGAGCCAGTGGAAGTCGTTATGAGAATAACGATGTAAGCTATTATGACGATGATCGCAGAAGTCACCACAGCAGCCACCACAGCAGCCATAAGAGCAGTCATTATGGTAGCCGCGATAGTAGCCCCCAGGGAAGCCAGTACAGCCGCCAGAGCCGAAGCCAGCGCGGGAGCGGTTACGAGAGCGACTACGAAAGCTCTCATGGCAGACAAACTCCGCGCCCGCGGCCGGCCATGCGGACCCAATCGCCTATCCCTGAAGAGCCCAGGGTAGTTACGGTTGAGCCGCCAACTTCCCAACGTCAACGCGCTGGACCAAGAATTATGGAGGTCCCCACGGCGGGAGGACCGCTGCGAGTCGCGGTTGGAAGTGGTTATACATCATATGGCGTCGCACATGAAGCCGATGCCTACCGGAACCCCAGCGGGAATCCATATGCCAACCAGTACCAAGCGCCTGGCAATAACCAAGGCAACCAGATGAATCAATACTATGATGGACAATGGTTCTAGGCTGGCAGATGCCTACCACCTTAATCTGAAGTCAGATCGATCTATGAGATCATCTAACGGCGAGTAAGACGATGGGCGCCGTAGGGGGTAAACATCTTGGTTATCGTCACCGTCACCACCATCATCATAAAAGTCGGAAATAATATGGTCCATCAGATTCATCTGCTGTCCGGAGTTAAGGGGTGGTCATTTCTCCTTATTGAGTCTTGGTTATTTTTTATTTATTTGGGAGCTCAGGAGTTAGAGCTCGCGCGGCAGGAAGCAGTATTAGCTCGCTGCGTTGCACACACATACTTTAGTCTATAGCTGAATTGCTAAGCAGTATCCTTATCCAACAAAGTGCCCCATTGGTATAAATATTGATTGTGACTGTGGTATCTTTGCATAAATGCCGACTATGGTACCTAAGAATTGTAACTCTTTAAGCCTGTCTTCCGTCGTGCTTTATTTGGAAGGTGTAACCTCTTGAACTACTCGTTTTCAATATGTTCAACTCGAAATGGATACTCATCCTGGAGGATCCCTGTATGTGGCCAGTTGATCCTAAGTAAGAAATCAGGACAACAAACCTGTTTCATCGGCTCGAAAAGTGGAATCTCAAAATCGGAGGGCAATGACTGATGCCAAGTTAAGTTGTTCGGCGGGGTGTTAGACTGTGCAATAAGTGTTACGACCAAAGTGTGCAGCGACTTCAACTCTCCCATCGTGTTCCAGGTACATTGCCACGGCGTGTCGCCGGACGCGTATTCCTGATCCCAGCCTGGCCAACTCCTGCTAAAGGCGTTGTTGAAATATAGACTTATCATGTCATCGTGGACGAAGAGAGCCAAGGTCAATCGAACATGGTGTAACATGTTGGCGTGGTGAGGAATTATCGCCCGAGGAAATACGATAAATGAAAATATACCGTTGAAACGGAAAGTGTGCCTCCTGTAAAGGATATCAACCGCTTCTAAATATCTATCTACTGTTAGCCTTCTGTGAATACGAACAGGGCCTTGGGTGCATACATGGCGGAGCAAACAGATAGTATGGCACGGCCGCGGCGCTTATTAGTAGGCGATAATTTCGCTATAGAAGAGCCTGCGGGCCAGTCCATGCCGGGTGGTCGATCGAACGGTAGGTCGATACAGTGTTCGTGGCCATCAGAGCCCGTAGCGGGGTCATGGGCACAAGGCACGGTGACTAGCTTTTGGTTGTGGATGAGAATATGAAGGTCCGTGGATCCGAAGACGTATTCATAAATCATCAGACGTATTTCTGGGGCCAACGCTGTCAGAAACAGCGAGTCGGGCTGAGGTGTGGGTTTGAGAGTGGAAGTTAATGCTGGTGGTAGAGTGCTTGGTGTAGGCCAAGGTCCATGCTCAACTTGGGTCATAATTCAAGAGAAGAGGGGTTTCGCGATCTTGATAGGGCTGCTTGAATAAAGTCGCGATCGTGTGAACAGTCTCAAAGAGAGATTATAGGGAAGTGGTTCAACTCTTACTTCATCACAATTTCTAGTGAGTCACTCTTTATAATAATTTTCAGTCTGAGGAATTAAAAATAGAACGACGAGCCTGATGACGGGGCAAAGTCTCCTGAAATAAGTAATGATGAGCTGGTATGTGAATGGTCACGTGATTAACATAAATTCATACTGCTAATGCCTCTGGCAGTCAGGGGGTTATCAAGTACAGTCTGAGCCAAGACCAGCTCCAAGTTGTAACAGAACTGATTCTCGAGGACGTGTGGCTTGAGTTCAGCTTGAAAATGGAGTACCGAATTTGAGTGTGGCTGTCTGACGCTACAGAGTGCAGGCGAGGACTGCGTCGGCCCTCTCCTAGGTAGAAATTGCATCCTAAGGTAGTCTGCGGAAACATAGTACGTGATTTCTCTCGCAGTGTCCATGAAGTGACATGCTTGAACAAAGAGTGGGTGTTGGTCGGAAAATATATGACAGATGGGCTCATCCATGGTGGATAACGCGACGATGAACTGTGCACCCGAATTATTATTTCCAACATCGCCAAGCCTCAGTAAGAGGTAGGCATTGATTCCTTGCCCTTGCCGTAAGAACAGATTCCGATTATGGTCCCAGAGTTGTTTAGGAGAAACTGCGACAATCTGACAAGGGGCTCTTGAGAAGTCCGCACAGATCGCGCCCCGAAATCGATTTTCGACCGTTTCTGACTCGGAGGGACGAAGATCTTTGCGAATATATACAAGAGTATTATCGCCGCGGTAATGTCTCATTTGCGGTTCTGCCTTGAAGAGAGAGTGCGATTTCGAGCGAACGTAGCCGTTAGCAGTCTTGGTCAAATATACGCCTAGCCATCCATCAGCCCTATCCTTAGGCCAGTCATCCCTTTCGGAAACGCCTAAATCCCAGACAAGGTCCTCAGTGGCCTCGGGAATACTAATGAGGGCAGTCTCGATTCGAAGGCCCTTATTGGTAATGGCGAACTCTGTATCAACGATAGCATCTTTAACTCTTCGCTTTATATTATAAGCGTAGGAAAACTCCCTGGGAGACCTGGCGAAGATGCCTCGATAACTTTGCTGAATCCAGCTTTCGGGGCCTGGCAGATCTGTCCACGCAAATAACGACAAGTCGCTGCTCTCTTTTGCAATTTCCTCTTGTAGTCTCATAAACGCCTTATGGCCTTCGCCGTATATCATTGGCATGCTGACGCCGAATATGCCCAGCAAACAATAGGCCGTATCTTCAACCCTGGTTGTCTGCCTCATTGACGCCCAAGACATGCGTCTTGCTACGGGAACTTCGAACATCGCTTGACTATCACATAAGACTTCATAGTCGATTCTGGTGACTTCGGCCAGGAAGGAATTCAATTCCGGTTTGCGACCCCTGAACTCCCACTTGGCGTCGTAGAACTCCGCTGCCCTAGGGGCAACCACCTCTTGGAGGGTCCAGCCCCGAGTCAACCATCTACAGCGTGGGAAATGCTCTTCAAACGACGAGCCGGATGGGAGGTCGGACAGAAATACAAAGCAAACGGCGGCGTTCGTATACCATCTAAACATGGAATTGATGGCCTCGGATAACTCCGCACTGCTAGACTTGTCTATGCAACAGCTATCTACCCAAGCGTGTCGCAAGCCGCGAGCAGACGCCAGTTCGCACGTGCGCATGATCTTTCTGAACCCCCTTTTCCCGTGAGGCTGCTCGGGGGCTTGGAATTCTTGGAAGGAGACCTCCTCATCCTCCCAGGTATGCGATAATATTGCATACGTGTATTCTTCTGGCTCGTCGACTAACTCCAACCGACAAGTCTGAGTGTTGATAAGCCACATTCTCAATTCAGGCTGACTTGGTTGGGCTGTAGCTAGAGGTAGAACTTCGATCTATTTTTTGAACGTGAGCTTTTTCTGGGGACTGGCGATAAAAGAATACAGCTTGAGTCTCGCTGCTCCTGGAGCTGAAACATGGCGGACGTGTGCTGACAAGTTGGCTGGCGTACAATACCGTGAAGAGATAGGGTATGAACAATGATATGCACTGTGCTTACATGTGCCAAGCCAAGTGGCTTGTTGAAGGTGGTGATGAGTTGCTGAATTCATTTCACTGCCTTGATGAAAAAATCAAAATAGGGGTCATACTAAGGGGATAACACGTCGAAGTGTATTTACTATCAATTAATTCTCCGGAGAGGAATGATCAACATGGAAGTAGCATCACCAGATATTTCTAAACTACCTACCTAACCTATGTAGTAGAAGCTCATTGTAGATTTGATATTACGCCGCGGATGCCTAGGCAGATGTTGTTAGTCCACCGAAAATCTCCACTCCGGGAAAGCCGGGAAGAAAGGGTTTGACGGATGCCGAGGTAAGGATCCTATGAGACCCATCTAGGAGGTCCGGAGTGCCTGACGGAGCAGTCTTGAAGTTTTTAGCAGCCCTCCGAACGCCGATAAGCCAATCCCCTTTAACGCTTGCACCTCAAAGCACCTTCGAGGTGTTCCTTATACTGCTATCCTAGTCGGTCTATCACCCAATACGTCCTAGTGTCCCATACCCTTGATAGACGTCCTATTCTTTCCGTCAGGCTCGAGAATAAACGATACCATCTCTAACACGGAAATAACCACAAAAATAAATCGTAAAAATTGGAAAAAGCAATGATTATATACGGAGTTTTTATTTATTTTAATGGTACTTGTTGTTTGGCAGAATTGAATATCTGAGGATGCCAAGACCCGGCCATTAATTCTCGAGCCTGACTGTCTTTGAAGATGATAGAAATACGAATACGCCAAAACTCATCTCCGATTCAACGTTAGGCGATTGGTGAATCAGACCATCACGAAATTGACAAGTCCTAGCCAATCATAAGTCAGTCCAAAAGTCCCCAACGGTTTCCACATTAGTTTCGAGCAATAGACTTCGGTATGGAGAGCATCGCGGCTCCTTAGTTTAACCCGACGCCGATGTGATCAAGTAGCCTAAGTTATTGCAACCAACATATCCTTACTTCCCGTTGAATATACGCCAATGCGGAGCTATGGGTGGGGAATAGTTGAATAAACACTCTACGTGGGCAAAGCCTCCAAGATATTTCACATCTAGGTAGGTAGCAAGGTGGACGTCTCACCAGCATACACAAGTCCCATATATACGATTAAACAAACTTAATACCGTGGAACTTTCTAGATTGGGAATTGTCGGTCTCGCGTTTCGCCTTGTATTTGCTACAACATTAACAGGTACCTTAGGTAGGTAGGTAGGTACTCGCAAATACCTGCTCGGCTCGCGACATGGCGCCGAGCCAATCTGGCAAGAGTATAAATGCACCTATAGCTCATACATTAACCGATCTAAGCTACTCATCTACCTGATATAGGTATAGAAATCGTAAGCCGGTCAATCCACCTAAGACACACATCGTTTCGCACATCGTCACTTAACAGAAAGTCTTTCAAAAATGGCTAGCCAAACCAGGAAACCTCGTGTTCTGATTGTTGGAGCTGGTCTCGGTGGACTTACATTAGCCCAATGCTTGCGGAAGCAGGGTGTTCCCTTTGAAATCTTTGAGCGAGATACCAGCGCACACTCCAGATTCTTAGGATGGGCTATCGGGATACACACGTGAGCTCTAACTTACCCACCCCTTTTGGGCAAATCGTGAGGGGATGATGAGGTCCAACCTATGTCTATAAAGCATCTGAAGCGGATTACTTTCATTCTAGCTCGAGTTATACTAATTAGGTGTTTAGGATCCTCGACGACTTCCTTTCATCAGTCCCAGAAGGTTAGCATATGGTAACCCTGGTTCTCTTCATTTGATATAAGGAATCTCAATATAGTGTCTCTAGGACTTGAATTTACTAATCTCTAATATTCATCTAAACAAACAGACTTGCCGCCATTGAAGGAAAGCGTAAGTCATTTGGCCCCGCTGAAACTTGAAGCGCAGCTTGCCTTTCATTTTCCTGGAAAACACTTAGCGGTAAACTCTACTCCTGAGTGGCCCATTATAAGGGCGAATAGGCCTCGCTTTAGAAATTTGCTCTCAACCAATATCCCAATACAATGGGGAAAGAGGCCTACAAAAGTTGAGCAGAAAGAGGATGAGATCCAACTTCACTTCGAAGACGGAACTACAGCTACTGGCGATATCCTCGTAGGGGCAGACGGAATAAACAGCTTCGGTGTGTGGCATTCCCCGCAAAATTCGCTTTATCCTTTTGGTCTAAAGACCTAAGACTAATCTGACCTACACGAGATGGATAGTGCGCGAAAGTCTTCTTGGCGTCCCGAATACTCAAACTCTCCAAGCCATACCAAGCTGTATAGTTGTTGGCGAAACGACGGTTACTGGAGAAGTGTTTGAGCGCCAGCTCTCTATCGCCCACAGCTCCTACGTCGTAATAGGAACGACTCCCAGAGAGTACTCCGTGTTTGTAGGCTTGAACCACGTGAGTGCGGATGGAAAGTCCGGGCGATACTACTGGTTTACACAGGAGAAAGATCCGATGATTGCTAACGAGGACCACTGGAGTAAATCCGCTTCGCGGGAAGAGCTATACAATTACGTTATGAATTTAACCAGCAATCTTGATCCTAGGTTCTCCGAGGTCATCAGGTCAACAACCTTGGATGAGCTTAAACCGCAGCCGATGGTATTTCGCGACGCGCAGATCGAGAACCTGCCGGTCGGCAGGATAACCCTTCTTGGCGATGCAGCTCACCCAATGAGCCCATGTGAGTTTCATATCGCGATGCTGAGCCGCTTAGATTAATTACTAATTCCAATCCCAAGTCCGCGGTGAAGGAGGTGTGCACGCTCTCCGTGACGCGCTGAACCTTGGAAAGGCCATCGCGCAGATAAAATCGAACAACACCGACGAGATCAAGTCTCTGCTCGGCCCCTACCAGGAGGAGATGCTGAGCCGAGGCGTACAGGCTGTCAGAGCTTCTAGAGGTCAGCAAGCCACTGGGATCTCCGGGGAGACAATAGATGCAAAGCCACCTGTGGTATGGGGAAAACACGCTGTAGAAGTCCCAGACGAGACCATTATCCTTGAAGATGTCCTCCCTTGACAAGAGTGGAAGTCCCTCATGGCTCATGGCAAGCCTGGTAGCCAATTTCTTCTTCGCGGTAAATAAAACCGATTAAATGGGGAGGGTCCGTGATTTATTATTCTTCTTCTTCCAAGCCTTACCCATCACCTAGGCTATTTTTAGCGAGAGTTTCGGGACGGCCCGGGCGGTGTGGAGTCAGTTAAGTCCGCTTTCGTCAAGGTCGCTACGAGTTCATATTCCTTAAGACACGTGAATAATATCCGCCGATCTAATACAGTGATATATACCTTATATAATACTATCTGTCAATCAATCTTATAATCCAATGTGACAGCCTGAGCACCGTTCCTCTAAACTATGATAGCTAGGTACGTACGCTTGTGTTAGGTGGAGGGAGGTGTGGCCAAGTCGAAGAAGTTCAGCAGACACGTCAGGATGTGACGCTTCGATAAGTTCGCGTCGTAGTACGGCATATTCGCTCTGTCGTTGGTGTACATGGAACGTTTGGGCCGAAATGTTCGACCGGCGAGTTGGCATCTAGGACTAGTTAGGTCTTACGCATTTGTATCAATAAGGGTAGTTGACAAACCAAGTACCTGCCTCATTCATAATACCTCGTCACAAGACCTGGCAGTCTCAAGTATCAGCTGCGACATTATTTTGAAGAGAAAAATCCCAAAGCCACCAATTATCGGTAATTGTATGGTGCAAGAGACTTTCTGAATATATGACGCTAGAGATGTGGGCAGAATTCAAGGATGTATGACACCTATAGATCACACATTGCACCCTTCGCGCTGAATAATAGCCTCCAAATTCTTTTTTATACACCATAAATTACATGTATAGCTCTTTAGTAGAACTTAGATAAATATGAATAGAGTGTCAGGTGTCTCACTTGAGACTCCTTGAATTCAAAGCTATCCTAGTTAGAGTTCCCCGAGGAACAACTAAGTTTTTTTTCCCTACCCTATGATCTACGACGTATCATAGAGAAACTCAGCGGCGTAGGCCCCAAGAGAACGAGCATAATTCAGATTTAGTATATAGAGGCAGGTTTGGCTGAGCTCTTGCATAAAGGGTTCTACCGCTTTGTTCAAGGTGCATATCATCTAGTGTGTGTGGATTTTACACTTCCATTCCTGGGAAGTGATGTTGAGAACTGACTTTAGCCAAAGCCTAGCTGCCCCCATATTTTGTTTTATGGACTTGTAGAGCGATCTAATACAATGAACGATTTTACTTTCGAACTTCTCTGAATAAGGCGTGATATAAAAAGAGCTAATACATCGTTATTGTACATGAATATACCAGGTAGGTACCTGCCATCAGAAGTAACTCGAGAATTGATAAAAGAAAGTGAGAGGTACTTAAAGAAGGCTGGGGATGATCCAAGGCAATGCTCTTGGCCGAAGAGATTGAGGCTGACTGCACAGTTACCTGTTTCAGAGATCTGATGTGATCAGGAATCTTGCGCTATGCAAATCGTGGATATTTACAGGCCATTGTTATAAGCCTCTTTTTGCCTCCAGCCTTTCATTTCAGGCCGGTCAAATATGAATGCCATTCAAAACTTCGGATTGGAGCAGACGCACGATACACGAGATGCAGAGTGTCGCTTATGTCCAAGCGTTTTCATTTGGCGTTATATGCCATACTTCCATATAGGGTGTATGACGGCTACTTGCATCGACGAAAACACACAGATCACCCTGTCAAAGAATCTCTAGATACCAACTTTTACTATGTACCTAGGTAGGTATATATCGTAATCTATCGCCGAGTTAGCTGTACGATGGCACGGCAGACTGCCGTGTAACCTGGCGCACCGTACGACCAGCCAGAGACGTCTCCAAATCTACCTAACATGCCACAACACAAAGGTGAGGGCAATTATGTACATTTGTTGATGTATGCTACCATCCTTTTTGGCAGCCGGAACGCCACATGATTTGTGGCCTTGCCTCCTGCTATATGTGTCGTGCTAGGTATTTCTTGCACGCCAACAACGCACCCCTCGGCCAGCGCATCTCTCCTCCGGGGATGCAGCTTCGCGAACAAAGCCCATCGTGCATTATCACATTCGCAGAACCGCAGTAGTGGTTGGCTCATTTACCCTTGAGCCTCAGCTAGCAATGATGAAATCTGTAGATCGGCTCTTTGCTTTTAATTCGACCCGCGGTGGCTTGCTCATAAAGTAGTATTGCTAGACTAGTTGCTATACCTGTATACTAAGGAGGAGGTTCTGCAATGCGGTCGAACAAAGTGTGGAGGACCGGTCCTGTTGCTAGAGTATCATGCTTCCTGCCCTCCTATCTCTCCTTATCTAATTTTAGACAGCCTTAAAGATATTAAAGAACTGTACCTACCTAAACAGAGGAACATAGCCCTGCCTGCGATAAACACGGATCTTAAACCCCCCCAATGATCAAAAGCCATGGGTATTGCAACACCGTTGAGAATACTCACACAACAATCATCTGCCGCAGACATAAAGGCTAGAGGCGAAGGTTTCCGTACCCTTACGATAACCCAGTCTTCTGAAACACACATAACCGTTATTCCACTGGGTAATAGTCAACGATGGACCGCAACAACACCTGTCCCGGTACCGGCGAGTTCCAGTGGCAGCTCTTCTAATACCGGCCTTATAATAATGGGAGTCATTCTTATATTGTCTCTTCTAGTTCTTTGTATATGGTTCTTTTGGTGTAGGAACCGTAATGACAGCTGTGCCAGGAGAGGGCGGTCAAGGAGGAGGCGTTACCCTCACTGTTATCCTCATATAAAGGTTGTTCGAGGCCCACCAGGGCCACCTGGAATCCAAGGAATCCCTGGAGTACCTGGGATACCTGGACCCGTGGTAGGTCTTCGCCGTAAAATAGAATACTGAGTATAGACTAATACCTTATTCTCTCATATGGCCCAGGGTCCTACAGTAAGACCCTCATGGCGTTTGAATCGCCTTTGGTACCTAAGATAGGCAGACTAACACGGCCATCTTTCTTACACAGGGACCTGAAGGTCCTCAGGTGGGTCATTTTTGACATACTCTCTAGCTGTAGATAATGGTCGAGCTCATAATGTTTCCATAGGGACCATGCGGTATCGATGGGGCACAGGTAAGCTATCACTGTGGTATAAACAAGCGAAGTAACTCAAACAGCGAATGTATTTCCTAGGGTATTCCTGGCGTTGCTGGGCCTCGAGTAAGTTTCCATCTGCCATATAAACTGTGAAACTGTCAGGCTAAAATTCCAATCACCTGCTTAGGGAGCGACTGGAGCAGTAGGCCCACAAGTAAGCCTTCAACCGCACATAAGCTAGTTAATTATAGGATAACCCAATTGACATCCTCAGGGCCGGGTTGGCGAGAGAGGCGAACAAGGTCCTCAAGTAAGTAATGGAGGTAGTTTAGTTGGTTAATGTTTGGACTGATACTTTTTCAACAGGGCAATGCTGGTGATCGTGGTCCCAAAGTAAGTGTCCAAAGAGAATACAGAGCCTGCGTGTGATAAATTAACATACGCGCTTAGGGGGAACGAGGTCTTGATGGAGCTGTAGGACGTAAGAAGTTTATCTTCACTTTTTAACACCTACCCCTTATCAACCGATTACTGCGTTGGGAGCATCACGCTGACTTTGATAAAAGCACAAGGAGGACACGGCCAACCTGGTGAGTCGTGCCTACAACTTATACGTACCTACCTATGTAGCCATTGAAGTGTTCGGATTTACAATACTTTGCTACACTTTGCTACCAGAAAGCCTTTCTGATATAAAAGATAGGTCGCGACGGCAGGGATGGCCGGGATGGTCGTGATGGAAGGGACGGTAGAGATGGAACACCGGGTCGCGATGGCAGTGACGGTGAAGACGGTGTCGACGGAACGAATGGAAGGGATGGAGCTGACGGGAAAGACGGCACTGACGGAAAAGATGGCGCCAATGGTGTTGACGGTGCCGACGGTGCCGACGGTCGCGATGGTATTGATGGCCAGGACGGAAGAGACGGGCAAGACGGTGCCAACGGTATTGATGGTCGTGATGGTGTTGATGGAACCAATGGAGGGGACGGTAGAGACGGTCAGGATGGTGAAAGAGGCGAGAGAGGTGAGAGAGGAGATCGTGGGGATCGAGGAGAACAAGGAGAAAGGGGAGAGCAGGGAGAAACAGGGTACAGGGGGGACAAAGGGGATAAGGGGGACAAGGGGGACAGGGGGGAAAGGGGCAAAAGGGGCGAACGAGGAGAACATGGTGAAAGGGGAGAGAGAGGAGAGAGAGGAGAGAGGGGTCCACCAGGCGGCTACGAGTAAAGACCAGAACTCCAATTTTGCTACATCATATTTTTACTGACCATTTATTAGGGCTTTAGTCACTGGGAGCCGGGCGTGGGAGCCGGACGTTGGAAGAGGACATCATAACTGTTGCCGACGCTGCTGGAATTACTGCGGAGGCTTCTGTACGGACAATTGCGGTAGGGGGGTCTATTGTGATGGTCATTGCGGCTGCGCATGTCCTTGCTGTCATTAGCAGGATGGATGAAATGTCCGCGAAAACGTGTTAGACATCTACTACAAGACGGACCGGCTGGTCAGGGGGTTAGGGGGTCGGGAGATATGGCATGGTACGGTATAATAGCGTGGCGGTACAGCGATCGGATTTGATAGCTTGGTTTAGGTAAATCCTGATATTTTGATTGGTATAGAAATAAGATATATATGGCGTACCCCAATGGCCTCAGAATAAAGAAGGGTTGCAGCCGAGATGCTGGTAGTAGGATAGACGCCATATCTTGGCCTGGGTAAGGTGACATCAAGTACCCCAAATACCTACCCCAATTATCCCGCCTATGCCAAGAGCTAACCCAGATCTACGGATCCGTACTTACGATCGGAAACCGTCAATTCCACCAATAAAATTAGTAGCGGAGCGCTTCTTCTGGCAGCTTGACCTCGAGGACAAATACGATCTGGCTCGGATTGATCTGTTCGTCATACGCTACACTGTCCAAGGCAGTACCGATATATAAAGGTTAGTGTATCTCAGGTATGGGATGTCATCTACGGAAAGTCAGCTGAGTGGGAGGCCGCGTATGAGATTTCTGTCTACGGAAGCTACCTAAATTATGGAGCTTTTTATATGTTTATATTTCATTACTCCTGCGTTGACGGATTTTTCATAACCTGCTGACATCCGATGGGAGGGTCAAGTAATGATATTTGCTTATAGATTAAATGGAAGATATTTTGATTTTTGTCCCCGTATGAGAGTGTTTCGACCGCCTAATTCTATACTTAACCATGATTGAAGCCAACGGTGTGAGACCTGTCGTCCCATGCATATATCATGAGCAAATGGAGGCTTTTTCCCGCCAGGAAGCTAATGCAGGCTCGATTCCGGAAGTAATGCTGGATTCAACCCTTTCTAGAAACATAACCTCTCGTTTTACTAACCTGTTTAGACTCGAGCCTTGTCGACCAAGACTCTGCGTGTCGCAAGTTGCCTTGGATACGGTCTAACGGACTGAGATGATAAAAATAGACACTACCTAAGATAATGTAAAAAGAGTAATTTATCAACCGATTCAACCCCTAAACGAGGGCATCTCTTTATTTTGCGCGAATTTTGATACGCTCAAAAGACATAACATTACTACTTTCTAAATGTGGCGCTCTTCCCGGCCTTCTCTCCATGCATTTTCCTCGCCGGTTTCGGGCCCTCCATCGTCATGCCGTAAGGATTAAACTTCGCACCCTGAGGGGCCCTATTAGAAGCTCTAGCCGCGGTTAGAACGGATTTCGCCTTGCTGTAGTCGAAAGGCTCATCCTCGTCCTCGTCCTCGTCCTCATTCTCGCCCTCCCCTTTATTCGCTGCGTCAGCGGATGCCTCTTTCCTCGCCTTCTTAGCCAACTTCTTCGCTTGTCGGCGCTCTTCCTTAAGAGCCTCTTTGCGAGCCCGCTTTTCGGCCTTCTTAGCTTTCCTCTTCCTTCTCTCCTCCTCGCTGTCATCCGAGTCGGGGACCGCGATTTCATCCGTATCCATAGGTCCGGCTGAGGTAGACTCTGATTTAGATGGTGTGTCGTTCACCTCACCCTCATCCGAATCCGATTCGATTTCGGGCGCTTTGCGCTTTAACCCGGTCTTTAGCGTAAACTCAATATCGACTGCCTCTTCTTCTAGCTGAATGATCGATTCTTCCATTTGAGTTTCCGGCTCTTGTGCTGGCGTGTCTACCACTTCTAGGACCTTGCCCGACTTAATAAATTGCGCCCACGGAAGTTCGAATTGCACGGCTCCTTTAGGCTTGCCAACAGCTGATCCATCCCATCGACTACTTATCGGAACCTTTCCCCATAATCTCGATGTCTGGGAGACAAGTTCCTCCATCCCTGATATTTCTGTATCGTTGCTTCTTAGTTGAGGGAGCACCGCCTTTGCAATTTCACCGATGCCCATCGTAGGCGGTGCGTTGCTACGGATAACTTCGGCAACGCTGGGACCGTTCAGTCCTTCGGCCTTGGCCTTGCTGATGATCTTGAATAAGTCAAACGCCTCCCGCTTGGCTATGTGGGATGTGGAATCAAGCAGGCTATGAAGAGCTTTGGGATCTGGCGGCATGCGCCTGGCTATGTCGAAAAGCGCCGCATTGCTCATCACAAATAGTGAACTTTCATCTTCGCGACGTGCAACCTCGTCTCGCCACTTATGCACGGCCCGAAATACAGCAAACTGTTCTCTTGAAAACTTTCCGGCAGATTGCCTTATAAGTAGGTTGAACCATCCAAAGGGGCCCTGGCCGTTGTCAGAGTCATATGTGGACGTTTCGTGTCGTCGTAATGAAGTCTCTTTGGACTTGTCCAGTACTTGGTTCATCAAATTTTGTCCAGATTCTCCAGGGGGTTGTTGCAGTAATTCGTTGCGCATCATATCGTAGATATATAGTAGGTAGTGGGTATCTGAGCGCGCATAATAGAACATTTCGTCAGGTATCGGGCTGATATCTACGTGTTAGCAAGATTCAAGTGCGATGTGCGTATAAGAGGATTATCCCATACCGTATTCTCCAGTCAGCTAATTGATACTTCTTATCTGCGTCGAAGTCGACGAACTTTTTTAGCAGATACGCAAGACTCCTGCTAGGATATTGGAGCGCAACTGCTGCCTCGAACGTATCGAATAGTCCCACGATATATAAACCGCAGTCCCGTTGCAACCATATTATATCCATATAGGCACCATGTAGGACCTGGTATTGTTAGAAGGATAGATGAGACGAAACAGGATGTAACAACGAACCTTGACAATTTTTGGATCGGCGAAGACTTCGTTTAAAACCTCCAGCTTGTGGCGCCATGGTTGTAGAGTGTCAACAACCCAATCCTTCTCGCGCGTGCTGATCTGCATCAGCGATAAGAGACCGCTGTATGTTCTGAAGTCATGATGCTCCGTGTCGATAGCAATTTCCGTAGCGTTTTTGAGCTCTTTCAGCATATCTAAAACGCCCTCAAACGTATCAACGAAGGTGGCTGTGGTGGTTTCGACGGGTTGGTATTTGATGGGTTCTTTTGTTTGGAAAACTGCTTTTGGGTATTGCAACTTGAGTATTTCGGTCTCGTAAGGGTGCTTATATCTAACACCACCGTTAGCTTGGCACAGGCAACGAACTCGTCATGGTATTTATATATCCCGAGAGTAAATAGCGCTGGGCCTTGATAAGGAGGAATTTAACCACACGGGAAAGAGTTATAGAAGAAACGTACTGGGTCGCCTGGTTGTCGTCGATGAAAGTATCTAGACTTTTTTTGAGAGGGGTGAGCGCGTGTGGTTTGGCTGTAAGTATCGGCTTCCACGGCGATGGATCGAGGTTATTGGGCTTTAGTTCGAATGCATTTTGAGGTTTAATGATATTCGCGCGGCGAAGAGAGGTTTCTAATGTGGTTGGTTTAGATTTCTTTGATGGAGGCCCCGGCTGCTCGGTCGGCGCGGCCTTCCGCTTGATAACACCCGTGTACTCGTCCAGGCAAGTGTCGGCTTTTTCTAGTAGCGTGTCGACCACATCGACGATGCGCGACCAATGAACATCGACATCATCACTATCCTCTAGAGCGGGCGCCTTCAGGTCGGTTCCCTTGGTTGCAGATGCGAGGAGGGATGAGGCCAGGGAAAGTAGGCGCGAGGATGTATCATCTAGCTGCTCTTCAACATCCGGATTGCTTGTTTTTTGGAAGCTGATGTCTTCGGCAGCTATCTGGTTGGTTAACCTAGTAGTAGCAACAAGGGCAGTCTGGATCTTCTCCTGCATGGACTTGAAATCCTGAGGGGGTTCCATGGCTGCCGCTCGTGTGCAACGTCTGTTTGTTTTTGTCGGCTGTCGGCGACAGGGAACCTGGCGATAAAGAGTTGGCGATGTTTGGGGGATTTGAAATGCGCCGGGCCAATTCAAAAAATTCTAGATACAAGCCTAAAAGGTTATCGATAATGCATTAAGGTTATGTATTGCTTAGTGGATCCCTCCGCGCCTGCATAGGAGGTAGGTACCTATGTATTGTACACTTGGAAGTACCAGGTGGACCTAAACACGCGACTGCCCAGGTGCTTCTGCAGCAGTGCAGGTACCTGGCAGGTAGGCTAAGATAACGATAACTTAATAAAGATCCAGTTATTCCCACACGTCCCGGTGTTGGCTTACAGCTCTTAACCATCTTCACCCGTCATTTAATCCATTTAATCTTTCAATGTTACTCAGCACGTTTTAGTTTTAATCTATCAATTTATCGATATGTCTGCATCTCTGGCGCCGGAGTGTAACGAAGTAAAGGAGTAAGTCTCATTTAAATAACTATAGGATTTACCAAAGCTCAAAGCTGATGGGTGTAGGCGATACGATACTTGCTTTCTTAAGTGGTATAGCGAGAGTATGTATGGAACTCCCATTCTGCCTTGGCTCAGTGTACTAAATTCAAAGAATACCTGCGAGGCAACGGCAAAGCAGACGACAACGAGTGCGCTAAACTTTTTAAAGATTATCAGAAATGTCTTCAGGTACGGTAAAAATAAAATATATATGGTCCTTGGTCTGAACCCATCACATATGGGGACTTATTTAGGTACTGACCACATGTAAAAACTAATGAATCAACATTTTAGGTTGCGCTTAAAGAACGAGGTATAGATAAGCTCTTAGACGAAGCAAGGGAAGACAGCAAAGAGAGTGATGCTCTTCATATGAAAAGGAAATGACGAAAATGATGGAAGTCGATACCTCAATAAGCTGGCCGCATGAAGTGCCGAGTTTCCGAAATGCTCCATTGGAAATGGATAATGGATATGCCCTAAAGTAATTACCTAAGGCTACATATACCCAGAAGTTGAGATTCTTGGGCTGACTGCGGATAGTTATGGATCATTAGCTACGAATTGCGAGATGATCTCAGCCAACGTAACCAACGTCATACTTCTGAGCAATCCCGCGGTTTACTATTTGGTTCCCAGAACCAAGCTCAGCCTTACCGCGACTTAGCTAAAGTGACGATCCTTGACAAACTGAGACCACCTACGCCGGCTACGACAACGTAACCATAATATCTTGGCGGTTTGTTAGTGTTAGTGCATTAAGAGGTAGCCTAAGGAAATGGGGATGAAAGCTCGTATTTATTCTTGGTAACCCAACCTGTGCGTTCAAAAGCGTCTTAGAACCCCCCTTCGAATTTGATGATTTCTTCAGTCAATTTCTACGGATATGGAGAAGCTTTACAACATTAGTATTTATACAGTGTTGGAAAGATATCTTTTACGAAGTAGATCATCTATGGAAATATTAAGTCGATAAAATGTGTTATAATAATGCTCTGCATACAATGCGCACTCGATATTTCCCTAATACCCTTTTGTCCTTTATTTGATCTTCCAATGGATTAACTATTATTTTTCTATAAACTAGTATTCATAAAGATTAGGTAAGTTCAATTAAGTTCGATGGTGGATCTGCGGATCGGAGCTTTGCAGGCCTCGACATTGGAAAGGCCGGAAAGGGTGATCCCAGCGACGCAGCTAGGTAATTCTTTTGTGGGGGGCTGATAAATTGCTTCGGACTCTATCGATAACCTAAAGTACACGCAATACGCAATGCAACTCTGCGAGTCTAAACTGCAAGGGGGTAGCAGCAACAAACAACTAACAACTTCAACATTCAAGCTTCGAAGGTCTGCCGTCTCAACTCAATTCCTCTTCCATCAAACCCTCGTCGCTCGTTATACGTTATACGTTATACGCTTCGGGCTGATTCGTTGCCAGTGAGCGAGTGACTTGGGAAACGAATGAACGTAAACCAGCTACGACAGTCTCATGCCTCATGCGACAAATAATACCAAGCTTGACGCAGACCCAGCATTTTTCTCCATAGCCCATCGCATCTTTCTACTCGACACGACCGATATTGACCAACGACATTTCAAACAACTATAGTTCTGGCTATACTTCATTTGAAGGAATTCTCAACCTAAGAACTTGACAACCACTGCGATCTTGTCTACACCAGGAAAAAAGAAAAAAAGAAAAAAAGAAGAAAGGAAAAAGAAGAGAGAAAAAAAAGAAAAGAACTATCAAAATTATAGGCGATGCGACCTGAATAACATCTACTTCCGACTTCCTACATGCACCCTTTTTCTATCCTCACCCTCGCGATCTTCGTGGCTGGCTACATCACTGCCCGATGGGATCTCGTAACCCGGCTCTACGAATTGGCTGTCTTCGCCTGGGATAAAGGTGTTATTGTGAGTAAGGGGTTTAATTGTCCGGTGCATTTGAGAAGTAGAGGGACTGGGCATCTGGGTGAAAGGATCTGCGAAAGGAAGAATATTTATCTAATATTTGATCGCTTTCAATCTAGGCCCGAGCTACTCTGGGATTTGCTCTGTTGAGTTTCGTATTTGCCCTCATACTTATACCTGTGCAACATATTGCTCGAATAGAGGCCGATCTGGTATTGCTATTCCCCCCTTTCTAGGTCTAAATCAAATTTGCTGATGGGCAATTGTGTAGCATCCGCGATCACCTAGTCTCGGAATATCTGCTCGGGAACAACTTCGGCGCAGAGGCTCCTTCTAAGTGGAGTACTCTGACGCTGGCTACCTGGTAACCTGGTCATGCCAGAGCATGATAGACTGATGAGGGTATTTTGGCCGAACGACATTCTTAGGTCCGATGCCCCTGGCGTTATTATTGGTTGGAGGAATTCAAGTCTCGATGTTGTTGTGATCGCGGTCTTGGACCATGTCGACGTGAGCAATTTGACCCTCGTTCCTGTTGTTCTCTGTTAACGCTATTGTGTTTCAGTCAAGAAGCGTCGAGAACGCGTTAAAGACCGGCATACTATTGAGAAGTGCGCCGCATCCTATACCTCGTATATTTGAGCTATGTGGACAGTCGTCGATGCATGTTCTTGGAACTACAAACCGGGAATCCCACATCGAGCCAGACTCCTCCTGGGTGCGAGCTATCGTTAGTCCATCCGAACGGGTACCCAAGATCACCTGTCCTAGAGCGTCGAGCATTCAAATTGTTTTATTCGAGAGGCCGATTCCACTTCGTATGCAGTACATATCCTTGAATCCAATTGCACTCTCGCTCGCCGATAAAGAGGACCATGCATTATATCATGCGTCCGATAGTTCGGAGGCTGAGGAAGAGAAACAGGAACGAAGGAATAAGCAAAAAAGGCGTCTCTTGGTAGACAAGCTCAAGAATCACTCAGTCTTCAAGCATGCTCCCTCGCTTAAAGACAGAGCTCTTGAGAGAATCGTCAATCAAATCAACTGGGCATGGGAGCTAGAACGGCTGCTGCAGAAAAACGTGCCACTTATCGGTACCAGGCCTAAGCGTGCTCTCAGTGTATCCGAGCGGGTGGTAGAGCAAGCTACAAACATGAGGAATTATGTAGTCCTTTGGATATGGGACGTGACCATTCTTTATCTATTCCCTATAATCCGCAGGGCCTTTATACTACTTCTCCTCGGCCACCGGTGCGCAGCTGAGGCTTTATTACTTATACTGGAATGGAGAGCTCGGCCAAGCTCGCCTGCTCTCAAGGATGTATCTGCAACAGCTCAGCAAGTGGAAATACGCCTCCAGCAGTTCTGCTACTGGCCTATGCAGTATGTAAAACTCCGTCTCCGGAAAAATGACTGGGCTAGTGTTACGACCAGCCACCCAGATTACATACGATTTTATAACAGCCTCTGGCTTGTAGCCAACGACGTTATTATCGGGATTGCCCTTGGCTCTTATATCATCGAGAATGCTGAGTGGGTGGCTGACACGATAAGCATGCTTCTGGGGAGTTATACCATTGACCTACTACGGACCAGCATCTCTTGGCTCATGGGTTGGCCTGCTGGTTTAAAGTTGAATAGCGAGTTGGCCTTATTTTTGGGCGACTTGTTTCTTTGGGTTATTGACTACTGGTCTAGTTGCATTGGCACATTAGAGCCATTACTGCCTCGCGTGGTTTGGTTCATTGGGTTTTCTAGCTTCGCTGGAGCTAGTATGCCTATTGCCCTTTTCTCCGACTTGCTCTCGGTCCTCACGATCCATATTTACTCGTTTTACCTGGCCTCGGCCCGTATTTTTCATTGGCAGTTGACGATCCTTCTTTCCCTTTTCCAACTATTCAGAGGCAAAAAGTATAACGTGCTGCGAAACCGAGTGGACGCCTGCGATTACGATCTCGACCAGCTGCTTGTCGGTACCATCTTATTTACACTTTTATTCTTCTTACTACCTACCGTTGTCGTGTTTTATCTTAACTTTGCCCTTGCACGCATGGTCATCATATCATTCAAAGCTATTTTCGACACCATGTTGTCTTGTTTAAACCATTTTCCATTGTTCGCACTGATGCTTAGGGGTAAAGATCCTCGGCGTCTCCCGGGTGAGTTTCTATTCTATTATTTTTCTCCTGCCTACAGTATAAGTTTCTTTGTGGTTAACATTGACCTAGGCGGCATTCGTTTTGAACTTCGTGATACCCCATATAGACTTAGCACTAATTCTACGTCGCCTTTGCCGTTCCTCTCGCAGCCTACTTCCGTAATCTATCTCAAGGTTCGTAACTTGCTGATCGTATAGTACCTAGTAGTAACAGTGCGTAATAAACTAATATGACACAGCCTATACCTCTTGCGTTTACAGCAATGTTTCACCAGTATTTCCAGATGGGTAGTCGTATTCGCAAACACTACTTATCACCTCGGGTACTATTTTGTCTCGTTACGGGCCGTTTTGTTCCACCAATTCATCGGAAAGCCCTCTACTCTTTACAATATAGCATGCTCCCGGCGCGTCGGGCGGGCATCATGGAGATGTGGGAAGCGCTCAACTCATTACCGGCAAAGAAGCGACCTGTACACGTGCACCCGTATGCGTTTGCCTCTACCATAAACCTAGACGGGAGACGGCATATGAATGGACGTGCGGGAAGAGGTATGAGTAAGGAATATGATTAACGAGGCATCGAGTGTGTAGACGATATAGACGACAGCGGTGATGACGGGTAATGACATTCTGTATACCGGAAGCAAAACGAGAAGTGATACTTTCAATGCGTCTGATGAGCGTTCGTTAATACGATAGGTATAGAACTTCCAACGTGGATGAACTGAGGTACCTAACAATACAGAGATACTAGAAATGATGGCATCAGTGGATATAAACTATCACTGTATTCCTACAATACGCCAACACCTAGTCACACAATGTTGGGCATTTTTTCGCCAATATGCAGAAGATTGCTATGCTGGCTTCACTCATAAAGCTGTTAGCTGGAACTGCTGACTTCCAAGTGAGGCTCGGTGCGACGGTAGCGTGTTTACTCCAAAGGCATTTAAGAAGTATAGAGAGCTCGTTGGATCTCCATCTGCGGGGGGTTATGATGTTTTACGAATCAATTCGGGTATGTAGTGGTAGGTGGTCGTATGCCGATCCGGATTGACCCATCTCCTGGGTCCGTTTGTCATTGAGCTGAATACCTAATGTACCTGTGTGTTCAATCAAAGTATCACTTTAGACCGACGTATTGGAAATACCTAATGATAATAATCATAAACATGCAGGTCATTTATAAGATCCTTACCATCTGTGTCCTTGGCATGTATCACTCCGCGTAGATGGCCCTAATGGAGAGTGCTTGTTTATGCTCTTCTTTATTTTGCTGCTATTTTAGAGGTGCCACGTTGATTTTCAGGCGATACATTTGTAGAAACCGGGATGTACTGTAGGTTACCTTAGGTACTTAGGTACCCGTATAATGGGGTGGGGGTGCAGATGATGATGATGTCCCCCCTGCTGGCGGCACTGCGACAGCCCTCGGGGATGCTGGGGTAGTACGAAATTACGAAATACATGTCACTTTTTACTTTTCCAACTCTTTGAAAAGTCACGTGTGACGCATGTGATAGGTACTAGGCCCAGGGTCCAAGGTCCAACGGTTAGGTGGGTACATAATTGTACATATGTACGGCAGGCATCAGCGGGGGCTTAGATCTGCATCTTCCCGTGGCGGCGCCAACCGTCAAACTCATGTAGCCAATATCAACTACAAACGCCACCAAGGAGCAACTTTAACTCGCAACCTGTATTACTATTCGAAACCGATAGTTTTGAATATCTACCTAAATCGAGAGCTACCTAAGGCATAAAATGCAAAAATGCGTACTACAAGAGATAACAGCTCAGCATCCGGCAGGCTATTCAGGCCGGTTTGCATTGGAGTACTCTAACTCCAATAGTAGGCGCCGACCAAGTAAACGAATATGATCTATCATCTTTTACTTAGTACCTACTATGTATAATCCGTTCAATTTGTATGCCCAAGCTGCTGGCTACACCCAGGAAAACTTCCTACCTAAAGCAATCGCCAAATAGGTTAGGTAGGTACCTGTATCCTGACCAATCATTAGGTCGCCGCCGTCTTGCATAGTTTTAAGTCAGTCACGTACCTAACCACCGCATCGATTAATGTGTTGCCTCGAAACTGAACTTTTTCCATTTCATTTGCATGGGTATGCACAGCCTTTTCGTTTTTCATGTACCTACCTAATTTGACCTACCTACCTGAGGTAACCTAGGTAGGATTACTTTGACTACAATTACCTCCTGTCATTCCCAGCCTCATCACTCTTTCTTATAAACTACCTCATACCTGCCTGAACCTTCAAAACCTACACAGACGGCTATTACACAGCGCCACGGACTAACAATCTAATCACAATGGACCTGCTTGAAGCCGTTTTCAACCATCTTGTGCTGCCTCCGCAGTTACCTGGGTCGCAAGACCCGGACATCGAGGCTTTATCCTATGATGTATTGATGCGCCTCATACGCACTTGCGAGACTCTTGAAAGTATTGTGGGAGCACCTTGGTTTGAAGCATTTCAAACTCTTCGTACCTCCTTAGAATCATGTCGTGCCCTTCACTCTGGGCGTTTGGAAAAGTCGGCGCTGCTAGCCCACTTTCGTGAACTCCAGCCTGACCACATGCTTATTTTGCATGTTACAGAGCAGAATGCAGCTCTACTGATCCGTCGCACATATCAGTGAGTATTTAATAACGAATAATTACCTGTACGTAATTTACTTACCACTAAACATAGAAATGGACAACATTACGTTGTATTCGAGGCATTCGAGACATCAGCCGTCTCGGAACATGTTCTCGCTGCGGGACATGCGCTGCAGTGGGACTTTCCTGGACGTTCAGCTCAGATTCCTCTTTCCACATTCGCCGATGAATCATTTCAACAATGTCTAGCAGCTTTTCTGGAGCAGGCTAGTATTGAAACCCTTTATAATCTTCAGGCATCCACTCAGAAGGCCAACGTCTCTTTAACCGAGGTCAGAGATACGACCGACCCTGCACTGATCACTCAGATGCTTATACCAATCCTGGAGGCGATAGGAAACCACTACCAGGCGCCCATGCTTCGAAAGCGAGTACGGGATGATGTCAATATACAGAACGCTGACTTGCCCTGGCGTCGGCTTCCATTTTGGCTCGTCTTGCGCGTTGCGGCCCAACGCCATCTTTGCTTCAAGCTTGGTAACGATCAGGGACGTATTGGTTACAAGTTCCTCGTGTGTTTATTACTCGCAGAACTACTGAAGCAGTCTGCTGGAAAGCTCAACCCGGCCATGACCATTACGCTGCGCACTAAATTATGCCGCCGTATGGCAAAGTTAGAGACGCAGAAGGCTAGGTTAAAATTATATGAGACTGGAGTTTATAAGTCCTTATTTGGTCATATCTCCCCTCTAATCGAAAATTCGATTCAAGAAGCGACTGCCCAAGTTGAAAATGCATGGGAGTCATTCAAAAGGAACGCAACGCGGCGTGTGCCAGTGCTTCCTCGCCATGCAGACCCCCACGCACTTCGCCTCTCCCTCCCAAATAGTGGAGAGTACCTCGAACGTCTCCTTTATAGTCAACCACCACGAAAAGCTGATGTCTCATCATTGAATCTTCCGCAACCACTGGACAAGGCTATTCAGCAGACACAAGACTTCACAGATCATATATTCCGAATTGCAGATCTCGAGTCTCGTGCTGAAGAGAATGAGCTTCCTAGCCGAGATACTAGGGCTAATTTCTCTGCTCGTTGCATCGATATCGCGAAAGAAATCGACAATATTTTTACCGAGGTTGGCACGACGTACGACTCTAATCCAGAGCAGATGAGTTCTATGATACTTACCTTATTTACTCTATGGGTTCGTCTGGACAAGTGTGCCGTTGCCGTGTGTCCTCTTCTTGATGACCATCTCCGCATTTTCAGCCCTGAGCTCCTAGATGTTCTCCAATTGCCCACGATGTCTGAAATGTGCCGGCTAGAAGATATTCAGACGTATTTAGCACAAAAGAAGTCCAACAGCCGGTATGGAACCATTTTTGACAGGTTTGATAAGAACTGTCTAGCGGTGCGCTATGTCGCACAATCCGCAGAGATGCAATCATTGGCTTTGCGCGTGAAGGCTGCGTCTGATATGGCCCGTGATGCCAAAGAGGCAGAATGGAAACGGATGTGTAAAGAATATGACGACCATACTGCAGGGATTGCAGAAGGTACGTGTTGTTGCTCTTGGAAAAATGGGCAGCGCGACGTGCGAGGGTGCAAGACTTGTTGGCACTGGAGAACTCGTAATCGAATGAAGATTGAAGTACACGAAGCCTTCCTCCCCGAAAACGATCCAGCTAAGTCTGTACTGCTCTTCGAGTTGGCCATTCCCCGTTACCTCTCAGCCTACAGGAATGCCACTTGGAAGATTCTATCTCTGCTAGCACACCCGAGCCGCCCGGATAAGTCGTCAAAACCGGCGATAGAACTTGCGAACTGCACGCCTCTTCGATCCTATATAACGGCTGAGGGGCAGTGTATATCTTTAGCGTCTTCTATTAAATGTTTCAGCCAAACCCATTATAAGTTCAACAGAGGAAAAGCCCCTCTTTCCCGTGTGCTGTTGCCTCTCGCAGCAGATTTTCAGTTGTATGACCGAAATAGTGGATTGTGGGTTAAAGATTTAGGGAAGCCCCTGACATTTCAGCATCATTGTGCTGTTCATATCCCACCTGCGCTTCGAACTACCATTATACCGGTGGTACAACATCCACCGGCTACTGTGGATGGGCCATCGTCCTACGAAGTTCAGGCCAATCAAGTTGAGTGCCCGGCTAACATGTCCGTCCACGAGTTTTCTGCATACCAAAAGCTACTTGGCGGCAAGATGCGGCGTTGGCCAAACATACTTGTTGAGATGGGTTCCTCTAACCTGAATTTCGGGAATGAGGATACGGCGAATGTTCTTTGCCAACTGGCTATTCAGGCAGGACCTCGACTACCCAGCGAAACGCTTCGAGCAGCTCATGTCATCTTTAAAGAGGCCAGTTTCGTAGAACGCCTAGCAGAGATTATTGAGAAGCGTCTTCGAGCTATCCTGACAAACTGGAGAGAGCACCACTATATGGGGCTTCTTATTACTCTTACTCTAAGGCTGTTCTACCTATCGTCCGGCTCTTCCAGGGATCGTGCGAAGAGTTTGCTGCGCACCGCACGAAATGCTACATTAGAATGGACTACCAACTTGAGAAAAGAGCTCCGCATCGCCACTGATGCTAAGGATGCACAACGAATTTCAGAATACGGTTTCTGCGCCGCTATATTGTGCCGGCGAACTTTTGCGGTCTACACCGAAAAGAACGGCACAATGAGTGCGGAAGATTTGAGCTCCTGGGTCTTGGCATCAGTTGCATTGCAGGAGAATTTGCTAGTTGATATCAACAAGCTATCCCCTGGGTTGAAAAATATGTATCTACGTGATACGAAGTTGGCATACCGCTTGCAGTCAATCCTCAAGACAGCCATACAGTCTCACCAAGGCGCCGTCGGGTATGGAATATCTAGGAGTTGGTCCGATAGCTTAGACGATGTTAAGTCGTCCTTCACTCATTGGAGCTTCTTTGGCGCACCCCACAATCGTTGGATCGTTTCCCGTGCGTCAGAAAATCGCTGGAAATATACTACAACCCAGACGGTTCATTACAATTTCATCGAAGGCCATATGCTAGTAAACGGAAAGCCCCGCGGAAAGCTGCCTCTTGAGATCCAAGAGAGTGAGGACGTTAAGGAGATGTTTGGGAACCACCACATTCTTACATATCCATCTTTTTTACCAGGAATGACGCACACGCTTTCGAACAGGATTCATGGTCAAGAGGTGCATTTTGGTATGCGGGATGGACAGGTAATCATCCGTACTAGCACGGCGACCAGTATTCTGGAGCTCATCCCTAGAAAATTGTTTAGGGGCCCGGAAACTTTTGACCTGCCAATGGAATTAACGGAGAGCTGTGTGCATTGGTTGAATCTTAGCACAGGATGTCTGGAAATTCGCCGCATGCCTGTCATTTGGGTGAAGCGGCAACGTGACTGGGAGATCGATATTCCTAGTCGCAGAGCTACCCGCGGCAATGTGAACCTCGTGGATCCCCAATCAAGCATATTTGGCCAGGTCGTAAAGACATTGCAACATTTTGAAAACCCGGAAAAGTTAACTGTTTCTCAACCTTTAGTCGGTAAGCTGCAAGTGGAGCTACGCCACTTGGAGTTGTCGTTCTTTGTGAATCGCGAAGGTTTACTCGAATGTCGGCAGCTAAACGCGGAGGTTGACCCGAATCAAGATGCGGGCACATGGTATGGGCTCCAAAGTATGATCGTGCTGCGCGATATAGTTTCTGGGAAACGAAGCATAATTGTCCCTCTAGGCCAATTCAACTACAAACGAAGTGGAATGCACGTACAAGTGCGCATATTTGACGCACCAAATTATGGTAGATATAAGATTGACGATATCCTCGGCCGGCTTTCTTGCCCTCCTGAGCCTCGACTTCTTTATACGAAAGCTTTGTATCATGCGATTACATCTTTCTGTCTCCCTGACCCCTTAACGGGAAGAACTGGTACAGAAGAGGCATTCTCAATTCTTCGTTCAGGTGCTTCTCAACCATGGGTACCTTTAATATCTCTTCCAGAGGAGATATTAAGGTCTATAGCAGACCTGTCCCCTCGGAGGGTTTACTATCCCCCGCCAATGAAGCGTTTTCAAACTGTAACTTGGGATGGAAATTTGACGGTAAATATACAGCATGATGGGTTTGAATCGTTGATTCAACATATCCTTATCAAGTCCAATCAGCTCAAGAAGCTTTCCCCGTCTGCTACAAAGGACATAACTTTTGAGGAACCATCACACCTCCGGAACCGCGGCCGACTGCAACGTGAGCTCTACGAATGCCCCACTCTGGATACAGCTAGTCAAGCCTCTCAAGATACTCCTTACATCCCCCGCGACCGTAATAAAACATCGAAAGCCACCCATGTGTACCAGATAGCTCGCCACGTTCTTGCAGGTTCTTCCTCAATACCCATGGGGACTTCCCTTAAGGCTCTTCTCGAGTCCAGCGAAGTTATTGGCGGGTTCCACGGTGACGACAGCTCATTTAATGGAAAAGAGCCTCTTATCAGTCAGATTGAAGAATCTATATATGAGAATTGGGGTTCTCTTATACAATTCTGTCGCCATGCAGATGATAGTACACCCGTCATATTTCGCCTCGGGCTGCTTGCTTTCAATGCCAACCCCAATATGGAAATGATTCATTATCTTGCTGCTTTCTTCAAGGTCCATCAAATAAAATGCCTGCAGCCGCCTTCCTCTGGCGGCTTCTTCGATTTCAAATCGAGGGAAAGGCCCTCTGTTGAGCTATTACAGACGCTCATAGCATCGGCTTACCTCCCATTTGATGGAAGGTCCCGTCGTGGAGGAGTATGGAAAGACCGGGCTGGACGCAATCCCGAAGAGCACAAAGAGTTTTGTGAATTGGAGGGCCGTAGGCTCGCTGACTGCCTTTTAGAACAGTGGCCTACTTCAGTGGACGAGATTCCTAGAGAAACATTCGAAAGTAAAGCTGTCGACATCTCCTTGGTGCTCGAAAAAATACGACCCGAGTGGGATCGTCGGCGGGAAAACATGGAACTGGACGCTTATATCAATCGAGTACAGGCTGTTTTAAGCTCGCTCAAAGGTCCACGAAATCCCTTTTCACTTCCTGACTGGACAAATGCTACCCCAGTGTTCACGGGTAGAAACAATTCTCGAGTTATTCCGTCAGTATCTCAAGAATTGGTAGTCAAACCAGGCCCCATTCTGGATACTACGGTGAACAATATCGACTTCATCGGTAGGAATGAGTCGGGGTACAGCAAAGCTGAGGAATCACAAACACGAGGCCTACTCAACGAGGCTATAGAGTTAGAGGCAATCTTACGTAGGTTTGCAAGGTCTGCCAACTCGATTCGGCAGAAATACAGCAACGATCTTCTGCAGAGTCTATCTGCGCTGAAAGACACGGGCCAGTTAGATTCTCAAGGACTAATTCCGGCTCTAAAGGACGTTAAAGACGCAATAGAGCAAATCAAGCTTACAATCTCGGACTATCGTAGACAAATATGCGATGCTCTTGCTATCGGCGACGACCGGTACCGATGGTTGCGGCTTGGTGCCATTTGGCCTTGCACATCACCGGTCGAGATACTTACATTTCTAAGATCTTCACTAGCCTACAATTTTGGGTCCGGGATGAAAGAGGCTCTTGTTTCCTATGGAGTAGCCATTACAACTCTACAGCGGCTAGAGCGCCTTCGCTCCGCAGCCCTGCGTGGAGACAAGCGAGCGTGCGATGAAGAGTTGCGGAATCCAGGTCATCAGAATTGGTCGCCGCTTAACTCGGCAGATTGGCTATTACTCGAACTTGACAGCGACTTCCTTATACGTACCGAACAAGTCGACGTCGCGTATGCCATGATTGCGCCGAAGTCCGGCCAAAACAGTGTGCTGCAGATGAACATGGGCAAAGGTAAATATACCAAATATACCTATCTTTTGGTTATGTAGGGGAATAATATCATCGAACTAGCGCTAACTTCTGTGTAGGCAAGACATCATGCATCGTACCGATGGTGATAGCCGTCTTAGCAGATGGCAAAAACCTTTCCCGGTTAATCGTCCCAAAAGCGCTTCTAATGCAGACAGCACAGACCACCCAGTCGCGTTTAGGAGGGCTTGTAGGGCGTGAAGTTCTTCACATTCCTTTTTCGCGGAAGTCGCCAACAACGCCGGAGATATTAGAGCTATATGAGACCCTTCACCGCCGCACTCGTAATTCTAGAGGGTTAATTCTTACTAGCCATGAACATATACTGTCATACAAACTGGGCGGATGGCAGCAGCTCGCAGACGGTAAGCTGAAGGCAGCAAGAAGCATGACCGTCTTCCAGCGTTGGCTGGACAACAATTGTCGCGACGTTCTGGACGAATGCGATTTCACTTTGGCGGTTAAGACTCAACTGAACTACCCTAGTGGACCTGAGATGGCTGTTGATGGTCATCCATTCCGATGGCAAGTAGCCCAAGAGTTGCTCGACTTAGTAGCTCAATGCCTCCCGAATTTAATGAAAAGATTCCCCACCAGCATTGAGGTACTACATCGACCAGGGTCTTTCCCAATTTTACATATTCTGAAAAATGATGTGGAAGAGGCTATTCATGATCACTTATTCGAGGCTATTTGTAATGGAAAGACAACATTCCTTCGCCCTGCTGATTCAAGCTTTCAAGCCCGACAAGGAATAATTCGACGTGTCCTTTGCGAGCCAAAATTTGATGAACGCATTTTCATGCAGGCAGTTAACGCGTTTGTCAATCCGCAGGCGGCGGCGAAGATACTACTCGTGGTTCGAGGCCTATTGATTAATCGAATACTCCTCCTCTGCCTCAACAAGCGGTGGAACGTTCAATACGGTCTTCACCCTGATCGTGACCCAATTGCAGTACCGTTCGAGGCAAAAGGTACCCCATCTGAGCAATCTGAGTTCGGCCATCCAGATGTATCTATATTGTTCACCTGCTTGGCATTCTATTACACGGGCCTCACCTCCGAGCAATTCCGTCAAGGGCTACAATACGTCCTTCAGTCAGATGATCCAGCTGCACAGTACGAACTGTGGTCTTCCGGGTGTGATAGCTTACCAGAGGCATTGCACCACTGGAACGTCATCAATATTGACGATGGAGGACAGCTAGACGAGCTATGGAAACATTTGCGTCTGAGTCGCATTGTAATCAACCATTATTGTAACCATTTTGTTTTCCCCGTTCACGCCAGACAGTTCGAAATCAAGTTACAGGTTTCAGCTTGGGATATCCCACTATTTTCTAAGGATCAGCGGGGTGCTAGGACGACCGGTTTCAGCGGCACCAACGACAGCCGTATGAACCTCCCACTCACTATTCGGCAAGATGACCTCCCTAGCTTACAACAGACAAGTGCCGAAGTCTTATCATACCTCTTACAACCATGTAATCGAGGTTATCATGTTACTGCAGACCTCTCCGGTAAGCGATTGACTGAGAGAGGCCTACTAGGGCGACTAAAGGAGAAAGGCATCCGCACCCTCATTGATGCTGGAGCCTACATCCTAGAAATGGATAACAGAACAGTTGCCCAGGAGTGGCTTAAAGTTGATTGCGAAGCCGGTGCAGCCGTTTATTTTGGCTCGGATAACCGTGCTTGGGTGCATTACCGCGGAGATAAGAAGAGTGATGTCCCACTCCTAGCCACTCCATTCGCAGATGATCTTGGCGGCTGCGTTGTATATCTAGACGAGGCGCATACCCGTGGTGTAGACCTGAAGCTGCCGTCGAATGCCCACGGAGCACTGACGTTGGCGCTAAAGCAAACCAAAGATTATACTATGCAAGGTAAGTTGCTGATCACCGTCTACATTTTTCCTTGATATCAATTGGTATCAGTAACATCTATATAACCACCTAAGGAATAGTTTAACTAATCATATCAATAGCTGCTATGCGACTCCGCCAGTTGCGTACTACTCAGTCGGTCAGCTTCTTTGCGCCCCCGGAGGTTGACCAGAGCATCAAGGACTTTTGCCGCCCAGCAAGAGGCACTAGTATCGATTCTTCCCACGTCGTCGCTTGGCTTCTAGAGCAAACATGCTGTGTCAATGAGGATCTGCAAAGTCTTTACGTATCGCAAGGTGTCGACTTCTGTCAGCGTACGGATGCGATTTGGCGCCATGAGAACTTCCTGACAAACACGACACAACGGGCAAAGCTGCTGGAGACAATTCAGCAACCAGAACGGCAGACGTTAGAGCAATTATATGGTGGAGCCCTTGCAGGTTCACGAATTGGAACCGTAGGTCGCATGTGTACGCCGCAGTTGCAAAAGTTCGCGGATCAGCTTAACCAGTCCTATGGAGAGCGCGGCGCTCTTCACGTAGGCGCCATGGAAGAAGTTGAACAGGAAAGGGAGGTTCAGGTGCAAGTAGAGCAGGTTCGTCAGATACAAAAGCCGCTCCGATATGAAGCCTTGGAATTCCCGGGCCTGCATCCAGTCATCTTGAATTTCGCGCGCACGGGAGTACTGGAGGATACGTCGTCGAATCGAAACGAGACCGCATTCGAGCACGCATTTGAATATGTAGCAAATACTACTCTCGGAAAGAAATTCGGTGTAAAGGATACGGGCTCACGATTCTTCATTTCGACTGAATTCAGACGAACAGTCAAATGTAGGAGAAATAGTATGGTTGACAATTTCATGGTAAGTGACCCACGTAAATATCAACGTGCTTGCAAGAAAGATATGCTAACAATGGGATAATAGCGTCCAGTAGAATGGATCCTCTGGAGTCCCTCGGCACAAACCGCGCTTGTTATTGTTCCCGAGGAGGCTGAATTGTTGATTCCCTTGCTTCGAGGTGCCACCCGCTCGCCACGCGTGCATTTGATCACCTACGCAGCGCCTGTTACTAAGACCATGGAACGGTTCAATACCCTCCAGTATTACTGTCTTCCGGCGCTGCCGCCTATTTACAAATTCCCAGAATGGTTTAGATTCGAACTAGGCGTGTTAGGCGGCCGATTGTATGTGAGCTTGGCCGAATGGGGTCCGCTAAGCCGTTACCTACAGTCCTCGTTCGAGAAGGCGGACAAGCTGTCTAGAGGAAACTCGAACCCAACTCAGGCAGAGGAAGTAACGCCCGCCCCTTTTGCGGATGATCCGTCGTCCTTCCTCCTAGAGTGGCTCACATTACTTCGCAAGACGCAGGATGTCTTGCATACGCCCATGGGCTATATCTGCACCGGGCGCGCGCTCGGTGGACCGGGTCAGTTCCAAGAGTCGTTATTGTGATTTCATCATAAGGTCACACTATTGGATCGACATATCGAATCGCAATGTTGGAATGCGCGCAGATGTTGCCGTTTGGTTTACTGAAGGGTGTTTGTGTTTTTTAGCTTGGATTCAATATTTTGTGTACCTATGCTTTTGCATTGCGACACGTGTAATGGGAGGTTGAATCTGCTGTTCTAAATGATAGTAATGATGGGATGATAACGACCATATGCGACTTGGCCTCTCTCTCGGCCGGGAACGGTATTCAGTTGCATGGAGTTTACGAAGGCGATGCAATAGTTATGAATTGTTAGTTTTAGGTACCTGTTACTGTCTTAATTTGTACTTTTTTTTTCCTCGCTCTTTGGTCTTGATGGCCTCTATTCGATGCATGATAACGATTACCCCTGATCAACCCCTATTTAATGTGGGTCTGTACTAAGGGGATGAAGACCATACTTCTTCAACGTGCAAGTGGTGAAGAGGTTCGAGAAAATCAATTGAGCATATTTCTACGAGGCAATTCTACATGGTTTGATTAAGCTTAGTATCCAAATATTTTCTATCTTGTTGACACCGCATTTGCCACATTAGGTACTGAGCTTGAGGTCAAATAGTGGTCCGTCCACTGAGCTTAGGTGACTGGCCGCTAGACTTATAGCGACATCAGCCACTATGGATTACCTTTAATACCGTGTACGTCTCTCCTACCCGCACGAGGCTTTGCCAAAACCAGATGCCCAAAGACTTTTGGCCTTCGTAGCGTATGGCTGATAAACCATATTGTACAGTGTCATTAATATTAGGTAGATTGGACGCTGATCGGCCAGGCGTAACGCGTCGCAAGTAGTGCACAAACCGCCATTGTCGACGTGACATGAACGCACTTCACACTGTAACAGCCCCTTTTCAGGTTACCCATGTTAATCGTGACAGACTTCGTTGCGACCATGTAGTAGCATTATATTATAAGAGAATATCACATCCATATAATCCAGCTATAATATTACCTTAAATAATTATGTTCATATACTTCTGTCTCGGCGCTTCTCTGGCCTGACTGAGCTGCGTGAATATGGTGCAAAAGGTAAGAAGATAGGTAACTACCTCCTATTTACCCGGAATTAGTGATCGCGTATTAATTTATAGGTGTGAGTAAAACCATTCAAATTTAACAATATGCGTAAGAATTCACTAGCAAAAAAATATTCGCTTTGTCGGGGGAGTGGGTAGGGGCAAGATCTCTTAGTAAATAGACATATGTAAGTAGCACGCTCCGCCCTCAAATAAGCTTCAAACGGAAAGCATACAGGGGTAAAGGGGTACCGCACCACACTCACTCCATGGGAACTCGCTAACAGCCATGAATGTAGTAAGCATCATAAAACCACTTACCTAGTAGGTACCTAACCTATTCAAGATGTAGCTGGGCATTGTTCAATTCGTCAGATAACTCTATAATAGGTATAGAGTGGGTGTCTAATACTTTAAGCTGAGCCATGTTTTTTTGATAGTCCTCCCAATCAGCTAGTCAAACCATCGCCTATACTTTTCACGCAGTCGGTAATATCATCTTTATACCTCGCCAGAATTGAAAAAGGGAGTGGACCTCAACCTTAGCCAGCCAAAACTTTAAACAAATCAAATAAATGAAGCATTGTGATCTTCCATCTCATCTACACTGATCCCTATCTCCATCCATGAGAGGGCTCGTCAGGAACTCTAACCCAGTTACCCCCAATGTTAATATATCTAGCTAGTTCAATATGGCTCGTCACATTTATGACGGGAAAGTTGCGTTCAAGTTGCCCAGGTAAGGTGCCACGAATATCAGTTCTGCCACTGTTCTTATAGGTATTCTTCTGTGAATCAACCGATGACTGGCCGTATTTCGCCATCATTTGTCGAAATAATGGCCGATAGGTTGGTATAGATGTAGCCAGAATGCCAGTCATGAGTTCCACAAGAGAAAGAAGGCCAATACGAATATTGTCATCTGAAGCAACTAGACTTAGTAATAATGTTGTTAACTTCGCTAGAAATAAGGGAGGACTCACAGCTGGGGTCACCGGTCGAATCGAAATCTAAGGCGTACGGAAGGCGAACAATGGAGACGATGCACGCACTACCCCCCATGGCGAAGGTGAAAATCAGAAGCATTTTCTTGTGCTTGGAGATATGTAAATGTAGAACCTGGGGAATCGGGGCAAGTAATATAATCAAATCGGTGATTATGTTCAGCATCCCGGCAAGGAGCGTATACAATCCATAATCCAAACAATGACCACCTTTGATCGACATATCCCAGTAATACTGGACAGGGATACATTCGAACACACTGACCATGATACATGCTAGATCGAAAGCAATGAGGCATATGGCGAAGATCCATAGGAATATACGGAACCTTTTCGATGGGAAGATGGTACCATACAACCTCAGAATACCAAATTTTATGAACCCCAAGGAAATAGTGTATGTCACTTCTGCAATGATCTTCCAGATCCTAAGCGAGCGCGTGTCGGTTGCCAGGATGATATGACGGCCTCCCCCATATTTTGTTATCTGTTAGGTTTTTTATTTCGTTGTCAGTAGGACTCGATTATATTGTTTGGTAGAGGGTTAAATACCATGCCAAGGGCTATACTGAATGCTATATAGAATACCAAACCAAGGAGTAGCAGAATGTCGCTTTGAGTCAGACGTAACTTGCGGGATACAAGGTATTGCGAGTAGAGACGTAGAAGCGCGAATACAATAGATGCAATACCACATATAGCATCACAGACAATTATATCCGGTACAAGGCTTTGGTCCTTGTGAACTAGCATGGAAGCTAATTTTTCTTTGGACGGCAGCGTTGGCATGATGGCTTCTCGGGTTTGGAATAGGGGTAGGGTTGAGAGAAAGAGGTAATCAAGGTATCTTTGCGAGTAAGGTCTCAGAGATCTACCCCATTTGATATAGAGAGCGGCTAGAGTGAGGCCCTGAACTCGGCGTATCTGGTAGATAGTTGATAACTGGCATGAACGTAGCACTATACTACAAAGAGCGATCGTGTAGATTACGTACATTGAACTGTCAATCCAGTTGTACTACCATATATATGTGTGTCTTCCATCACCAACATACATATATTCTATCGGGCTACGTAGCAACTAGCCTTATAGTTGCGTTACATAGCGCGTAGACTTTTATGCTTGCAACCAACGCTTTCAGTGCCTCCTCCTATTGTAACGAAGAACCTTGGATTGTATGCTGGGTATTATGGATAGTTGCAGTCACTTTACTGGCAACGCAAAGAAAACACGTAAATACCCTGTAATGGAAATACATATCGTAATTAGCGACCCTGACGTAGATTCAGCTTTAAAGCTAACCTTGAAGATTGAGTACCTAACCTATATTTACACTGCGGATCAAATCTCAAGATGAAAAATAATATAAATGATTCGTATAAATGCTGAAACCTTCCCGGCTTTCTTTTCAGTTAACAGCTATGTACCTCTACATAGGGGTAAGCACCTGTTCTAATGAAACCAACTGTGTTTTACATACAAGATGTTGGATCCAGGGGCACATACAAACTTCTACTGGCGAGCAATCTTGATCTGTTATTAAGCAAAGCGCCAATACGACGCGTTGGGCGTGGCATCTACCTAAAATGTAACATCATCCTCTATCAGAGCGTTGATAATTATTGTTCCAATTCATACAATTCGTAAAGCTTAGGTTTTAACAAGAATACCTCGTTAGGTTATAAGGTGGGTTACGTAGTATCGTACAACTGATGGAACTGGACTCAGCCGGTGCAAGGTTACCATACATGCATATTGCAGAGTTTTGGAGGGAGCTTCTCCTCACACAGCTCCGTTAAGTACTTCCTATGTTAGATACCTAGTATTTAAATACAATACTCCTCAGATGGGCGAAGATATACCGGTATCGTCTCATTACCGAACATATAACATATAAATGTCAGCCAACTATGCGAGGTTCAGTGGTACCTGATAAAACAGTAACAAGGGGGTTGAGATGCAACTCCTACGTTAGGTACCTAGGTAACTTTTGAATATGTACTTTAGTGACTTTATTTTGCACAAAGTAAACGCGGGTCAATATAAAAACTCTCATTATATAACCGCAAAAGATTCTTTTTAGCAAGGTCCTATAGGAGGTACCTACTTGTCAAATAATTCAATTCATATACCTTAGGTAAGGTACCTTGGTAGATGCCGAAGGTAAATAAGAGTATTATGTCGGGTATGCCACGGTGATGCATGCCATACATAGAGTTAGTGTTAGGGTATAGCATGCAGTCTGTTGTAGAGATATAGTAACGCCCAGCCTTCTAACCTCACACGGGGGAGCTGGTTACCTTTTATATACCTGACAGTAGAGCCCCTTATTAGCCATTATACCCCTACTTTATCCACATATCCTCATGTCTCAGACATAAATCGGAATTATTATCAAATGTGTACTGTATTTAAATAGGCAGACTAGAGGTTTTGCTGGGTTGTTAAAACCTTCTCGGGAGTTCCCTTAGCTCACTAGTTAGCCGAGGGTCTATAAACAACCCCTTCATCTTTACATAACAGGTAATGTATCTAGACAAACTTATTTCCATTTTAATACACCAGTATATCAGTCTATAATATAAAACATTGCTATCGTAAATGACTAAGCAAAGCTATTACCTGATATATCTCCTTTTTTGGATTCTTCACCTCTAATCCTATTTGAGTGGTTTACCTTCGGTGTAATCCAAATCCTCGTCGCCTACCACATATAATGAGTAAGGCAACGAGTAAAATAATGCCGACAGTACCAAGTACGATTCCCACAATAGACCATATGTTGAGGTAAGTACCTGGTGCTAATACTGGCTCCTGACGAACTGCATACTTCGAATTAGGTCCAATATTTCTTGTGCTGCCCAAACCTTTGCCTTCAAGGTGTAAAGGTATAGCCAAGGTCATCGTGCTGAGGGGTAGAATTAGACATATCAGGATGTTATACATTTTCGCTATTATGTGTCCTTCAGGCCTACTATGATGTATGCTTGGCTTTACTTTTAGGCTCATATAGGTGTAGAGGTAACTGAGCCTTAAATATTTCATTCCTATCCTGACAACCTACAATGGCGTTTGTTAATTCAAGAGTTTCATGCCCGATAAACAATGAAGATCTGTGATAGCGCCCTGTATATCAATCGAAACATCACAAAGATAAGACAATGCTCGTTTTGATCTTGCCTGATTCTAGGCATTTTCAAAACACATAGTTTTCTTTGGCCAGAGTATATTCGTATTAGTAGTGAACTGATTATTTTTACCTAACTCCTTTACACAGTCGATTCCTTACGTTGTAACAACTGTCTGCACATAACACTGTTACTCCAGCAAAGGCCTTTTTCACAGAAGTATTCATTACCTTTGTTGTTCACAATTGTATTGTAGCCGCAGATAGTTCCCGGGAGTTGGAATGAAGAACCATGACTCGATGTTTCTATGCAGACAAGTGAATTTTCATGCTTTATTCAGGACTCACTTTCTTAATCATGCTAACGCGGAAAATAATTCGGTTGGAATAATGCTAGCAGTTAATGAAAGCATTTATTTAAACATTGTTCTTCCACTTACCATAGCTTCCCCTTAACAACAATCCTACATTTCTTCCAGTTATTATCGCCACCTTCTCCATTATCTTCACGCGAGTACCCTTTTAATCTCCATAGACCAAAAGTTTCTGTTGAATCCAAATAGGAAAACTGCCACCATGAAGGTTCCTCATTTCGTTCTTGCTGGAGCGTTTGCTTCCTACGCTATCGCAGACGGCGGTTATGCAAAAGATTGTCAAGACATGACAATCGTCCAATCAGACGAGATATTCAGTCTAAAAGCATCTTGCAAGGTTGGAAATAAGTCTCAATGCTCTGTCCTTGACCTGTGGAATTGCTACGAAACAGACGACGGCATACTGAAGCCTAAAGACAAGTAAGTGATAATCACCTGAAGCTATTTTATACCTGGACCGAGAAAAGCATTTATGAGGCGATACTAACCGTACTCTCCAGGGGCAACCAACCCAGATGCAAATCTTGTGATCTGAGTGGTACAATGCTGGAATGCGACTGTCCCAGTTCTCATAGGGGACACTACGTCAAGAGCTCTATAGACACTAGTAAGTAAGCTGATTCAATAATTACTGGGTTAGACTAACCGCACGGTCGCAGATGACCTTATTGTCAATGATCAGGGAGTTCTTAAATGTTTCAACAAGAGCGCGGACAACTGCGCCCAGAAACCATCAAAATCAGGATGCGGTAATAATCGCTCTCTAAATCCTCTAGGTTATATTCTTCCTTTCTAGGGATTTATTCTTTTGCGGATCTGAACTGTTAGACTTTACTTTTAATGGATTACGGTTACTACCGAACGAGCCGATGGAAGAATTAAAGAAGAATGCGCCAGGCTAAGATTTAGTCATAAAATATCGTATCCGAGGTAACCACCTACCTATCTGTCAGCATAGCATTATAGTATCTATACGCCGTGAGCCGGGTAGTGGCCAAGTTAGGTTCCTAGGTACCTCTTATAGTAAACATTAGGTGACTATTATCATCCCACATAAGTCCTGCTATCTCGTGATATGCATTAGCAGCCACTTGCATGTAAAGCGTGCAAAAATCACAATACTTTCTCTATCGCTGTGCTATAAGGCGCAGTCGTAATAAGCACATTTGATAATGCTGTAAGTCTTATTGGACGAGAGCTCATGGAATACAATTAACAAGCACTCTCATCACATAAGATAACACATGGTCAACATTGACTGTTATATGCGGCAGATTGAAACTACATATAGGCAGCTAAAGAGTTCACTGTATTTCCTGTAGTGACCATATCTCAGTGTTAAGTTACTTTAGGTATTATGTCACTGGTACTTGGCCTTTGGTCATGGCCGAAAGCCTAGTTAGGTACCAGATGCTCGACATCAGCGGCCAGATTGTCTTTGGGAATGCTAGTAACGCTCAAATGTGACCCAAAGGCAGATTCTTGTCGAAAGATAGCACGGGTGACTACCTCCTAACCTAACCTTAGGTAATGAACTACATTATGATTATTCAATAGCAGCAAGGTTGTCAAAAGTGACCAGGGGAAGAACGTAACACATAACAAGGCGTTAGCGGGAAATGTTATTCCTATCATTTTGTTTGTAGCTGGGTTAAGAAAAAAAAAAAAAAAAAAAAGGGGGGGGGGGGGGGGGGGGTTAAAAAAAAGCGGGGCGGGTGTGGTGCCAAATATAATTATAGGCACAACGACCCCCCCCGCAAAAAAAAGGCAAATAAAAAACCAAAAAAAAACCCACAAAATTTGG